AATATATTGACATATATCCTATTGCAGATACAAAAGGATCCCAACATATTTTCCACATATTTTCCACATATGTTCCAGATCAGCGACAAGCACTTCATCGTGCAAATCAACTTTTGGCGAAGCGGACTCTGCCAGGTGCTTCAGTCTTCAGAGCGTGGACGCAAAGTCTTCCATGCTGTGCAGCAGAGAGGTGCAAAGGATGTAACATCTCAGAGACTGACCTCAGGATATATCAATGTTACATGATATAACTCATCTAAAAATTGATATAACCATGATACAGGATAACCCTGATGTAACTGTTATTGATGCACTGTTGGTATCATGGTTATATCAATGTTACATCAATTTTTATATGAAAATCCTTGGGTTCCTGTTGATATTCAGTGATGTTCGATGCATTTTCACTCCCCCAAGTCTGCAACTTGGTGAACATGTCGCCAGATCGAACGGGCCTCTTGTCCCTCTTGGAACCCGCCCATTGCGAGAGCTCGGTGGTGCCACTTCAAGCACAGCCAGTGCAGAGAGGCCTGGATTTTGGCGGATTTTCAGCCAAGCGATGCAGATTATGGTGATGTTCTAGTAAATTTTGAACGAAAACTGGCAGTGAGATTGGTGGAATCTTCAAATGTCTGCAGGTTTTTCGGCATTGCACAACCTGGGGAAGGTCCTACGGAGTTTGAGACATGAAGGAGAGAAGTTGGGAGTGTGGTGCATTGTTTCAACATTTCACCTGTGGTAAGCCATGGGTCATTAAATGTCCCCATTGAACATCACCCAACCATTAGGCATATGGTCTATAAATGTCTATAATGGCTACTATAAGGTGATGTCCAATATTCCCAAAATGGGACATTTACCAACCCCTTAAGCCCAATATTAAACCTACCATTTGCAGATGGTTGAGTTCCCCCACCTATAAAAATATGGTGATGTTTGGGATGTTTCGTATCTGGCTGGTGGTTTGGAACATGACTTTTATGTTTCCACTAATATTGGGAATTTCATCATCCCAAACTGACTTTCATATTTTTCAGAGGGGTGGCTCAACCACCAACCAGTTATTGGGTTTACCACATTAAGTCACCATGTCACATCACCAACTCTAATAACTGGTTACCACTGAAACCACCAACCAGTTATTTACCACATGGTTGGTGGTTTACCAATAACCAGTTATACTGCATTATTAGTTATTAGACTTGGTGACATGTTGACACATTCCCTGCAGGAATCACCAGTGCATCGGCTGCCTTCACGTATTTCAGCCCGGATCAGGAATTTTTTTCAGCAGCGACATGTGAAGTCATCGCAATGCCGCAGAGATGCGTAAAATACTTTAAAATAGCATTCGTATGCCTTGGTAGTGTCTTCTAATAGCCTGAACCAGTTTTATCATGTTGTGAATTTATGATACAATATGCTTCATCATATTCTTACTAGACAATAATGCAACACTGCCAGCAGCAATCCATGACTCGCAGCCATTTAACGCTCAAACCCCAGAGGCGACATCAGCTACAAAATTCAGGACACATCTTTGCCCCCAAAAGTGTTGGTGAATCCCGAACTCCAGATCTCAACCCCTAGAAATTGTCCATTGCTTCCCTTTCCCGCCATGGTGTCGCACGCTGTCCGGCTGTCGTGGCCCTGGGATCCAACCATTTTTCATCTGTTGTGGAAACCGAAGGATGGGCCAAATCTCCAACACCTTCTGAGGCCCATTTTTGATGCACATTTGCAGACACAAAGGCCATGAGATGGGGTTCCGAGGTGTGGGTATAATGAGCCGACTTTCCATGTGTTGTATCATATTTACAGATGTGTTCTTCCAGCTTCAAAGACATCTCAAATCCACAGAGGATCGGAGGCTCGTTGCAGAAAATCATCGCATGTGTGGGAAATACATTGAATTGCATGGAATGAACAGATGATTTACCTGATGATTTACCTGATGATTACCTGATGATTTACCTGATGATTTACCTGATGATTTACCTGATGATTAGCTGATGATTTACCTGATGATTTACCTGATGATTTACCTGATGATTTACCAGATGATTTACCTGATGATTTACCTGATGATTTACCTGATGATTTACCTGATGATTAGCTGATGATTAGCTGATGATTTACCTGATGATTTACCTGATGATTTACCTGATGATTTACCTGATGATTTACCTGATGATTTGATGATTTACCTGATGATTTAGATGATTTACCTGATGATTTACCTGATGATTTACCTGATGATTTACCTGATGATTAGCTGATGATTAGCTGATGATTTACCTGATGATTTACCTGATGATTAGCTGATGATTTACCTGATGATTTACCTGATGATTAGCTGATGATTTACCTGATGATTTACCTGATGATTTACCTGATGATTAGCTGATGATTTACCTGATGATTTACCTGATGATTACCTGATGATTTACCTGATGATTTACCTGATGATTTACCTGATGATTTACCTGATGATTTACCTGATGATTAGCTGATGATTAGCTGATGATTTACCTGATGATTTACCTGATGATTTACCAGATGATTTACCTGATGATTTACCTGATGATTTACCTGATGATTTGATGATTTACCTGATGATTTACCTGATGATTTACCTGATGATTTACCTGATGATTTACCTGATGATTTACCTGATGATTAGCTGATGATTAGCTGATGATTTACCTGATGATTTACCTGATGATTAGCTGATGATTTACCTGATGATGATTTACCTGATGATTAGCTGATGATTTACCTGATGATTTACTGATGATTAGCTGATGATTTACCTGATGATTTACCTGATGATTTACCTGATGATTTGATGATTTACCTGATGATTTACCTGATGATTTACCTGATGATTTACCAGATGATTTACCTGATGATTTACCTGATGATTTACCTGATGATTTACCTGATGATTTACCTGATGATTAGCTGATGATTTACCTGATGATTTACCTGATGATTTACCTGATGATTAGCTGATGATTAGCTGATGATTTACCTGATGATTTACCTGATGATTTACCTGATGATTTACCTGATGATTTACCTGATGATTTACCAGATGATTTACCTGATGATTTACCTGGTGATTTACCTGATGATTAGCTGATGATTAGCTGATGATTTACCTGATGATTTACCTGATGATTAGCTGATGATTAGCTGATGATTTACCTGATGATTTACCTGATGATTAGCTGATGATTTACCTGATGATTAGCTGATGATTAGCTAATGATTTACCTGGTGATTTACCTGATGATTAGCTGATGATTTACCTGATGATTAGCTGATGATTAGCTGATGATTTACCTGATGATTAGCTGATGATTAGCTGATGATTTACCTGATGATTTACCTGATGATTAGCTGATGATTTACCTGATGATTGGCTGATGATTAGCTGATGATTTACCTGATGATTAGCTGATGATTAGCTGATGATTAGCTGATGATTTACCTGATGATTAGCTGATGATTAGCTGATGATTTACCTGATCATTAGCTGATGATTAGCTGATGATTTACCTGATGATTTACCTGATGATTAGCTGATGATTTACCTGATGATTTACCTGATGATTAGCTGATGATTTACCTGATGATTTACCTGATGATTACCTGATGATTAGCTGATGATTTACCTGATGATTTACCTGATGATTAGCTGATGATTTACCTGATGATTTACCTGATGATTTACCTGATGATTTACCTGATGATTTACCTGATGATTTACCTGATGATTAGCTGATGATTTACCTGATGATTTACCTGATGATTTACCTGATGATTTACCTGATGATTTACCTGATTATTACGTATATTACCTGGAATGTTTACCTGATACCTTACTGACACAACGAAAAGATGTCATCCTGGACCATGCCAAGCTGTGGCAGGCTGCCAAGAGGTCAGCTCTCAGAGGGTTCCTGTTGAAACCGCAAATTTGAAGTTTTGCTTACCCTCTGGTAAACATACAAAAAAAACATGGAAAATCACCATTGTTAATGGGTAAATCAACTATTTCGACTGGGCCATGTTCAATAGCAAAGTGTTGAATTACCAGAGGGTACATGCCTTGGGTGTAGTTTTTCTTCGCTTTATGATGTTTGAATTTGTGGCCACTCTTGAGGTGCTGCTTCCAGCACAGCAGCACGTAGCTAGCATCTCAGAAGATGATTCACAATATGATCCAAGTCAGTCAGTGCTTCGCATCGAACATTTCAGCTGTCAGGTTTATCTCTGAGATCTCGGGTTTGGAGCTGATTTGTTTATTGCGGAGTATGGGGAAGTGTTGGTTTGCGGCTGATCCAAACCCCATCTTTGGCCAAGGCACCTGGAAACCAGTCAGCTCTTTCTAACAGCTCCAGAGTCGCAGCCGGAACTGCTCTGGGGCTGCTGGGAGCATCTGAATGTCTGGCCTGTTTGGAAGATTTTTTGTTGGGGGCCTGAAGACATGACAGTCATCGGTCATATCGACTTTCAGTGGATGTTGTGGACCTTTGTGACAGCTGAAGAGTCATCCACTTTTGATGCTTATCATTTATCGATATGAGGATTATGAGGATGACCACTGAACATCAGACTCATTAAAGTGGATGTCATCGGACTTTTGATCACTTCTTTTGGATGCCATTTTGCTCACAGCAGCTGACATGATCTAAATGAGTCTGAGAAAGCTGCCAGCAACTTATTGAATAATGAAGTCCTCAATGAGGGAGCCTTCCCAAATCACCACCTTCTATCATCCAAGCCACTTACACAAAATGATCCAATTTCTCATTGAATTTGCGCAAAAGTGTCAAAGTTAGACCTATGGAATTATTTTTCCAAACATCTATAAATGGTATAAATCATGGATTTCAGGATATTTATTGGATATTTCAGGTTGATTCCAGGTTGAAATGATCTGAATTTCAGCGCGTTTAGCCGCTGATGGCCATGGCCAAACTGGCCAAACCATGGGCGCTGCCAGTTGCACCGAGAAGTGCAGCTGGTCTCCCAGTTGCGACCGAGACGGTGGCGTCTATCTGGACTTCGTCACGGTTTCCTGGTGGAAAGCCATGAAAAAATGCCGAAAAAATGCCAGGAAAGTCTGGCTGAAGTTTGAGAAATGGATAAAATGAATTTTTTTGGTTGGAAAAAATGAAGAATTAGAAGTTCACCTCATTGCTATTTTTTTACTTGACTTGTGCATGTTACAACATGTTAGAACTGTGGAGATTAGTTGAAACCCCAATCTGATGCTAACAATCCCTTGTTCTAGCATGTCCCAAACAGATCGAGAAGTGATGTATCACTATTTTCAGTCGGATCTCACTTGTCCCTCCATTTTTTGGGTGGTAAGTTGTTTCTATTGTTAGATACTATTACCCAAAGCCACCCTATGATTTTTGTTTAGATACCCACAATATCCCACAATACATAGTTGTTGCAAAGCCAACATATTTTTTTGGGTGATTTATTTAGATACCCATGGTTTTACCCATTATAAGATGGTTTTTGTTTACCCATTATAAGATTAGTTAGATATATAAGATCGTTGTTGGCATTACCCATAAGATGTATCCCAAAAAAAAACATCTTATGGGTAATCCCAAAAAACATCTTATATATCCAACCATTTTTTGGGGGATTACCCATAAGATATACCTACCCTATGGTAATTTAACATAGCTATTGAAAAATTGCCATTTATAATTAGTGAGTTGTTCCATTAATAGCATGGTGATTTTCCATCGTTTTTTGTATGTTTACCAGAGGGTAGATACCCTAATTGTTTCTTTGGGGAGCCAATCATCCCATTATAAGATTAGTTAGATATATAAGATGGTATCTGATAAATTCTGATAATCTATAGATCAAATAATGAATCGAATAATTCTGATTTAGATACCTAGGTACCCTATTGTTTCTTTGGGAGAGCCCACCATCCCATGAAACCCCCCCCAATGGGCTCTCTCAGGCGATTCCCAGCCACGGCTCCTGCGGTGCCTTTGACGAAGAACTCATCGAGGTCGAGTGCCCCGCGGGCGCCACGTTTCCGGAGACGGTGCAGAACCTCAACGCCTTAGATCGGCGCCTTGGAAGGGCTGGTTGGTTGCTGAATATTTCGCAGAAATCAAGCAGAATCCCATGAAAAATCATCTATAAATGGGCCATCTATACCATGGCTATGTTAGTCATAACCAGAGGGTATAACTGGTATAACATATGGATGTGTCTGAAAATAGGCTAAACCCCTAAACCCAATGGTTTTGCTGATCATTATCCCAGTTTGAAATGGCTATTTCATTGGGAATATTAACCCAACATTTTCAGACAAACCCATTTCGCAGAATCCCATGAAAAATCTCATATGGGGTTGGGTCAATACCTATTTTCATACCATTTTTAGGGTGGTGAACATCCATTTACCAGCTATGTTGATGTGAACTACAGGGGTATAAGGTTTTGACACACTGCCATATATGGGATGTCATCCTTCCCATTGACTAATATTTGGGATTTGGGATTTTGGATCCAGTAGCTAGCATTTTTTTAGGAGAATCCCATGAAATTTATGATCATAATATCATATAATTAATCTGGTTATTGTTGATCTATATTAGAATCACCATATTTGATCAATGATAATATGGATCATAATACACAAATGATCGAATAATATCTGGTTGTTGCTGACTGGAACTTTGTTTTATTTTCCATATATGGGAACGGAATGTCATGATCCCAACTTTGGCTGGTTGGTTGCTCAATATTTCGCAGAATCCCATGAAAAGCTGGTCAGTTTGCTCATCCAAAGTTGCTCAAAAGCTCAAAAATGTTGGATACATCATGGTTAAAACCAAGATATTGACAAGTTCTGGAGTTCTGGTTGGTGGTTTCAAACATGAATTTTATTTTCCATATATGCCATATATGTCATAATCCCAACTGACGAAGCTCCATGATTGAACAGAGGGTTGGCAAAAATCCCACCATTTGTTTGGTGCTTCCAGCTATAAACCTCCGTTCATGAGATTGTTGAACACCATTTTTGATGATTTTTTGCATGGCTGGAAAATCCCCCCAAAAAAAAACCAGAGTTTCCAGCCATGTTCCCACTGAAATAGCCATGAAACTGTGGGCGTTAGCTGGGGGAGTTCCCAGCTGGAGGCTGGAATCTGAGGCATTTTCTGCACTTTTGTGGCTCTTCCAATGTGGTGGTTGTCAGATGGCTCTTGCACTTCGGGGCATCCCCATTTGCCCACGATTCCAACAACACCACTGGCGTGCATGTCACGGAGCTGCATATTAGCATGCCTTTAGCAAAACGTCAAAATCAGGCAAAATCTGGGAAATCCAGGTGCACAAAAAGATGGCAACCATGATTTCTACAAATGCGTTTGTAAGTATATGGGTATGGATCAATACCTATTTTCATACCATTTTTAGGGGGTTATTCACATCCATTTATTTACCAGCTATGTTGATGTGAACTACAGGGGTACTATTGGTTTTGACACACTGCCATATCATCTCTGATGATGTGGAGGAAGGGCTATGCCGGCGTTGAGATCTGCTCAGGTTGCTTGCAGGGCAGGCTCAGCTGGCGTCCTGCAGGAGCTTCTGAGGTGAGACAAATCTTGGGGATGACATTTCTGGTGATCAGTGCGGAAGGTTTGACATTATGATGTGAAAACCCATTGAAAAATAGATTTAGAGTTAGAGAAAACTTAAATATATACCATGATTATCCATCAACATATGACATATGATGCATTTCATAGGTTCAAAGTAAAGGAGGTGGAATAGAACCAGAAAATCAGCCGGCACTGCACCAGGCATCGCCCCTCCTTGGATCGCGCGGATGTAGCTGGGTGGACTCCGCTCCATGTAGCTGCACGGATGTCCCGATGCAGTCTGGTGGTGATTCTGCTGAAGGCGACAAATTGTTTTTTCGATTGGAAACTGACAGAAACAGTTACCATCAGAATCCATCAGATTATCAGATTCAATTCATTGATGGCAAGAATTGGGTGGTGTGATGTAATACCATCAAGTGATGTTTGCAAAAAAAAACAAATGGTTCATTCCCTGTCCCTATTTGTTTGCTAATTATTGATGTTTGGGTACGTCCAAGAATGTGAAATACCCAAAAACTCCGCCAAAATGGTCAAATTACTGGGCAAAATCCATGGCTTTGGGTCATGTCCCCTTGTCGCAGGTTGGAGCGCCATTGGGATCTCGAAATTCCCATGGCGAACTTCCATCAGAGATGTGTTTGGACGAGGCAACACACATGGCATTCTCCTCGTACCAGGAGCATCTGTTTTCATCATCGAGATCCCCTTGGAGCTTCCAAGTGGACAGACCAGATGCTGAAGATGCAGAGGATTCTTGGACCATCATGGACCATCATGGACCATCTGAAAATCATGTTGAATAGATATCATTACATTAATTATATTATACATATTACATATTATAGATATTATAGATATTATAGATATTATAGATAGTATAGATATTATAGATATTATAGATATTATAGATATTATAGATATTATAGATATTATAGATATTATAGATATTAAACCATTTAAAGAATTATAGAACATGGATATATGATATTAACAAGTATCCACGTTTCATCATTATATCCAGATAGCCTGCTGTTCAGCTTCCCAGATCCCCATTTTTTTCGATGGACAAAGCACCACCTCAAAGCGTATGTGTAATAAATCAATACATACCCTAAATCCAAAATGCAAAACTATGTACTGGTTAGTGGTTTCAAACATGTTTAATTGTCCATTTCATATATGGGACGTCATCCTTCCCATTGACTAATATTTTGGATTTGGGATTTTGGATCAGTAGCTAGCATTTTTTTAGGAGAATTCCATGAAAAATGTCAGTTTGCTCATCCAAAGTTGCTCAAAAATGTTGGATACATCATGGAAAACCAACATATTGACAAGTTCTGGTTGGTGGTTTCAAACATGTTTTATTTTCCATAATATATGGGATGGTCCTTCCCATTGACTAATATTTTGCAAGATGGTTAAAACCATCAACCAGATGTAGGTTGCTGAGTTCTTTCATTTTTCCCCTAAAACCAAACGGTTTTTCCTCCGTTCCCTGTTCCGCCAAGGCCCCTCTTCCAACGCCTTTCTTTACCCCGCAGCATCCTATTGCCAGTTTCCGCGGCCACAAAGACGCCTCGCAGATCGGCGTGCGAATCTTCAACGCCCAGCCGGGCTACGGCATTGCCTTCATCCGAGCGGTGGGACTGGTTCACGACTACCCCCGGAGCGCCTCCAAGTTTCTGTTGCAGGAGACGGTGGATCGCAAGGTTGGGAATGGGGATGGTATGGGTATGGTTATGCTGTGGTGATATATGGGGAATTGTGGGTATGTGATCACTGTTCCAAAATACCTGTGTTCCTTCATGTTTTTTTCGATTGTCTTTCTTATCTTTCTTTCATCGTTGCCTTTCTGTCTTGTTTTCTTGGTTGGTTCATTCGTTTGTCATCTCATTCCCTCTTCCCTTCATATATGTTTGGGCAGGCATCATAATCATCAAACATAGATTCATCAAGAACCATGCACATCTTCAACGAAAAATCACCTTTGCCCATTGCACCCAGGCTGTTGGCAATTTCCTCGGCGAAACCTTCGCCATGTGCGACACTCTGCGGCTGGCATTTTTCAGCCGCTGTGATCTGTGGAACACCGGAGTGGTCTCGGCGCTTCTGCAAGCATGTCATGGTTTGGAATGGCCTGGGGCCCTGGGCATTGAAGTTCTTGTTGATCATCTTGCTGAAAGTCAAATACTCAAGATGCCATGCTCCCAAAAAAATGTAAATGATAGTAAATCTAAACTTAAAACCCACCGGCATTGATGTATACACATTTTTGCATCGGTCTTGTGGAAAGCAAAGCCTCGGCAATTGTCACTTTTTGTTGAGGCCTGACGATCTACAAAAAGTGAATCGTTTGGTCCATGCTCTCGCCATCAACTGGTGGACCTGCCATGAAGAGTTTGCAGATGAAGAGGCCATTGGAAAGACCAAATCACAGCAGGATATGGACATTTCCCCCTGAAATGGGATGAATTCGACCAAAATCTCGGGTTCTCTGGGTCTTAATTTGTGTGCCCCCATCCCTATGGGAAAACTCACCTTCAGCCAGCCACAGGTATTGCAACCTGATGATCTGGACGAAATCCGAGGATTAGAGTTGAAAAGTAAGCTGGGCAACGCTGAAAATTTGTCATTTTTATTCCTCTCCTGTCTCTGTTTGCATCACTATTTGCACGAATGTGCTGGCCGAATGGAGCCAGAAATCTGGCGCAAATTTCATGAATCCATCGAAACTGTTCCTCCAGTGGTGCTGCACAAGATCTTTGCGGTGATCAGACGCCACTGGATACCACAGTTCAGCATCCCGTTTTTGTCTTCAAAAAACTTCAAGAGATGTGAACCTCTGCCTGTCAGAAGCAGTTCCTTGCCGTGGCTTCACGGTATCCCTGCTATTCAGGGTTGGCTGTCAGTGGAAAGCACTCCTCCACATGATATTGGCTATCGATCCAAACGAGAACTTTGGATCAGCATCTCATTGGGACTGCTGTGTTTTTCCCTATCTCCCAGTTCTGCTGCCCCTGAAGCCTGTTTGGCGTTGACCGGACTGCAGTCCCATTGGGACGGAGAACGAGTGGTGCTGCAGAAACACAGCGGCAGCCGATCGGATGCTGCTGCCACCGCGGGGAAAGCGGATGTGATGCTGGCGCATCTGAAAGCTGATGGCAGTTGGAAGGAATGCCAATTTCAGAAGATGGAGCTAAGTATTGGACCGTCCTCACAGGAAGATCCTCAGAAGTGGCTCCAATGGTTGGCAGATTCGGCCATTGACATTAATTCAGTGTAGCTGGCGATCAGCCAAAAAAACGGTCCCAAAGTGACCTAGAGGTGGACCAGTGGGTTTGTGTCAAAGGTAATTCAGAGGATCCAAAGTTTTTCAGATGTGATGATCATCGGATGTGTTTGGGAAATATTGGGAAAACCCTATGTGACATATGAATTACATATGACTCATATGACTGCTTGTAGATCTGTTTTGATTCTTTGATGCAGACCCAGTAGCAGAAGTCACGGAGAATTCCGAATGCATTTGTCACAACGATCTGAACAGATGTCACCGGAAAAAGCTTTGCCAAGGCCATATCAATGTGCCGCATCCAGATGGATCTTCCAAAGATCTCCTGTTTTGGCAGCTGGTGAGTCTCATTCTGCCAGGTAGCTAGACGGAGAAAGCGCCGCTTCTTGCGAGCAGCTACCCAGGATGCCTGGGAATGGTATGATTGGTCCAGGGTATCCCTGCATTTCCAACAGGATTTGGAGCAAAGTTTTTAGACAGTGTTTACGACCCGGTTGGAAATCACCAACTGTTTGGTCATGTTTGGCATTTCACATCCCATTTTCCAGGCTTCCTCCAATTTTTGTTAGGTAAATGATTGCCACACTTGCCATTTGACCTCTTGATCTACCCAGTTTTCCCTCCTTTTTGACCCATCAAAACACCAGGACGCCTTCTTTGCAGCTGCTGAGATCTTCGATGAAGATGAGGTGGACGTGGCCATCATTGGAGCTGGACCCGGTGGAACCTTGATGGCATACCTCCTGGCCGAGCAGCATGGGAAGCCGCAACCTCAGATCAGCTTGGGATTTTTATGGAAAAAATATGGATGACCTGATATGACCAGCTGCTGTTAGCTGCTGTTAGCTGTTCAAAACATGAACTGGGCCATTTTCGAAGTGCGGTTTGACTCATGCCCGGTAGTTTTCAGCAGATCTCCTCCCTGAAAATGAAAATGCCAATTTTTGACAAGAAAATGGTCGCCTAATGGAGATACGCAACACACCTATGCAAAAATTATACAGGTGACAGCTGGTATACAGATTAACGAATGCTAAGTAATCAACCTTTAACCATCATTCAACATTAAAATCATCTATAATTATCATTATATCATTTATATCATTATATCTTTCAGTTTTCACATCATGTGTTATTCCCAAGCTGCAGGAAGGTTTGCCTGATCGACCCTATGGCCTCAAAGAAGTGGCCCAACAACTATGGCGTTTGGCAGGTTCTGTGTCAGGAATGGTGATGCAGTGGTGAGGAATTCACAAATAGATGAATAAATAACTATTAGTTATATTATAAGATATAGATATTATAAGATATAATATAAATAAGATTTAGAAACCAATAGGGATATAATGATCACAATGGGAGATATAACCCCAAATGGCCATTGAATAGGAAACGGGATGATGAACCATTGGATCAGCGTATTTTCAGACGAACCCAACGGCCATGCAAGGCGGAGTGGGACGCCCTGGCGGCAAAATTGAGCTTGGACTTGAGACAGTGTCAGTCTGACATGTGCTTGACTTGGGGATGTCTAAAAATAGGGTATACCATTATACCCCCAATTGCTTAGCCATTGAATGTCGGGAAAATGATGTTTTAATCCAATATATTTTCAGACAAACCCACGTGGGTGAAACAGCATAGACTCTGGTATGCTTGATTGGCGCTATAGAAGTTGAGTTATGCCCATATCATTCTGGTGGAATAGTTTACAGTTGCAACCCGATAACCCCAGATGTAGCTGGTAGTGCGCATAGGGTGTCATCAAATGTTTCTCTGTGTTTCTCTGCCAGGTTTGCAAGTTGAATGGGAAGTCACCGACACCTTCTTCGGAGGTAGTTGGGAGGCATGCAAACTAAATTTGTTTAGCACGTGAAGAAAGGACCACGAAAACCATCCAGTTTTCATCGATGTTTCTTGCACATCAATAGTGCCACAGTGCCACCCGCCTTGGTGCAGTTGCCCATTGAGAACCGTTTGCGACTTCAAAGACCATACGTCCTGCACCCAGGAAGTATCAGCCCCCCCGTGAATCATCCTGACTCCAGTAAAAATGGCCCGCTTCCAATATCTTCCAATGACCCAAGAGATCCCAAGAGTCTGCAATTCCCAGAAAATCATGTTCATTTTCCATCTCAAGCTGACCATTTGAGGCCAGAGTTGACCGCAGCAAACTGAAAAAGCTGCTGCGGAGCAGTTTCATCCTCAGGATTTTTCAACTTATGTGTGCAGCCTCGCTAGAATTCTGGGAAAAGCCAATTCATAGCTACATGTGAACGAGTTGCGAACTTTTTTCCAACAGAACAGGATGAACAACAACAAATCAGCCTTCAAAGTAATGTGATCAACCAGATCAACCCCATACCCAAAACATATAAAAACCATCCCCAGAACATTGAGATCACCATGACCATAGATCCATGTGGCCTCCCCTTTCCATTCCAAGTTTCGACCAAGTTTCACCAAGGCTCCAAAGTGAAGGTCATCGAATCGGAAGTGGAGGCTGAAGCTGTGGCCTCCAATATCTTCGATAGCCCAGCGATTCGCCACAGTGCCACAGGCCGGGATCCACTCTGATCCACTGGTGTTTTCCACGTGTTTTTCCATGTCCTTAGATGGAAAAAAACTGGAAAAGTTGGAACTGGACTGGACACCAGGATGTTTATGGTTTCTTAAGATAAGTGTGTACCAAATCCGGAACATCTGCAGATTTTGATCAACAGATCCAACAGATTTTGAAGATCTGACATCAACTTTCGTCAGGATCCATCATCCTGCTATCCAATGGCTCGGCAGTTCGTACCAAGCAACTTGGCGACGAACCCATGATGAAACTCAATGGATTGGAGGGATTTTTAACAGGAAAGCCCCAATATTGAATGGGAAAATCGATAGTTTCCAATCATCCAAACGTTCATCCAAACTCTCGTTGTAATCTCCTTTTTCCTACCCAAAACAAAGTGTTTCCAGTGGTTTCCAGGTGCACTTCCCACCATCCGATATGTCCAGAGGCTCATCGTGGATTCCACGGGCTTCGAATCCCGCCTCACTCGACGTCTCCCTGCAGCGGGGCAGCCACCAGCTCCAGCACCGGGATATCAAATCGCCTATGGTTGCGAAGTGGTCGGCGGTCTCAAAGTTGGGGTCATGTGATTTTGGCCAGCTTTGCCTTGGGTATATCTCAAAGTTGTGAAAATTGAGAAGTACCTCATTTTGAAGACAGTGGTTTGTGGTTGAGAGACTCTATATGGTGCTTTTTCTTTGCTTCTATTTTACTTGGGACAGTATGAGAAACTCTTTACTTTGAGACATCATCCCAAAAGAACGTGCCAATTGACATCAGCCTTCACCAGTTGCGTCTCAGATCAGGTCGTAGATGGACCATTGCATTATGCGCCAGAAGCGATGACCCTCTTTGACTACAGAACGGACCACCTGAGTTTCGACAAGGCAGTGGCATGTTGCAACATACCATCCTTAGGCGCCAATATCAAGCAGCAAGGGTCAAGAATCTATGGATATCTAATGGAAACCCATGGATATATATATATACGTATATATATATATATAGTATATATATATATAATGTATATCTAATGTATATCTAATGGATATCTAATGGATATCTGACAGATCTCCATGGATAACAATGGTCCCCCTGCCAGGAATGGGAGGAGCGGGCCAAGAAAGAGCCCACCTTCATGTACGTCATGCCTTTGGGTCCTGCCGCTTCCTTAGTTGGTGTCTGGCACCGAGGGCAACGTCATCAGCCATGGTTGGAGAGTCCTGCGTTCCACCGCAGGTTCCGGGTGAAGCAGACGCACAACGAGCCTGGCTCTCAGATGCAGCTGCCAAGCTTGTCGCTGTTTGTCCATGAAGTGACCAGTGATCTTTGATGATCTTTGGTGATCTTTGCCCCTTTGATGCGTTTGACGTCAGGTGTTTTTTGAGGAGACATCACTCGCATTGCTCCCAGTGACATCCAGTGACTGACTGTGGCTTCTCGAAAAACGGATCGCCAGGTGGCACGTCCTGCCATCAGCTTCGAAGAATGCAAGCAGCGATGCTTTGCGCGACTGAATCATTTGGGTCAGGACCTCAAACCTTGGAGAAGTGTGCACCAAAGGATCCAAAAGGTTATCCTAAACTAGGTTTCTCCCCATGGTTCTGGGGTATGATGATTTGATGATAGAGATCAATGCTACCAGAGATGACGATGGTCAGATGCGTCCGAGGTATTTCCTACCGACCAGAGACCATCTCGGACGAGGAACTGATCGGAACTTGTTGCACGAGGTTATTGTCCAGTTTGAGTGGGGAATAGTAACCTATAAATTCAAATCATGCACACACACATTATATATATATAAGTGTATAGGTAGATTGATGATGATTGATGTAGATGTCAACTTGGTGAGTTCATTGAATTGCACTTACTCTCAAGGTCGGATATGGTCGGATAAACCGGAGAAACCCAAAAAACCTTTGCTCTCAGGAAACCTGTCAGTCCTTGATTTTTCCACGCCAATGAAGGAATTTTGCTACATCCCAATGGGAGGTCCGCTTCCGGAGACCCTTAGCTGCACCAAGATTGGAGTGAGGCCTCTAAGGGAGACACCTGAAAAAAAAATAGGTGGGATGGTTACGGGATGGTGGTTCATGAATTCATATGAACTCACGCCAAAAAGATGGCCCAACTCTACCCCGCAATCTTGAGTTGCAGTGAAGTCTAAGCTATTTTAGTAGGTTAGTTGTGGATCAAAATCAGCTGACTCAGCTAGACCTCCCAAAAATTCATGGTGTTTCCATGATTTTACCATATTTTACCCTCTGGTAATTTAACATAGCTATTGAAAATGGCCATAGAAATAGTGGGTTTACCCATTAATAGCATGGTGATTTTCCATCGTTTTTTGTTAGTTTACCAGAGGGTATATTTTACGACTGAAAATCACCAGCCACCAACCTGGGTCCATTGACCCAGATATCCATCTGATCTCACAAGGCCCGGTCAGCGCATCATTGCCTTTGGAGCAGCTGCTGCCATGGTTCATCCATCCACAGGTGAACTGCTGGGGAATTGGTAAATCCATAGGTTTTCGACATGTTTTCTGAGGCCTTCATGTTTGAAAGCAATTGATTTTGTCTGAGCTTTGTGAAGCTTTGGAGCCAAGCAGCCAAGCAGCCAAAGGACCTGTGTTCTTTTTCAAGTCATCGGTTTTTTTCCGTGTCCTTCGCTGCGCAGCTCCTGTCCATTCAGTGTTTCGGCTTGCAGCACGCACCATACCTAAGCGTCACCCCCTCGAAACCTTCTGTACAATGTCTACGGCCAGGCCCTCAGTTTCGTTGTATCAATGGAAAATCTATAGGATGCCATGGTTTTTACCATTAAATGTCGTGGTAAAATCTGTAAAATTTCCCTTAAACCAATCCAATGATTGTAGTTTAGTCTTGAGTGTTTTGATGATTTTCCTGGTGATTCATTGAATATTAATATATATTACCCTCTGGTTATTTAACATAGCCATGGTATGGATGGCCCATAGAAATAGATGGTTTACCTATTAATAGCATGGGTGTTGATTTTCCATGGCAAACTGGCAATGTCACAACCAGAGGCTAATATATATATATATTAACATAGACATGGAAAATCACCATTTTTAATAGGTAAACCATCCCATTACTACTACAACTATCCCATTACTACTTTAATGATGGCAAATAATTAGTAACTATTCCTGATGAATCACCATTATATCCATGATTCCTGATGAACGGATGTTAATGGTAAGTACTATACAATATTAGACCTGTTTTTCCCATTAACATCCATTATTAATCATTAACCAATGATTCTTCCTGATGATTCATGGTGATGTGACCTTTTTTCCCATTAACCCATGATTCCATGGTGATTTTTTCATCCGTGGAGCTGTCAGAGCTGTGAGGAAGAAGCCAAAGCTGGACTCCTCTCAGAGGGCAGCGGCAAGGCCGGTGAGGTGGAGTTGGGTCCGGAGTCCCAGAGTGTGGAGCGGTAACGGTTGGTTACCCTCTGATAAAACCGTTCCAAAAAACGATGGAAAGATCCACCATGCTATTAATGGGAAAATCCACTATTTCGATTGGGCCATTTTCAATAGCTATGTTAATTTACCAGAGGGTAGTTGCTTCAAGAAATCATGGTGGATATGGTGGGTTTTGAACCAAAAAACGATGGGAAAACCCTTGGAAAATAGAGATTGGATACAGATGATCATGGAGATTTCAGGAATGGAACCCACGAAGATCCAGAAAATCCTGAGGGATATCATAAGGCGATCATAAGATATCATAAGGATTTAAGCTAGCAACATGAGGGATTTCTCCCGCAATCACCGGGATTTAACCATCGCTAAGCTGAGCTGCAGCGCTGCAGGAATGGGATTCGACAAGGAAGCAGCTAAAAAGACTGCGGGTGAGATCAAAGATGTTCAGCCCTCAGATTCATCCAACAAAAACTGCTGGATTCTTGTTCGCTTACCCTCTGGTAAACCGTTCCAAAAAACGATGGAAAGATCCACCATGCTATTAATGGGTAAATCAACTAATTATATCAACTATTTCGACTGGGCCATTTTCAATAGTTTTTTGTATGTTTACCAGAGGGTTTTTCAATCGGCAAGGAGACCTCCAAGTTTGCCAAAGAAATCGGAAACGAAATTGGGAAGACCTGGGAATCGAAGCTTGGCCTTGGCCGAAGCCGTGTGTTTCAGCTGAAAGCTGCTGATTTGCACAGTTTTTCCAATGGCAAAAAGCTGGCTTTTCGATGTTTTTCGTTGAGACTATACCAATACAGGAATCAGTTGATGAACATCAAATGTGAATCAGGAATAGATATGACAGTTGGTTGATATATATATATATATACCAACCAATACTATACCTTGAAGGTGTGTTCCGTGGAATCTTCTGGGGAATAGATCTGGAATTCCTGACCGGAAATCCGCACAATGTCCTCACGGCCCAGGATGCGCGCTGCCAAATTCACCGAGACCCTGAATGCTGAGGACGACACCATGCCGAAGAAGATGCTGGGTTTGCAACGGTTTACACCCCCAAACATTGCCATCGAAAAGTAGGAAAAATGTTGAAAAATGCCATGATAAATACCAATATAAACCACTGGAAAAAAGGGGGATAAGCTATCCTTGGACAAAGTATGCCAAAAGTCATGGTTTTTGACCAGTGAGACCGTCCTTGCAATGAATGCTGTGGTTCTCGACATGGCGATGTGGGATCTAAGGGCTTTGAAGTGCTTCATGCAGCTTGGCCAAAGCAAAGAAAAACAGTCTGTGGATGGTATGGCGATGGCTGCATTTAAGTTGTGCTTTGAATAGGAGCCATGTTTGTTGCATCGATAAGGACCTATTTGATGAAGCCTTTGCACCCTGGATGCATTGGATGCTGACGGATCACTGGGCATCCTTGGGCACGGCATGGCACGGCCGCCACAAAATTGCGGCAGTTGCTGACAGGATCATCGTCCTCATGATCTACGTCTTCATTATCCGAATGCTGTACAAGGTGAGAGTTTCTCTCCAAACTGTAGCAGCCCAACGGTTGCCGGTTTCAACATGTTTCAACGTTTTCAACGATGTGAAAAACGATGTGAAAAACCACATTTTAATCTGGTTGCTGCTGACTGGAACCATGGAATTTTATGACTTTCCTTATACCAGTATTGGGAATGTCATCATCCCAACTGACCCGTCATATGTTTCAATCATATTTGGGACAGTGATTTTTGGTGCGGCTTCAGGTGTACCAAGTGTTGCCGATCCACTTGTTGGAGATGATCTTCGGCGTCGGCCTTTGCTTCTTTGGAGGCACGCAGCAGCCTCCACGTTTTTTTTTCACAAACAGATTCAATTAAGATTGGATTGAATGAAGATTGGATGAAGATTGAATATCGAGAATTTCTTCATGAAATTCACTGATTCTATGTTATTCAAAGTGTGTTTGAGTCTTTCTGGCATTCCATGCCCCCAACTTCCATATCTGCACAGTCCACGTGTCGTCCACGTGTCGAGAAAAAAACCACGCATCACGCAGGTGTGTACTTTGCTTCCATCGCCGCTTTTGAAGCCTTCCGCAACTTTGGTGGTCAACTTCTGATTGATGTGCGCCCCACCAGTAGCACCAGTAGCACCTGGCAATGGCGAATGATTGGATTTTAGTGGACCATCTGTTGAGACTGGACAGATATATAGCTGTTGTATGCTGTGACAGGAGCTTTCATTGTGCTGGGAACAGGCTGGTTTGAAACAAAGCAAGAACTGCGTCCTTTCACTTCGAAACTCTGTGAATACTTGGAAGATCTTGGAAGTACTGATGATCTTTCCACCTGCAAAAACACCGAGTCTGTACTCAGTCGCAGATGAAATCTTTCCACCTCGCTATCAGCTGTCGCTACAGGCACTCTTGGTCAAAGCGGTCAGGATCCTCGGTGTCCTCGGATCAGCTGTCAGTTTTCCCTCGCTGATGGAGTAACAACCTGAGGCAAATGAAGAGGACGACAAGAAAGATCTGGACAAGGCCACGACTGGTCGGATAGGTCGGACAAACCATCGAATTTTATTGGGTAGCCTCTGGTTATGTCAAAATAGCTATTGAACATGGCCCATTTATAGTTGATTTCCCCATTAAAAATGGTGATTTTCCATAGTTTTTTGTTGGTTTACCAGAGGGTAGTCTGAAATTTCACCTGGGTTTCACTTGTTCTCGAGCCCCATTGTGTTGTGTCCGGATGTCCAAATGCTCAATGCTCGCCCATTGTGACACAGCGCAGAACGGCGTGGCGGATGTGCAAGAGATGGGATACAACGAGCTTATCACCCACAAGGTGTGGATGAATTGGTCAATGCTGGTCATTTTAAGTCCTACACCATCCCAAATGGCTGGTCATTTGAACAGTTTCACTTCACTTTGGAAATTCAAAGGTTGGTTGCTTTTGATCTTTTGATGGTGATGTACTCCATGTTCAGAAACAAAAGTGGCAACGTCTCTCAGTAAAAGTGGCAAAGCTGTGAGCCTACTGAAAGATTAAACCCATCCAAAATTTGAGAGGAAAGATGGCCACTCCGCCACCCCCTCATTTTCAGCCAGGCAAAGATGGCGATGATGGCAGTGGACAAGCCAGAACGTTTGATGAAGGCAATGTGGTGCATTGAAACTGCTGAAACCCAAACTGAGAGATGTTTGCACTATGTATATCTCTGATTTATCTATGTATATATATATATATATACATCTTTTCCTCCAGTTCCCTTTGGTACCAAAAATCCATGATTTGAATCTTTTGAATACATAGTTCGTTGAACTGAGCAACGAACCAGTTTGATATGTCTGGAAGGCCTCTGAGTACCTCTTCACGGCATGGGTGGCTGCCTGCTGCCTCAGTAGCAATCTGCAGGACTGGTACACGACTCATCTGATGAGACCCTGAGGTCATTGCAACTTTGAAGTCTCAGCCGGGTACCCAGCGCCATCCAGCGCCATTGAACCAGGCATCAGTTTTCCAACATTTTCCAACACTCCCATTCCATGAAAATAGGATGATCCTGTCATGGCTATCCCATGTTATACCCACACCTCATAAACTCTCATGACACCACGGAAAAAAAAACACCAAGGTTCGCTAAGACTGTTGCGATTGCCCTTGGAATTGCAGATCAACTGCAGCTGCCGGCCATTCAAGTCTTTGGCCCCACATTGGCCATGTTGCTCGGAAAGGACCATGGGTTTGTGTCCATTGCTTGTGTGAAAAAGGGCCATAAAGGGCCCTCCAATTGCGATCTCAGTATGTGCTCAAACCATCTCAAACCCATCCACTACCCAATTTTTTTCAGATGTAAAAATTCCCCCATTCCAGTGGTTTTCCACGGCTCCCCATCCGCATCATCCCCTTCTGATCCCAAGCTGCAGGACTTGTCTCATTGGACCGCGCCAATCATCGGCACCACCATCAAAGTCATTGCCGTTGTGATTTCCTCCTACATCCAGGCGGTGATCAGTGCCTTCTACTCCGGAATCCGCGGTGGACGTTTGTTTGGAGAAGCGTTTGGGGACCCAGTTGGGGGAACCGGGGGATGTTGGGGGAAAAAAAGGGGGAACCTGATGGTGAGGTGATGGGTTTTTGGTGATGTGGATGTTTTTTCCATGCACGAGGTTCATGTATGGCGTGATGCCTTACATCAGCTCTCATCTCAGAAGATCTCAGAAGATCTCGGAACTGTGAGATTTTCAACTGTGGCTGTGATGATTTCAGAGTTTTCCCCATAGTTTCCGCTTCACTTTCTTTGATTCTCCCTTGGCAGGCCCTTACCTGCCTGAGTGCATGGGCGTGAAGAACTTTGATCCGGCCGAGTTACCTTCTCAGACATTCCAGTTCCAGATGTTCCAGTCCAGCTGGTTTCAGCAATGTTTCAGCATGAAAACAGGATTAAAACAGGTGGATTCTGTCTCCAAAATCGACATGATTCTTCTCATCTAAACTCAGTGAATACGAATCCATGTCGCTGGAAGTTGTGGTACTTTTTTGCAGTTTTCCTCAGTTTTTTTTCAGGTCATACATTGATGAGATTCTGGGCTTCCCTCTTGCCGCCGCAAATCGGCTGCATCTTTTGAATGAAATCTATGAAAGTTTCCCAGGACTTGGTGTTTTCCATGTTTTCCGTGGTGAAAAAATCCAGAAAACCCTGAAACTGAGTGACTATCCCATCACTGCGTATCTGAGGCGGGCTTCTACTATCAAATCACCCACGGTTTCGCCTTGGAGTTCCCGTACAGCCTCATCATGTTGCCTTGCACCATTGTGGAGTGGGTCATCCGCTGGCACATCTACACCTGAGCAGCGGCGCGCAGCTGTGAAAATTGGACCACGGAACGTTTCGCCACACCAGTGGCACCGCTGAGCGGACCAACTCACAAGGTCTTTCAGAGTCTTTCATGACAATTTCGCTTCTTTTTTTTTGCGTGCCTTTCGGTCCACGTAAATCACTACGATGACAGTGGTACTGAAAGTAAGCTGACGGCAACAACCTCAGAGATTGCCTCTGATCCTTTGTGAACTGTGACGTGCACGAGCAATGAAAAAATGGGGGATACCGGGATACCCAAACTTTGCGAGTTGGCAGTCCGTTGTCGCTGAAATTGGCAGTTGGCAAATCTTCAAATCTTCGAAAGCCAGTTGAATCCCCCACTTGGCCGGCAGGGTACCAGCTCTGCCGCATGATGGCTGCTTCAAAGGACACCGGAAAATGTGGAAAATCGATCCGCAACAAAGTCACCACTGAGATAAAGATGATAAAGTGAAGGATGTGGCGGATGCCATCGCAGATGGATTGGGAAAAGGTTTGAAGTTTGGCACTTGGCATCAAAAGAGGCACAAAATTCCAAGGATCACAGTTTGATTTGGAGAGGTAAAGGAGGTAAAGGAGGTAAAGCAAGAGACACATGTGACCATAGTGAAAGATATTGAGAGAAATTGAAAAGTGGTTCCAAAATCTTCCAAAGATAATTTGTGGCTGCATCAAGGCCAGATGCTGTAGCTGCTTCTGCATACCAAGCCATTTGGAGCCCTCAGCCCAGCCGCTGTCCATGTCATTGGCCTAGCAGTTCCAGCAGTTCCACCCAGGTGAGCGAAACCAAGCGCAACGAGATTTTGCGATTTTTGGTGGCGAGTGGCACACCAAGCCTGCAACAAAAAAATCATGCAATCTATGCCATTCCATGCCATTCCATGCAGCCTCAAGTATTCAGAGTGTTGAATCAAAACCTGACTGGCTGGTGGTTTGGAACATGTTTGTCTATTTTTCCCATCATATTGGGAATGTCATCATCCCAACTGACTTTCATATTTTTCAGAGGGGTGGCTCAACCACCAACCAGTGAGAATTCATGGAGCTTTTGACAACATGAAGATCATGGGATGTCTCGATGATATGAGGTTCCTGATGGAATTGGACGTCGCTGGTCTCCGCGGATGGTTTCAAGGTTTCTTCAACCTTCCAGAGGACCCCCAATGACCCCATCAGAATCTGCAGAATCTTCAGTGATTTCATGACATTTCACGGATTCAGCTGTTTGAAAAGTTGAAAAAAAAGGACCTTTGGGCGGGTTTTCTCGCAGGATGGCCCAAACCTCAGAGATCAATCTGTGAAAAGCTGCTGATGATCCAATCTGGGTTGAGGCCTTCTCTTCCTGGAAACAAGAACCATGAGCCGGAAACCTGGGCTTGGCTTCTTTTGTTAGATCTCCAGATTCAAAAAGTCAGTCACAGTGTTTGGACATTTTAGGTATTACGGTATGTCTGAAAATGGTGTATCCCTCCAAATGGCCAGTTCAATATGAGTACTTATGATTCACCACTGGATTTAGATTTAACTATTGTTATCTTTTGATATAAGGGGTGGATCATTATTATGTGCTAATTATTGTTATTATCTATGGTGGATCCATTTCTGAACCATATCATTATTAATATTATCTAATTATGATTATCTATTATTATCTACTTATTATGATTCACCATATCAGACAAAGCCATTGGTCCATTTCTGAATCCCTATCATTATAATCATGTTCCATGACGTAGCTAAGGTCTTGGCTGGCACGTTTGACCTTTGGCTTACAGCTGGTCACAAAGATTCCCCCACCCGTCGCTTGGATCTCAGGGCTGCCAGAATTTTGTCTGCAGCAAAATTGGAGGAATCTTATAGAAACAAATGACTCACTGAATGGAAATGGAAACTTGAGAATGTCTTTCAGAAACTTGTTTCAGCTTTCTAACTTCAGAATCATCAGAGAAATTCGATCGTCTTTCAGATGATCCTTAAAATTACTGGCTGGAAATCGATACCCTCTGGTAAACTAACATAGCTATGGAAAATCAGTATTATTAATGGGAAAACTCACTATTTCTATGGCCATGTTCAATAGCTTTTTGTATGTTTACCAGAGGGTAGAAATGACAAAAAATAACTGGCCGGCCAAGGCCCTGAAACTCATTGCCGCCATTGGTCGCTTCTCTTTGACCTATGGCCCATGTCTCAACGATGTGAGAAGGGGATGGGATAAACGATGCATCAGGTCTGTGGCTTGTCAATATTGATAAACAAAGGATGGTTGATCCACACATCAATGTATATTTATATATATTGGAATATATATATATAATATATATATATATTATTGGAGATATATATTGGATTTTACTGATGTGTTTATTGATGTGTTTATTGATGTGTGTCCTCATCCTTTGAAACCATCCATGTTCAATTGTTGAAAAGCGTCCGGATCAACGAGGCGTGTCGTTGATCCGTTCAGTGACGCCTTTGTTTGGCACCCCACCGTCCTACGTTGGCAGCTGAGACCTGGCCGGCAGCCACGATCCAAATCAAGCAGTTTGCTCATCCAAAGTGGGGATGGGTCAAAACCCTGGTACCCCTGGTGAACCCCAAAATAGCTGGTAAATGGATGTTCATCCCACTAAAAATGTATCTATAGGTATTGACCCATACCCAAGTTGCCAAAAAGTTGGATACATCATGGAAAACCAACATGTTGACATGATTAATTGAGATAACAAGTTGTTGTAATGAAAATTGAGATAATAAGTTGGGGACTTACCCGCATTGGAAACCAACTATGATTAAAAGTTGTTAGTAAATCAAGATTAACATCATCAGATTGCGGGTAAGTCCCCCATGAAAAATGAACAACTTGTGCAGATGTTACAGAAAAACTGAGGCTTGGACCCCTCCAGTGCCCAAAGAAGAGGTGGGGGTACACAGGTCCCAGAGTTTGTTTGATGAATTTCTGATCCAATAGCAAAACCTAAGGGTTTCTCTGGTACCTTGGATATATTTGATGGGCTATTTATTCAAAAACATTGCTATGTTGGCAGACCCTCTGTGGATGAGATCAACAAATGTAGCCTTTGGTTATGACAAACAGTTCGCAATGGAAAATCATCACTTTTAATAGCTACATCATCTATAAATGGATCATTTTCCGCTATGTTAGTCATAACCAGATGGTATATGTACAAAGGTCGATGGGATGGGATTTGTGTTGATTTTCTGACAGATTGGAGACGTGGCCGCGAAGACAGAAGCGCTGGCCATGATGAAAGCGGGCCAGGTCCTTAGTGACAGTCCGAAAGATGTGACCATCATCCTTATTCTTGTTAATTAAACCACCATTGGCAGTGGTGGTTTCAATGGTTGAAAAATATCAATGGTGGTTTAACTCACAAGAATTGTTGGGTGTTGATTGGTGAAACCGCAGAATTTATGATGCTTTTGTGGTTCCGGGTTCACAGGATTTATGAATCGGGTATGAACATCACCATGGATGGTTTAGATCCCCACTATCCAGGGTTTTTGGATGATTTTCACCAGTTCAACACCTGATGTGGGATGCTCTAGGATCAGAAATCATCAAAACCTTGGGAATTTCCAGGCCCCAACGACCCTAACAAAAGATGATAACATAGTGAAATAGATTTGGCATGAAGTCAAAGGTTGTGCAAACCACCAAGGAAAGCAAGAAAAGCATGCAGCTAAAGATGCTAAAGAGAAAGTGCCTGAGGGCAAGCAATTGGCATGAGCCATCTTGAGACAGCTGCACGGAAGGTTTTGGAGCACCTGTTTCACCCTGAGCCATTTGATCCAACTGCTCGTTTTCCCGCATTTTCCACAGCGATTTAAGTGGTTTCGTGCCAAAAAGGCCTTGCAGATCGCAAGCTGCTGTTTCTTCCACATCACTTGATCATTTGTATAATTTTGTATATCAACAATTAGTTCTGTATAATGACATTAGTTCTGTTGCCCCACATTCTAAGAAGCTAGAAGAAAACTAAGATCTGGATTATTATGGATCTTCCAAAAAACATCAAAAAACAACACAAATCTCCTACAGTCCTTCAGGGTCTGAAAACTGGGGCCATTTCCAGGATTGGACCATCCCAGTACCTCGGATGAAGCTCCAACTACGACGGATGCAGGTTCGGAAAACGCCCTGACCCTCTAGTAATTTTCCATAGATATCCATAGATATCCATAGAAAATGGAGGGAAACTCTATGGCTATGGAAGATTATGGAAGATGGGATGAAAATGGATGGTCCATTTATAAATTTTGCTGATTTGGCTAGTTGACATTTAAGACATGCAGATTTTTTTCCGCTTGAAAATGACCAGAGGGAAAGGAAAATACACCATTTTATGGTCACGAAATTTGCCCAAAAGATCAATTGGCAGTGTGTCAAAACCTTGTACCCCTGTTGAACATCAAAATAGCTGGTAAATGGATGTTCATCCCCCTAAAAATGGTAACATAGACCCGGGCAAGCCGGCGGCGGAAGTTTCCCAAGAATAAATGACCTATAGTTCGACGCCAGCCTGTCCCGACCGTGTCCTTCACTCGACAAGCGGCTTTTTTTTTCAGCGAGAGACGAAGCAAAGTCTTCACACTCCACACTTCGCACGCACTCGAAACTTCACACTTCACACTCCACACTTCACACTGCGCTCTTCGCACTCCAAACTTAAACTTCACACTCCACACTTCACACTCCACACTTCACACTTCACAGTTCACACTTCTCACTTCGCACTTCACAGTCCACACTTCACAGTCCACACTTCACAGTCCACACTTCACAGTCCACACTTCACAGTCCACACTTCACACTTCACACTCCACACTTCACACTTCACACTTCACAGTCCACACTTCACACTTCACACTTCACAGTCCACACTTCACACTTCTCACTTCTCACTGCTTCCTTCACACTCCAAACTTCACACTCCAAACTTCACACTTCGCACTTCACACTCCACACTTCACACTTCCCGCTTCACAGTCCACACTTCACACTCACTTCTCACTTCTCACTGCTTCCTTCACACTCCAAACTTCACACTTCACACTTCACACTTCTCACTTCACACTTCACACTTCACAGTCCACACTTCACACGTCTCACTGCTTCCTTCACACTCCAAACTTCACACTTCTCACTTCGCACTTCACACTCCACACTTCACAGTCCACACTTCACACTTCTCACTTCTCACTGCTGCCTTCACACTCCAAACCTCACACTTCACACTTCACACTCACTCTTCGCGCTCCAAACTTAAACTTCACACTCCACACTTCACACTTCTCACTTCCCACTGCTTCCTTCACACTGTACACTTCACACTGCACTCTTCACACTCCACACTTCACACTGCACTCTTTGCACTCCAAACTTCACACTAGTCCACACTTCACACTTCTCACTTCTCACTGCTTCCTTCACACTCCAAACTTCACACTTCACACTTCACACTGCACTCTTCACGCCCCACACTTCACACTGCACTCTTCACACTCCACACTTCATCTCATCTGAGCTCTTCTCACCTCATCCCAGCTCATCTCTTCTCATCTAGTCCCTTCTCATATGTTATCTATTAAGCTTTCATTAATCAATTCCCAGCACTGCTACTAATCACTGTCGAACCCTTGATGCACCCACTCCAATACGATTTACGAAGTCCAGCTGCAAAAGACAATGTATTGCGCATGCAGCCGCGGCACCAAGCAACCTTGACGCAGCCATCACAATGCGATCTGCAGAGACTGAGTTGCGAAACACAATAGAACTACGCGCAACTGGGTCGGAAATTGCAGCTACAAAACCGGATCTCGACGCCAAAGCGAAAAAAAAGACGATTTTGAAGCACTTTTTAAAAGGATTTTTAAAAAGAAAATCACTGGCGCCAAAATGGAGAAAATCTGCTGACAAATCACTGTCGCAGCCTTCATGCAGCCACTCCAATACGATTTACGAAGTCCAGTTGCAAAAGACAATAGTATTGCGCATGCAGCCGCGGCACCAAGCAACCTTGACGCAGCCATTACAATGCGATCTGCAAAGACTGAGTTGCAAAACACAATAGAACTACGCGCAACTGGGTCGGAAATTGCAGCTTCAAAACCGGATCTCGACGCCAAAGCGAAAAAAAGACGATTTTGAAGCACTTTCTAAAAGGATTTTTAAAAGGAAAATTACTAGCGCCAAAATGGAGAAAATCTGCTGACAAATCACTGTCGCAGCCTTCATGCAGCCACTCCAATACGATTTACGAAGTCCAGCTGCAAAAGACAATAGTATTACGCACGCAGCCGTGGCAAGAAGCAACCTTGACGCAGCCATTACTATGCGATCTGCAGAGACTGAGTTGCAAAACACAATAGAACTACGCGCAACTGGGTCGGAAATTGCAGCTCCAAAACCGGATCTCGACGCCAGAGCGAAAAAAAGACGATTTTGAAGCACTTTTTAAAAGGGTTTTTGAAAAGAAAATCACTGGCGCCAAAATGGAGAAAATCTGCTGACAAATTACTGTCGCAGCCTTCATGCAGCCACTCCAATACGATTTACGAGATCCACCTGGAAAAGACAATGGTATTACGCATGCAGCCACAGCACGAAGCAACCTTGACGCAGCCATTACAAGGCGATCTGCAGAGACTGAGTTGCAAAACACAATAGAACTACGCGCAAACACAGTTGAAACCCCATTTACAATGCGGAACCGATCCGAGACCGATCCGAGCATGATCCGCCCATGATCCGAGAATGATCCGACCACACACGAGACCGTCTCGCACCCGTCGCACCGCAGAGGTAGATCATCGAGGTTCGGGGACGGACTTTGTATGGAAAAACATAGGCTTTCGTGCATCTGCTATCTCTCAAAACGCATTTCGTGCGAGACTTCCTTCAAAACTCCATCGGCAACTCCTCCACCAGCACCACTTGCAATCCCATTTACATTGCGGGAACGATCCTAGAGTTGCAAATCACAATGGAATTCCATCGGCAACTCATCCACCAGCACCACTTGCAATCCCATTTACATTGCGGGAACGATCCTACAGTTGCAAATCACAATGGAATTCTGTCGACCGCACATGCACGAAAAACAGTTGAAACCCCATTTACAATGCGGAACCGATCCCGATCCGCATGATCCGAGCATGATCCGACCACACACGAGACCGTCTCGCACCCGTCGCACCGCAGAGGTAGATCATCGAGGTTCGGGGACGGACTTTGTATGGAAAAACATAGGGTTTCGTGCATCTGCTATCTCTCAAAAACGCATTTCGTGCGAGACTTCCTTCAAAACTCCATCGGCAACTCCTCCACCAGCACCACTTGCAATCCCATTTACAGTGAGGGAACGATCCTAGAGTTGCAAATCACAATGGAATTCCATCAGCAACTCATCCACCAGCACCACTTGCAACCCCATTTACAATGCGGGAACGATCCTACAGTTGCAAATCACAATGGAATTCTGTCGACCACACATGCACGAAAAACAGTTGAAACCCCATTTACAATGCGGAACCGATCCGAAGACGATCCGAGAATGATCCGACCATGATCCGAACATGATCCGACCACACACGAGACCGTCTCGCACCCGTCGCACCGCAGAGGTAGATCATCGAGGTTCGGGGACGGACTTTGTATGGAAAAACATAGGGTTTCGTGCATCTGCTATCTCTCAAAAACGCATTTCGTGCGAGACTTCCTTCAAAACTCCATCGGCAACTCATCCACCAGCACCACTTGCAATCCCATTTACAGTGAGGGAACGATCCTAGAGTTGCAAATCACAATGGAATTCCATCGGCAACTCATCCACCAGCACCACTTGCAACCCCATTTACAATGCGGGAACGATCCTACAGTTGCAAATCACAATGGAATTCTGTCGACCACACATGCACGAAAAACAGTTGAAACCCCATTTACAATGCGGAACCGATCCGACCATGATCCGACCATGATCCGAGCATATCCGACCATGATCCGACCACACACGAGACCGTCTCGCCCCCGTCGCACCGCAGAGGTAGATCATCGAGGTTCGGGGACGGACTTTGTATGGAAAAACATAGGGTTTCGTGCATCTGCTATCTCTCAAAAACGCATTTCGTGCGAGACTTCCTTCAAAACTCAATCGGCAACTCCTCCACCAGCCACCACTTGCAATCCCATTTACAGTGAGGGAACGATCCTTGAGTTGCAAATCACAATGGAATTCCATCGGCAACTCATCCACCAGCACCACTTGCAATCCCATTTGCATTGCGGGAACGATTCATAGAGTTGCAAATCACAATGGAATTCCATCGGCAACTCATCCAGCAGCACCACTTGCAATCCCATTTACATTGCGGGAACGATCCTACAGTTGCAAATCACAATGGAATTCTGTCGACCGCACATGCACGAAAAACAGTTGAAACCCCATTTTACAATGCGGAACCGATCCGAGAATGATCCGAGAATATCCGAGAATGATCCGACCACACACGAGACCGTCTCGCACCCGTCGCACCGCAGAGGTAGATCATCGAGGTTCGGGGACGGACTTTGTATGGAAAAACATAGGCTTTCGTGCATCTGCTATCTCTCCAAAACGCATTTCGTGCGAGACTTCCTCCAAAACTCCATCGGCAACTCCTCCACCAGCACCACTTGCAATCCCATTTACAGTGAGGGAACAATTTCTTTGCTAACTCTTTCTTTGACTCACTCTTTTCCTCACTAACTCTTTCTTTGACTAACTTGTTTCTTTGCTAACTCTTTCTTTGACTACCTCATAATGATATACTGAACGAACTCGTTCTTGACTAACTCTTTTCCCTGACGACTCTTTCTTTTTGACTAACTGTTTCTTTGCTAACTCTTTCCTTGACTAACTCTTTCCCTCACTAACTCTTTCTTTGACTAACTCTTTCCCTGACTAACTCTTTCTTTGACTAACTCTTTCCCTGACTAACTGTTTCTTTGCTAACTCTTTCTGTGACTAACTCTTTCCCTCACTAACTCTTTCTTTGACTAACTCTTTCCCTGACTAACTGTTTCTTTGCTAACTCTTTCTTTGGCTAACTCTTTCCCTCACTAACTCTTTCTTTGACTAACTCTTTCCCTGACTAACTGTTTCTTTGCTAACTCTTTCTTTGACTAACTCTTTCTTTGACTAACTCTTTCCCTCACTAACTCTTTCTTTGACTAACTCTTTCCCTCACTAACCGTGCGGGGACTAACTCTTTCCCTGACTAACTGTTTCTTTGCTAAATCTTTCTTTGACTAACTCTTTCCCTCACTAACTCTTTCTTTGACTAACTCTTTCCCTCACTAACTCTTTCTTTGACTAACTCTTTCCCTGACTAACTCTTTCTTTGACTAACTCTTTCCCTGACTAACTGTTTCTTTGCTAACTCTTTCTTTGACTAACTCTTTCCCTGACTAAGTGTTTCTTTGCTAACTCTTTCTTTGACTAACTCTTTCCCTCACTAACTCTTTCTTTGACTAACTCTTTCCCTGACTACCTGTTTCTTTGACTAACTCTTTCTTTGACTAACTCTTTCCCTGACGAACTCTTTCTTTGCTAACTCTTTCTGTGACTAACTCTTTCCCTCACTACCTCTTTCTTTGACTAACTCTTTCCCTGACTAACTGTTTCTTTGCTAACTCTTTCTTTGACTAACTCTTTCCCTCACTAACTCTTTCTTTGACTAACTCTTTCCCTGACTAACTGTTTCTTTGCTAACTCTTTCTTTGACTAACTCTTTCCCTGACTAACTCTTGCTTTGACTAACTCTTTCCCTGACTAACTGTTCTTCCTGTTCTTTGCTAACGGTCTTGTCGCTTCTTTGACTAACTCTTTCCCTGACTAACTGTTTCTTTGCTAACTCTTTCTGTGACTAACTCTTTCCCTCACTAACTCTTTCTTTGACTAACTCTTTCCCTGACTAACTGTTTCTTTGCTAACTCTTTCTTTGGCTAACTCTTTCCCTCACTAACTCTTTCTTTGACTAACTCTTTCCCTGACTAACTGTTTCTTTGCTAACTCTTTCTTTGACTAACTCTTTCTTTGACTAACTCTTTCCCTCACTAACTCTTTCTTTGACTAACTCTTTCCCTGACATTCTAAAAGTCCGCAACACGGAAGTTTCTCCCCCTAAACTTCCTTTGATTAATAGGTATTGATCCATACCCAATTCAAACTGTTTGATTTTCCTCTAGATCCGTCGAATTTTTGCCAGGTGCTGAATGGAGGTGAGATCAACCAACTGCTCCAGTATCTGGACACATCAGGCGTGCCATGGAGTGATGTTCACAAGAATTTTTCGCTGGGATTTGATGGATATCCCATAGAATATGGGATTGTAGATTGTGATTCATCCCAAATTTTAGAACACAGGAAGATGCGAAAACTGCGAAAGATTAATGGCAATTTATAGTGGATTTACCCATTGAAAATGGTGATTTTCCATAGTTTTTTGTTGGTTTACCACAGGGTATCCCCTCTTTCATTGCGCACTTCTTCAGACGCCGAGAGTATCCTGAGTTGCAAAATGTGCAGGCATCGGCCGAATTTCCTACCGGCCTTTCCGTACAGCGGTGGCTGAGTTCCTGGCCATCAGGCATGGAATATTTCGAATTGGTCAAGCCCACTATTCATCAAGTGGTGGTTTAGCCAAATCCTGGGTTAACATGAATGAACCCTAAACCCAATTTTACGAAGGTGGAAGATAGGTATCCATGGTATCCCCAATCGGAGGTTTATTGACTTTCCGGAGATCACCAGACACCCACCCTGTGTCAGTCGGGATTTTCATTCCGCCCTATCGCCTGAAGAGTTCAATGCCATCCTCTGTCGAATTCAGGCGCTGTTTGTTGCAGATGCTGTTTGTTTGTCGCTATGATTTTGAACATGGAACTGAAGCCTCGGGGTATAGTTAGGTCACTCATGATGTTTTTTTTGGCGCTTTGATGTCCAAATTCGAAGTTCGACTTGATGGAAGTGAGTTCATGGGTGTGTCCCAAATTCGCATCCCAGACTGACTGATGATGTTTTTGACGAACTCAGGCAAGGCTGCAGCGTACTGGCATGACATTCTCAGAGGTGGGTGTTCCAGTTTCTACACACCGTGGGATAACCAGTGGCAGGGGATGCAGTTGGGGGTAGAAGAAATGGGTAATACCATGGTCAGTGATGATATTATATCATAATAGTGATACAAATCATTTATAGTGATATCATACTATTATATAGTGATATCATAATAGTGATATCATACTATTATAGTGATACAATCATTTTAGTGATGTTCAAACATACCTTCTGCAGTTTTGTCTGCTTGTAAAGATGAAAGGCCGGTAGATTTCCCAGGTGATGCAAGAAATGGTTCAAGAGTCTGTGTGATGGATATCCTCAAGATGTTTAGAGAGTTGATGCTATCACTGTGGACCTTTTCTTGTTTTCAAGGTAGAGTTTCGGCAAGTTGTGTGATCAAAGTGGCCATTTCTGAACATTTGCACAGCTCATGAAGTGATCATTATCCATCACTGGATAAGGTCGAGGCTGAAAATAAAGGACAGTTCATGCGCCGGACATGCTGAAGGTATTTTTTGGAAAGTTGCTGGTGAAATTCTGGGACCAGTTGATAATCAGTTGATACCTTGGAGGTAATCTTAGGTTGATACATGTTGATACCTTGATCATAGTGATCATAGTGGACCAGTAGACATGTTCAAATTGGATCCAGTTTTACATGGAGAATGGGTTGCTCCAGGATTTTGGGCCCCAAAGTTACGGAATGTTTGCCGCAGGCCATGAGGGAAGCAGAAGGCAAAAACAGCCTTCCAGGTTCACAGTTTATGCAAAGTTGCAAGCTTATGATGGCATGATGGGTTACATTCTTCTTATGCCAAAATGCACAGATTCCATGTTCAGCACAGATTCCTCGGTTTCTCCCGATTCCATGATGACTGAGGTTTGAGAAACTTGCGACTGGGTTTGTCCAACAAAGAAGTGGCACAAATCTTCAATTCCCTCAGTGCAAACTCCTTCAGAGTGGCAGGTACCAAGCGACTGGTTGCAATTCGCTGTTTGAAACTTCTGGCAGAATTGCTGCAGGCACTACCCATTTGCCAAATCCTGTGCAGAATGGGCAGGCAGGCAGTTTCACATTGTCACTGAGAGGCTGCATGAGAGGATGAAAGATGGCAAAGTCGCAGCAAAGGTTTCAATCATGTTCAATCCATTTTGGGCAGGTCTCTGTGGTTCTCTTTGAAGCTCTGCTGGAAAAGTCCGCTTTGGAAAACAAACTGCAGGAGTTTTGACCAATCGAAATGTCGAAAAATGTCATCCATCTCGACGAAGCAACAGCAACGACAGGACTGGGCCATGGCAGCTTTTCCTCGTCTCCGAGAAATCCTGGGTGACGCCAGAAACCCAGTTCTGCAGGCGTTCCTCAGTTGTTCCGTGGGTTTTGCGCAGCGCAGCCAGGAGGAAGCGGTGCAAAGTGCATTGAGGCAGGAAGACTCAAGTACCCTCTAGTAAATTAACATAGACCCTGGCAGTCAGGGTTGGAAGATTAGTGAAACCATTAAAACTATGCTATTTTCAGGGTCAACAAGTTAATTTACCGGAGGGTATCTAAAGATATATAAAGTGACTAGAGTGGAGATTGGAAAATATTGAACATACTGGAATCAAAACTCTCAAGTTTTCTCAATCCTGTCAATCTGAACATCCAAAGATATCCAAAGCACAAAATCTGCACTGATGAAATGGTGCAGGAATCATGCTGAGCCACCTTTGAGGCAGTATTTGGTGCCTCTGGCATGGCATTGTTGCTTGATATAGCTACTTTTTCTCTGAAAGTAGTGGATTTTAATGGATTTTACCATCAATTTGTGGCCAATTGAGGAGGGAACATGATGATAACCCGTGGATTTTTTTGGGGAACAATCCGTTTTCAGACGAACCCATACCCTCAGGGCCTCAACGGTTGTGCCAGCGTGTCCTGACGTTGCTATTGAAAGGGTGATGGTTGATATCCTGGCTGGTTGGTGGTTTGGAACATGACTTTGAGTTTTCCATATATTTGGAATGTCATCATCCCAACTGACGAACTCCATCATTTTTCAGAGGGGTGGCTCAACCAGCAACCAGCTTGATATCCCCCTTTGATCCCACTTGTTGGTACTGAAGGGTTGCTATCCGTTGATACTGCGACTTGTTTTACTTGATATTTGCATGCTATCCCTGTGATGCCCATTGCCTCCATGGGTCCTTCTATTTCATGTTGGGCAGCACGGACAGTATCCCCAGTTTATACCAACATGTTGGTTGAAGTCCATGTTTTGAAGCGTGCGTTTGCCCAAAAATCGGCTACCCCTTCCAATGGATCACCATTTTCCCATATTTGCCCTATCAAAATTGACCAATTTCAGGGTATACCGTATACCTTAAAACCAGTGATGGCCTATTTGTGTGTGGCCACCCTGGGTATATAGGAACTCCATGGGAAAACGGGGCCGCTCCGCCAGCCCTTCACCGGCTTCGCCGCGTTGCTGACGGAGGCGGATCCTGGCATCACGTTCCCTGGCGTTGAACATAGCCATAGGATCCATGGATATATAGTAACATGGATCCCATCAATATATCCCAAATGTTAGCATATATATATATTATATACCAGCACCATGGATCCTGTGGGATAGAAGATATGTGTTGGCATTTAATGGCTTTCTACCGGTTTCTGTCAACCGAAAATGACTGGTCTGTTCTATTCTGAGTCAGTTGTTGCCGAGGTCTGCCGAAATTGCCCGGCTTTGGTATGGAACCCAGATGGCCCTGGATGTGGCTTGAAGGTGATGTCGTGATATGTCGTGAACATATTCGCTGTGAGGTGCGTGCTGGAAAAAGATGATTTCTCAGCAAACCGGCCCAGTTACCATTGATGCAGTGATGCAGTTTACAGCACGATGCTGTCAACTTTGGATCACGGTTTGTTCTCAGGATGAACCGCTGGTGAGATTCGAGGTCCAGTCACTGCAGTATCTGCAGATAGCAACTGCAGATATCCACCATGTCCTGCAGGAGTTTCTTCAGTGGATCAATGCTGAAGCACCAAAAGTTGGGCCCTCAAGATGGCTGACTCACGACTGAAGAATTCTTCAAGGGTAGGACATGGTGGAACTCATCACATGCAATTCATGGGGAGGTTGGGATTTCTCCACAACAAAATGTGTTTTTTTTTTCGCAGGTCAAGTCCAAGAAGGACCATGTCTTCACGTGAAATCTCCGTTTCACCTGACTCTAAAGCGAGAGTCCAAGGAGTTCAACGGTCAAAGCCATGCCGTTTAATGACTCGGAAAAAAAGGTCCTGCGAAGGGCGGCAGTGCCAAAGATCATCCGTTGAAACGGTGAACCAAAGCTGTCTTTTTTGTCTCAGTTTCAGCAGTTTCAGCAGTTTCAGTTTCAGTTGAGAAGAAAATCCCAAATTATCCCAAGATAAGCCAAGCTGTACCAACTGCGGCCGTTTGAAGCGCGTAGCTCCTTGCCCCACAGTGGTTGTTGGCTCCTCAGATATTATGGTGAGATATTCCAACAGAGGGATGATGGCAATGTGTGGCTATCGCGGCTATCATGACAAAACGGAACTACAGCTATAGCGATCATCATCAAAACATATGGTAATTAATGATTTCACAAATTTTCACAATCAGCATGATGGTTACATCATGAGGCCATGATGGTCACGGTAGTATTGGCATTATTGGCCAGCTGGCTTTTTTGGGCTTCTCATCCCATTTTGGACCAGATTCAAAGCGCTAGGCAGAGCCACAGCATGGTTTGTCACGGCAGGACTCTCAGTGATTTGGTACCGGGTCAGGCGGGGTCATATTCTTGGTGGTACAACCGTTCACATCATACCAGGTTCATTTGCATGAATCAAATTCATCCCACTTGGCTCGTCCGGTTGTTTCCCTGGCTCTCAATGACTGAAACACACTGAAATCAAATGATGAAGAACAATAGAGTATCTGTCATCTGTGTATATCTGTGTGACAGTATACCTTACATTACATCATAATCATCATACTGTCTGGACAACATCAACGTTCCACCATCGCACCATAAAAAAATCATCCCGAGGTACAGGAGAACGGTGATGCCTGGAGCCCCAGCTGGCACAGAGAAAACTCATCCATTGGAATTGGGATTTCTCATTTTCAGATGAGAAAACTCACATGGTTTTCCATGTGAGGACTGTGTCAAAAAAAAAATGGTGAAATAGGACCCTCAAAATCAGCAAATCGCCAGTGGCCAATCGGACTAAAGAAACATATCTTGGACCAAGCAGGGTGAGATGTTGCGAAATTCGGCAGTTTTGGGCTCAAAAGTTGGAGCGAGTGGCCATGGATGAACATGTCTGGGCAAAGATCGGAATGGAATGGATTCATCGCTTGTCAGCCAGCTGAAGAGTAAGTCTTTGTTGGTTTCTTTGAGTAGCTGCAGCAGCAGTGAACGAAAACTGTGCAGTATGACTTATATATATATAATAATATATATAATAATATATATAATTATATATAATTATATATATATAATTATATATATAATTATATATATACAGCATTGATTCTGTTTGAGCTATATATATATCTAGACATATCATATCTGTTTGTACAGTATTGGGACACTATCAAATAGAGAACTGACCATGACTATCATCGATTTCACATCCCAGGCAATGCAAACAGATCCTGGATGGGTCAAAAACCCACGGGCTGCAAGCTCTGTGTTGAAGCGAAGCTTCACTTGAACCATGTGATTTTGGGCTGGTTCTAGTGTTTGTTCATCCACATCATGGTTTGGGTCAAAGTGATAAAACATGATAAAACCCTATTTTCACAGAATGGATGTGGTGCTAAAGATACTAAAACATCTCAAGTCTACCTCATACAAGAAAAATCACGGAATGTTGCTGTTCCGTTACTGCTTGTTTTATTGTTTGTTCAAACTTCGTACCTTTTAACTTCGCTCAAATCTGGCTTGTTGCGAAGCTGCAGACTCCCAACCCATGCGTTCTCAGGATGCTCCGATCTATCCCAAGCTTTGCAAGTGCTTCAATGCCTACAGCACAACCGCTTGGCAAATGCAGTGCACTTGAGCGCCGCACCGCGACCGCACAGGATTCTTCCAAACTGGTAGAATTGTTGAAATCCCCTTTTCTTCAGTACTCTTTACATCTCTTCACTTTTAACTACTTTTAACCAGTGTTCACCTTCATCAGTGTATAAATCATCATCACCAGATATCACCAGTTTATGTGAAAACATCCCAAATTTCCATCTCCATCTCCGGGTTGTAAAACAGGCCATGTCATCCATGTTATGGCACGATGCGGTTCACCTTCTTCAAGCTGCCGAGCGGATGGATCTGCGAACGGATCAGATCAACTACGGGGGAGCCATCAACCGATGTGCCAAAGGTCATAGCTGCCCAGCTGCAGAGGTCAACTCCCAGTCATGTTGAGGATGGTGGTGACCGGATGTGTCATGAATGGAGAACTCTTGGGGATGGTGGAAGTGAAGGATGTTCCTGGACCGACCACAGTTGCTATAGTTGCTATCCAAGTTGAAGCTTTCTAAGTATTTCAGCGGAGTCAAAAAAAATGATGCTGAGGTGCAGACCAAGTCGCAGCAGAGGCCAGGGCAAATTGCATGCTGTTGAACTTCATGTGTGTAGTAATATGATGTAATATGTAGTAAGTAGCGTTCTTATTTAGATGTTTGAATGTGAGTAACCATCCAAGCAGTCGCGACACGATGGATTGCCAGGCAAGTTCACCATGGCTAGTGGCCTTGGGACTTTTGGGACACATGTTGCAGAAGTCTCTCCAAAGCAACACGATTTTGATGAATGCCATGGTCACTGCAGTTGCTTCCAGTTGGTCATTGGCTTCTCACATATTTTCTATGATGCAAGAGCTGAGTATTCCTTACAGCCAAGTAAGTTTTGGCGCCGTGTTCTCGGAGAATTGGGCAAGGTCATTGAATTTGCTTCAGAAGATGTCAGGCCTACAACTACAGTTGGATTTGATTTCCAGAAGTGCGTTGATGAAGTTCACGTCCTGGCAGCAATCCGTGAAAATCAATGAAGACACACGTGCAAGTGGTATCCGTCCCAATGCACAATTCTTGAGCATCAGCATCACTGCAGCTATGGGTGAGGGCTATGATGACAATCGATGGTCAAAATCCCTGGAGCTGTTTGCCAGTGGAAGCTCACAGATGTTACCAGATTCGGGGAACTACAACAGCCTTCTTTTTGCATCTTCTGAATGGCGCATCTCTTCAGGTCTTCTATTGAAGATGAGACTTGCTGGCTTGGAGCATACTCCACTGGGCTGCAAGAACTATTTGCAAACCCTTCGGAATTCCCAAAGTTCCCAAAGATCTCAGCTATGGCAGGTGGCAGTGGCAACCACCATGCTCTCAATGAACAACGCCAACCTTCAAGGAGACCTCGATGCCGAGCTGCTCCTGGCTGATCTTTCACCGTGGCCGAGCTGCTTGTGCTGGTTGCGGATGCGCAGCCTGGTAGCACCGTTTGGGAGGCAGATAGGTTTCCTAGGCCTAGCCTACCATGGAAAAAGGCGCATGTGTTTTTCTTCCAGCCACTTCCTGAAGCTGTTTAAGAATGTTTATACATGTTTATACGGATATAATGTATAATAAATCATAATAAATCTATGAACGCGTCAGCCAAGGTGGCCTTGACCATGCAGATTTTCCAGCGGTGTGCAAAAGTCTGAGCCAGACACGGAACTTGGAGAGCTCAGGGAGCTCGGAGTATTGGCGCCATGCCCTGTCCATCCTGCTGCCTGACGCTGATCCACCAGGGGCAATGGGGTACCAGGCAGCCATCGCAGCATGTCGTCACTCGCAGCACTCGCAGCTTGCAGAAGGACTTCTGCAGAGGATGCAGATGGAGAAATTGGAGCCCAGCAGCATCAGCTTCAGCACAGTCCTTGGCGCCATGGCCATGGATAGTGAGCAATGGGAAGAGACACTGGAGCTGTTTGAGCGCATGAAGAATCTGAACATTCCCCAAACTGAAAGCAGCTACATTTCCACTTTGAAGGCCTGCAACTGGCAAGATGGTCTTATGATTTGGCAACAGCAACAGTTTGCACATCCACTGACTGCAAAATTCTGTAGCTCTTTGGTTTCCACCTTAGATGCTCAGTGGCAATGGGCAGTGTATCTCCTCACTCAGCTGCCATCAGATGTGGACGTTGTGCTGTGCAGTACGTGCATCTCTAGCTGTGAAAAAGCCAGCGAATGGCAATACGCCTTGATCTTCTTCGACTTAGTGGAGGCTTCACCAGATGTGGTGCTGTATAATGCCATGATCAGTGCACTGGAAAAATGTGGCCAGTGGATTTTGGCGCTTCATTTGTTCGAAAAGATGGAAATTGAAAGTCTTGTGCCAGATGGGATCACCTACTCCGCTGTCATCAGTGCATGTGAGAAAGGTCTTCAATGGCAAAAGGCTTTGAGTTTTTTGAGCTTGGCAAGATCACTTTCCAACAGAATTGATGCAATCACGCTCAATTCTGCAATCAGTTCTGTTGAGAAGTGTGGCCTTTGGCAAATTGCTTTGATTCTTTTGCAAGAAATGACCCTATTTTCTTTGGCAGACGAAATTAGTTTCAATGCTGCCATCAGTGCATGTGAGAAGGGACAAACACTCGCAATGAGTGGCCGAAAAGGATCCGGCAAAATTGCGTGAAAGGTACAGGGTCGCGCACCCCTCATTTTTGGGGCACCAGAGTTTTTAGGAGGTACCCCTTTGCCCTGTTTGGCCGAACATACTGGGCAGTTTCAGACACGTTCAGCTGGTTTGATGGTCAGTGGATGATGGGCTAGTTGATATTCATGGCACAGATGAGTGTTTTGATAGCATTTTTTGACAATCAAACTTTGTTTACCTTGAACTGTTCTAGCCACTGGCTTCATGCGGGACTGGCTAAGTGTATTGATATTGACACGTTTCTGTCAGCTCTGAGGCAATGTGGAGGTGCAAACCTTAGTCCAGCGATTTCGGCATGTCGCATCTTGCCGCCTTGCCTCGGTCGTCAAACGTTGGTTTCAGGCAATGGAAAATTTGGACCCCGCCAGTGTTGAGACGCAGCAGACTGTCGTCTCAGAGATTTTCAGGTGAAGTCGAGGGATTTTCACGTGCTCAATTTTTGTTGATGGTGATGGTTTTTATCTGGTTTTGATGTCAAAACAAATCTTTAGATATCGCTGCGAAAGCTGAAGTGAATGGAGGTCAGCTGGAGATGAGAAGTCCTTGACTCTTGGCTTGCTGTTGAAGGCAATGTCGAAACAGCAGAAAGATCAACAGAAAGATCAACAGAAAGATCAACAGAAGCTGTGTCAACAGAATGGTTTCACCGGTTTGATGGGGGTTGAACCTGGTTGAACCTCTTCAGCACATCGCGAAGGCCTATGATGTCGTCATTGCAAAGCACGGCATCAACGTCAGAGCCTTGAGATGTCACCACTCGCGTTGTGAGCCGAGCCCGGGCAGTTGTAATCCGCAGCCATTTTCAGCTCCGACGTAAGCGACCAATGGGGAAGCATAGGATGTAGCTGGAAACCCTGCGGATGCTTGGAGCAGAAAGATCCAATGCCAGGTGGAAGTTTACCCCCTTCACGGAACCGGAGGAAGCAACAGCAGCCCTGGGGAAGATAGCGTCCAGACATGGTGCAACGGCAGCTATGGAGGCGATGGTGCTTTGCAAATTAGGAAGTCAGTTCATTCTCACTGCGACCAAGCCCTGGGAATCATGGTTTTTCTAAGGGAAATCATCATAATCATAGCCTTAATTCATGTTAGTGAAATATTGTAATTTACCCAGATAATGATGCATAACCATGCATAACCAACATCAGTTGGATAAGTTGAGCAACAAGAGTGTGGACATCAAGCGACAAGAATAGGTGATTCCCAGCTTTTGGCCTGCACTGTAGCAGGCCTTGGCAAGCATGTGTCCCAGATGCGTTTCATGATACCTTGGTGCTTGGTGCTTGTGTTGGGCAGTCAAGATATTGATACATCAATTTAGATAATTTAGGGGGAACCAATGCATAGCTGATAGAGATGGTATTTAGACTTTTGACGGCTCAGTTTCCCCTTGCAGATCTTCGTTTGTTGCTGACCTAGATTCTCCACAGTGCCAGAAAGTTTGCTTTGGAGTTTGGATTTTTCCTTCCAAGGCTTCAAAGCAATCTGGAAGCAAACACCATCCACTACAACGTAGTCATCTCCGCATGTCGAAGAGATTCCCTGTGGCCAGTGTCGTTGCAATTGGTCGCTGGGATGAGCTCCTTCGATCTGGAGCCCAGCATCGTCAGCTTCAACTCAGCCATTGGAGGATCCTCCTGGTCCATGGCATTGCAACTGCTACGTCAATCACTGGACAGAAAACTCCAAGCTACAACTGTGACCTACAACTCAGCAGGAACCCAGCAATCCTATGGAGAAAATGCCAAGTCTCAGTGGTTTTTCGCCCTTGAACTTTTGGATCAGCTGAGTCAGAAGTGGATTTCATCGGATCAGCTGAGTCTCACAGCTGTCATGGCATCCTGTCAGAACCAATGGCAGCTGGTCCTGCAACTCATCCGACCAGATGGATCGGAGTCCAACGACTTGGATGTGATCAGCTATACCACGGCGATCAACAGCTGCGGTGCTGCAAAACAATGGGAGAGGGCTCTGAGTTTTTTCAATGAGATGTCAAATCAGCTGGTTCCCAACAGGATCTCATTTGGAGCAGTAATCAGTGCTTGTGAAAAGGCCTCAGAATGGACGTGGGCTGTACATCTTTTGGAACTTGCTGAGCCGTTGAAACCCAATGAGATCATTTGTAGTGCTGTCATCAGTGCCTGTGAGAAATCAAGTCGCTGGGAGGCGGCCCTGTTTTTGCTGAGATCTTTAAATCGACGCACTTTGGAGACCACTTCTGAGAGTTACAATCCTGTAATCTCAGCATGTTCCGGATCCCAGTGGCAACTTGCATGGGAGCTCTTCCAACAGATGCCCACCATGCGACTGAGCCCAGATAGCTTCAGTTACACAGCAATCATGAAGGCATGTGCAGAGGGCAGTCAATGGCAAACTGCCTTGGTCTTCTTGGAAAGCCCAATATCGGATAGCTCGGGAGACCAATCACCAGATCGATCGATCTTTTGGAATGCTGCTATCAACGCCTGTACCAAGGGGATTCAGTGGCAAATAGCTTTAGATTTATTCGACCAGTTGCAGATTTCTGAGCTTTCGGAGACCAGTTTTGGTGCAGCCATCGCTGCATGTGCCGAGGGGTCTAATTGGCAAATGGCCATGAATTTTCTGCAGATGCTCCAGCTTCAGGAAGTGGTACCAAGTATCATCAGCTACAGTGCGGCTATTACTTCATGTGGTGCTGAATGGGAAAGGGCTCTGGATTTGCTGGAAAGTATGATTCAAAAAGAGCTTCTTCCAAATGTGATCACTTACAATTCAATGATCAGTGCATGTGAGAAGGGCTCGCAATGGCAACTGGCCCTTCAGATTTTCTTTCAGTCCATGGAAGATATCGAAGTCGACAGCATTTTGTACAGTTCGGTGATCGCTAGCTGTGGCAGCGCCAGTGAATGGTTGATCGCCCTGAAACTGTTCCACCAATCCCAGTGTTCAGGCGGCAATGAGGGTCCCTCAGCTGAAACGATTTCGGCAGCAATCACCGCATGTGAACGCGGCTGCCAGTGGCAGTATGCCCTGGAAATGCTGCAGATCATGCTACGGATGCACCTGGATGATGTAACCAGCAGCTCGGCTTATCAGCAGATGATCTAAGATGTACTAAATGACTTCATGGAAAGGTTGGGGAAGAATTTTTGCTCCACCTGTTTGTCGATGTGTGTCCATTTTCCCTGAAGTTTCCTGAGTTAGTAGTAACTCGACTAACTCCTCAATACTCCACTAACATCGCTCCGAGGTTGCAATGCAGCCACTGCAACCATTGGTGCCTGTGAAAACTGCGGTGAATGGGAAATAGCCTTGGCCATTTTCAGTTCCATGATCCTCTTGGGACCTGAACCAGATGTCTTCACATTCAGTGCTACCATCAGCGCATGTGAAACTGCTGGCATGTGGCAACTGGCCTTGAATTTGCTCCACCGAATGTTTCAGTACCAGTTAGAACCCAACGGAATTTGTTTCAGTGCAGCCATCAGTGCGTGTCGTGTTCCTGGGGAATGGCAACACGCTTGTGATTTGTTGCAGCAGATTTTTATCCATTCCTTGTCCTCTGATGACATTTGCTGTACAGCTGCCATCGGGACCTGTGGCCAGTCCAGCAGATGGCAACACGCCCTGCAGCTGGTGCCACCTTCCATGACGGAATTCACCTTTGGCGCAGCCATTGGTGCCTGCGCCAAGGGATGCAAAAGGGCCAGAGGACTGTGGTCACTTGAGGACGCCCGTGAGGGATACACCCTATGGCCATATGTAAAAACCACATGGTTTATCGAATCAGAAAAATAGATCATGATATTTCCCATTATTTCCATCAGAATATGTCATGATATTTCCCGTTATGTCCTTCATGTTTTTGAATATCATGACATATTCTGATGGGGGAAATATGTCAAACTACAATCCGAAGTGATTCCATTGACTCAAACCACATGGTTTATCGAATCAGAAAAATAGATCATAACATTTCCCCAAAACCCACATGGTTTATGATAATCAGAATATTTAAAGATGTTTCCCCGTTTCCCCCATTGATTAAAGAATAGATCATGACATTTCCTCCATATTTTCCCCCATTTTTGGGAATCTCCAAGGCCACCGATCTCGTTGGGATCCAAATCTACCGCTCCCTGCTGCACTGGGGTCGCGATCGCGACCGCCCCGTGGCCGCCACGGCTGTGCGGCAGCCGTTGGCGCCTTTGGATCCGGAGCCGTTGTGGGATCCCAGGCGGGGAAACTGCAGATTTTACGGTGATTCTATGGGATGATGTTGAGAATTCTAGGGTTTATTGTGTTTTTTATATATGTTTTTATGGGATTTATGGTGGTTTTACGTGATTTTCATGTGGCGGTCTTGAATTTTACAGGATGTCCATGGGATTTTCATAGGTTTTTATCAGCAAAAATGGTGGGTTTCAAGCATAGCAGAAGAATGGCCCTGAAAATCGGAGAGATCCTCCAGCCAATTTGAATTGGGAACATGAACCAACAGATTGTCTCGAAATGGCAATAGCTATCAATAACTTGGTATTCCCTATCTTGAAAAACATACAGGGTATGACGGTGTGATTGTCATTTTCCACAAATTAGTGGCTGAACCTTTGCAAAAATACGGATGGGACTGATGTGTCAGGCCAAGTCAAGGGCCTGTTCAATGGATGAGACCGATGGTGTTGCGCTCAGAAGTTCCGGTTGAAAAAGCATGACCATGTGGGTTAATGGTCATCCATTTTCATAGGGAATTCTACACCTATTGGTGGATTGATTGGTGGATTCACACTATGGGATGGATGACTATACCACATTCATATACATTCATATACATTCATCCCATCTGACCACGGCACATGTGGTTGAAGATCTTGAGTCATGAGACTTGCAAGTTGCTGATCACATTTTTCACAGTTGTGTGTTTCCAGCAGAAGTCATGAGCTGAGAGGTGAAAGCCGTAGCTTAGCTGCAGTTCAAGTTGCACATGAAGTCCATAGATTCACAGAAAACTGACTCTGAAACGTCTTAGACACGTCGTCCAATTCGTGGCAAAATTGCGCCATTGGGGGAGTCCTCCCCAGCAAGGTCCTTCCAGAGCCAGTGGTGCAACTTGAGGCCAGGGGAAGTTGTTCACTGTGAAGTTTCATGCGGGGATTCCATCCCCTGGCACCTGGCTAAAGCAGGGGCTTCAGCTAGCAGAAGCTTTCGTGACCACTCCAGGCAATAAACATCTCACTGGAAAGTTGAGTTGCCTCGGGTGCCCAGCCATTCCAGGCATCTTTGATGACTTTCCAGCGCCAGCCGCGGCCAGAGACTATCAAGACTCTGAGGAAGGTGATGGATGCCTGGATACGACAGGCAGGACCTGATGATACCTGATGGATCCTGATGGTTTCATATACCCATGACGGATCCATGGTGCTGCTATATATGGTAACATGGATCCCAATATACCCCCAATGTTAGCATATATACCAGCACCATGGATCCTATGGGATATGTTTTCATGGAAGTCATAAATACTCGTAATAAATACTAATATCACTATGCCGATCCATGCCGCCATGACCAAAAATCCGACTGGTGATTTGTGAAGACCCACTGCCGCAGGTGCACGAGACCCGTGAAATGTTGCTACAAGAAAGGCACCAAATGAAGCGATGGAGATGCCAGAGATCTATGGACTCTTGGAAGGCCTTCAACCCATCTTTGCCCTGGCAAAAATCATCCAAAATCATCCAACATCCATCAACATCCTCTGTCCAGGCGGTCATCGCCCGACGTCGAATGTTGAAAGAGCAGCAACTGGAGGTAGGAAATGGCAGGAAAGTCGTTTTCAATGGGAAAATGTCGAATCCCATGGAATGCTTGAAAAATGGGAAAAGGGTATACTGGGACATCATCCGAGTTGATGTTCCCTGTTATGGGTGTTTATTCCCCACCTGAGAGTTACTGTAAACATTTGTAAACAAAGCAAGAACAAAATGAACTACCAGACCATATTCAACAGTTATTGAATACTTGGTTGGTGGTTTCAAATTTTTTTCCATAATATATGGGATAATCCTTCCCATTTGACTTCATATGTTTCAAGATGATTAAAACCACCAACCAGATATTGGTGGGATTGAATGGGAAACTGGAGAGGATAAGAAACTGAAGCCCACAGACAAAGCACCATCCAATCCAAACACCAACACATCGCTTTAGCATCAAAATAGCCCCAAAACCCCCACGGGAAAAAAAACACAAGGAACAAACATTGAACAATAACAATAATTTAAAGAAACAAAAAACACACAACAGGCAACACAGAAATAGATGCTGTCCCAGCATCCCCTTTTTTGTTTTCCCATGGTTTCTCATCGTTTTCCACATTGAAATTGGGGGTATCCAGCTGCCCTGGGAGGTTTTGAGTCAGAGAGAGCAGCAGACGAAGGCTGACACCTTTCAACACTGGAAGCACAGGCCGGGGGAAAGTCGTGAGTTCATAGCTGGTGGTTTCTGGTGGTTTCAAGTTTTACAATTTGCCTGTTGAACAGAAATGGAACGGATTCCAATGGATGGATCAGGTTGATCCACCAGTGATATGCCAAGAGCCATGCTGCTGCAGCTGCCGCAGTTCCAGGAGACCTCAAGCGCCAGAAGCACCGGCGGCGCCGACGCCGGAGTTGGATGTTTTATTGGCCTCGGTGGCATTTTGGAAACGCTGCTGTAGGAGGCGCTAGCTGGAAATCGCTGCATGGTTCCCCAAGTGTTCTTGGCAGAGTAGCGATTGTCAGTTGATTGGAGATGAAATGATTGGGGATGACTATCAGTAGTTGATGATCAACCGATAATCAACTGATAATCAACCATCACTTAACTGAATCACCAACCATCATTTCAGATGATTCTCAGTTGATTTTCCAAAAAAAATCGCCTTAAAATGATGGTTGATGATTCAGTTGATCACAGCTGGAAGCCATCCTTGCGGCGCCAAAACATGCTGCAGGGCCATGGATGCCTGGCTATTGGTGGTGCAATGGGAAGTCCCCAGCCCAGTGAAATGCTGGTGGCTTTGGTGAATCTCAGAGAAACTTTCAGAAATTTCAATGAGGCTCTTGCCACAAGGCTGCAGAGAAATTCCAGTTTTCAGCTCCTGTCAGCTGTGTTCCAGGCCACTGTCACTACTGTATGCTACTGTCAGCAGTGACTCTCCGTGTCTCTCCTCGTCATTTTCTGTGTTGAGATCTCTTGAGTGATGGTTTGTGGCAGGTTTGGGTGGAGCAGTGGCATGAAGACCGAAAGGCGATGATGTCCCAACAAGTGTGAGCAGTTTCGGTTCTGAATGTCTAGTTCCTGTTTTTTTTTTGTTCCCATTGATTTCACATCAATTACAGTTTATACTTATTATATGTGTTCCAGTTTTTGTTGTTTTTCCGCTTGTTGTGCTTCCCATTTTTGTCAACTCCTGGTTCCAGGAAGCCGCCTTGCTCCAGCGTGCCACGGTGTTTCGGCGAAAGCAGGGACAACTTCTTGGTCTACAATCCCTGCGCTGGAATGTCGGAGCTCATGAGTTGGGGTGGGATGGCAGAAATGATATAAATCTAAACAGAAAGTCTGACCGGTGACAGCAAGGTACCTGTTTTTTTTGATCATAGTAATGTTTGAGTGAGGACTAGGCCCCTTCGGCTTGGGGCAAGACCATTTGGACATTTTTATTTCTGGTGTAGAAAGGAAGATATGAATAGAGATGAGCCACACGTCATCACAAGCCCAGGTCATCCTGGCACACCGAACCAGAGCATTCCTAGAGGTGTGGCCATGGGAATCCATGGGAATCCATGGAGAACACGGGATGGAGGAATATTGAGGAAGCGACGCCCTGGTTAGGCTCAGTCTCAACTGGAAGAAGGTCTTCGAATGAGACAACGCCGTGCTTTGGAGGCCTATGGGCCATGAAAATCTGAGAAGGACTCTTTGTTGCAGGTTGAAAAATCGGAATGTGAGAAACAGGTAGAAACAGAACGTTCTGCAATTCTGCAGACTTCGGGATGCGGTGAAGTCACACTGTGATTGCCAGGTTTGCTGGTCCGCCATGTCTAGATACGTGGAACAGAGGAGACTCATGAAGCTGTGCGCTGCCTGTGATGCATCATGAAATACATCCGGCAATTGCTGACATCATGCTTACATCTACGGGAGAATGTATTGTGGCGTGCAGATCTACCGAAGTTTGATGGAAAAAGATGGAAAAATCAGTCGTTTTGGGAGGTACAGAAACTGGGCTGACGTGCACTGGCTTCGAACACGACTGGGCGCTGCATGGCAGGCACTGGCAAACATTGCATAATATTGCATAATAGGATAGATGTATGACAGATGCTGTCTCATGATTGTTTGGCAGAATGCTGATGAATGCTGCTTGCCTCGTCATCAAGTCACGTGGAATATGTTTTTCTCGCAAATCACTCTTTGGGATTTGATAGGTGTGGTTCGCGTGGCATCAAAAGCGGGGAAAAGTCTGAAACTTAGACTTGAACCCACAGCATTGCAAAGATTTGCAAAGCGCATGAGCACTTGACCGATTTCCTCACCATTTTCTCAGGTGGTTGCCATGCGAAGCAGTGCTCAGATATTGGCATCGTGGCACTGGCTTCGCGTGCACGCGGCAGCACATCCAGAAAGGTCGGGGGTCGAACTCTCAAGTCGTAGCACTGGATGAATGACACGACGCATCGTCAGGTCTGTGACACCTTTGCCGCGTGTGCCGCTGCTGCATGCACCATGGTTTGATACCCAGGTAGTGCTGTCACATGGTGTCACATGGTGTCACATTTGCAACGGATAAACTCTTTGTTTCCAGAAGTCCATTTCGTTTCAAGCAGCCCCAGCGGTCCAGGTGGCATGCAGCTGCAGCAGACTTGCTTTTCAGTCCGGCTCCCTTCAAGATCCATCCCCACCATATGAAGGCCCCTTTCCCCGCAACGCGGCGGTTGCGCCAAAAACTGCTGTGCACCATGGTGCAGGTGGTGCAGCTGCCCGTCCTGGCAGTTTTTGTGCCTGCGTTGCTGAAGAAGATGATGAACGCCTGGATCTTTGAGGCATGGCGAAATGACCATCCGACCCCATCCGACCGTTGGATCCAATGGATCGAAGAACAGCCATCAGGTTCAAGAGATCCGGCAGATCTTGCGGCCAACGAAGCTGAAAGCAAAGCTGAGATATATGGACCTTTGGAAGGCACAGGAATGGATGAAGATCGATGAAGATCGATGAATTAGTTTGGAGCCGTTGTGTTCTCCTGATCTTTAGATATCTTTGGCACTAGCTCACCAAATGTTGTGAAAAGGACAACAGAAGTCAGCTGTGTTCTTGCAGGGAGCAGCTACCAGATGTCGACGCTTGAGAAAACTACAGCTGCAAGTCGCAAGCCTACAAGAACCAAGCAGAAGTACAAGTTGATGTGACCTCGTTAATATGTTTTCATCTTCCAAATTTCAGGTCTCCCATCGGAGGAGCCAGCAGATTGCATCACAAGCTTTGCAGCACTGGGCAAACAGGTGCAAGCACCAATTCGCATGAGTCGAGATAAGGGTAACACTGTGACGCAACGCATGCAGGTGGTCCAATTTGGTTCAGCACCAGCAGAACTTGCGCGAGTTCGATGTTGCGTGCTGGCGTCGAAGTTGCAGAAGGCCGTTAAGCCCTTCATGACTCTTCATGTTACGTTTATCATTTGAATTGAATTCTTTGAATTCTTTTGGTTTCATGCAGCCATCACGAAGATTTTGCAGAGCCTCTCAAAGCTGTCTGTTTTGCAGGGCTATGGATGCCTGGTTATTGGCCATGCGATGGGAAGTCCGAAGCCAAATTTGAATGCAGTCAGAACATCAAAAATTGCACCCCCGGAAAGACTTCAAAACGCTTTAGAGAATCTGAGAGAATGCTGAAATGTGTTGCGAACAGTGACAACCACTGAGGCTCTTGCTGCAAGACTGCAAAGAAGTTCCAGTCTGCGGCTCCTGTCAGTGGTCTTCCAGGCGTGGCTTTGTATCCTTCTCTTGTCTACTTCTGAGATCTTCTGAGTATTTCTGAGTGTAGTCATGATATGTGATGAGGTGTTGGATGGAGAGCGATGTCGGTCTCTGGTGTGAAATCTTTGTTTTTTAGTTGGGAGATGTTTGGAGCAAACCACGAGTTGCGCATGGTAGGTTTGGGTGGCGCAGTGGCATGAAGACCGCAAGGCAAGTTTATGCAAAACTGAGAAGCAGCGAAGGGAATTCTTCTCCTCACATTCAGAGATTTGAATGTACCCAGCTCTGCAGGAATCTGTGCGGCTGCGGCTTTCTGAACTTTTCCTTCGGAAGCGAGGAACACCTGTGTTTGGAAGAATGTTTTGTATTGGAGTCTAGCCGCCTTGTTCCGTGTATGTTTGGCACTTGCTCAGGACTGAAGGGTGGAATTAAGGCTTTGCGCCTGAATGTTTGGACCTTACAGATCCTTTTAGATCCGTACAGGATTTTGACATGAAATATCAAAGTCAGTTCAAGACACTCTAGTTACAGAACTTTATTCTTTGCAGATTCTTGGAAAACTTGTTCAGAACATTGGTGGATATTTGAGGTTCTCATCTTGGCTCGAAAGCGAGCACTGGCCAAGGCAAAATGATGCAATTTCTGTATCAGCAGATTGGATTGGCTTTCGGTGGTTGTCATTGCTGCCAGGCAAAGAATTCCATCTTCCAAGCTCAACGCAGACTGCTGGAGGCACCAACACTGACACTGTTTTAGGTAGCAATGCCCTTGCAGTCCTAAACATTCCTGAGCCATTGACTGCGCGAACCAGGCTTGCTGGTCCGCCATGTCTAGATACGTGGAACAGAGGAGACTTATGAAGCTGTGCGCTGCCTGTGATGCATCATGAAATACATCCGGCAATTGCTGACATCATGCTTACATCTACGGGAGAATGTATTGTGGCGTGCAGATCTACCGAAGTTTGATGGAAAAAGATGGAAAAATCAGTCGTTTTGGGAGGTACAGAAACTGGGCTGACGTGCACTGGCTTCGAACACGACTGGGCGCTGCATGGCAGGCACTGGCAAACATTGCATAATATTGCATAATAGGATAGATGTATGACAGATGCTGTCTCATGATTGTTTGGCAGAATGCTGATGAATGCTGCTTGCCTCGTCATCAAGTCACGTGGAATATGTTTTTCTCGCAAATCACTCTTTGGGATTTGATAGGTGTGGTTCGCGTGGCATCAAAAGCGAGGAAAAGTCTGCAACTCAGACTTGAACCCACAGCATTGCAAAGATTTGCAAAGTGCATGGGCACTTGACCGATTTCCTCACCATTTTCTCAGGTGGTTGCCATGCGAAGCAGTGCTCAGATATTGGCATCGTGGCACTGGCTTCGCGTGCACGCGGCAGCACATCCAGAAAGGTCGGACGGGGTCTCTATGCCCTTTTGCTGCCAGAAGAGGGTGTACATACATACGTACAATCACAGTTGCTTCTGTTACCAGGTTTGTAGCGCGTTCTTCAGCGCGCGTGCCGCATGCACCATGGTTTGGTCCCAAGTGAGCCGTTGGTTTTCCTCCCTTGAATCTGAATGATGTTAGAAAAGCACTTGCAGCCTAGGTGGCATGCAGCTGCAGCAGACTTGCTTTTCAGTCCGGCTCCCTTCGAGATCCATCCCCACCACATGAAGGCACGCTGCGCCCGTTGCACACGTTGCTTTGCTTCGGCTGGCCGACCAAAGGCCTTGCGGCAAGACAGCCTCGTCCTCTTCACCAATGCGTTGCTGAAACGGATGATTCATGCCTGGATGCAGCAGGCGTCTGACGAGACGAGATTCGCAGTCTGAGAGTCACCTTCGTTGCATCCCTGTGAGGCTCGAGATATGCAGGAGGTCTTCCGACAAGCAAAGCTGAGAACGACCAGGAGGTGTGTGGATGCTTGGAAAGCTCTATCCTCAGCAGAACGTCTTTTTACTGCATGTTTGGGTCGAGTTCAAAGTTGTTCCATGGCGCACTGAGCACATCCTCAAATTCCACCTGCCGAAATGTGGATGTAAACAGATAAGCGACTATTTTGTGGCGTGGCCTTCGTTCAGGGAGCCGCTACCAGATGTCAACGCTTGAGAAAAGTACAGCTGCAAGTCGCAAGCCTAAGAGCCTAACAGAACCGACCCTGTTACATTGGGTTTTGTAACTTTAGTAATATGGTGTCATCTTCCGAAATTCAGGTCTCCCATCAGAGGAGCCAGCAGATGACATCACAAGCTTTGCAGCACTGGGCAAACAGGTGCAAGCACCAATTCGCATGAGTCGAGATAAGGGTAACACTGTGACGCAACGCATGCAGGTGGTCCAATTTGGTTCAGCACCAGCAGAACTTGCGCGAGTTCGATGTTGCATGCTGGCATCGAAGTTGCAGAAGGCAGTTAAGCCCTTCATGACTCTTCATGTTACGTTTATCATTTGAATTGAATTCTTTGAATCCTTTTGGTTTCATGCAGCCATCACGGAGATTTTGCAGAGCCTCTCAAAGCTGTCTGTTTTGCAGGGCTATGGATGCCTGGTTATTGGCCATGCGATGGGAAGTCCGAAGCCAAATTTGAATGCAGTCAGAACATCAAAAATTGCACCCCAGGAAAGACTTCAAAACTCAAAAAGGCTTTAAAGAATCCGAGAGAATGCTGAAATGTGTTGCGAACAGTGACAACCACTGAGGCTCTTGCTGCAAGACTGCAAAGAAGTTCCAGTCTTCGCTTCCTGTCAGCGGTCTTCCAGGCGTGGCTTTGTATCCTTCTCTTGTCTACTTCTGAGATCTTCTGAGTATTTCTGAGTGTAGTCATGATAAGTGATGAGGTGTTGGATGGAGAGCGATGTCAATGTCGGTCTCTGGTGTGAAATCTTTGTTTTATAAATTTGGAGATGTTTGGAGCGAACCACGAGTTGCGCATGGTAGGTTTGGGTGGCGCAGTGGCATGAAGACCGCAAGGCAAATTTATGCAAAATTCAGAAGCAGCAAAGGGAATTCTTCTCCTCACATTCAGAGATTTGAATGTACCCAGCTCTGCAGGAATCTGTGCTGCTGCGGCTTTCTGAACTTTTCCTTCGGAAGCGAGGAACACCTGTGTTGGGAACAATGTTTTGGATTGGAGTCTAGCCGCCTTGTTCCGTGCATGTTTGGCACTTGCTCAGGACTGAAGGGTGGAATTAAGGCCTTGCGCCTGAATGTTTGGACCTTACAGATGCTTTTAGATCCGTACAGGATTTTGAAATGAAATATGAAAGTCAGTTCAAGACACTCTAGTTACAGAACTTTATTCTTTGCAGATTCTTGGAAAACTTTTTCAGAATGTTGGTGCATATTTGAGGTTCTCATCTTGGCTCGAAAGCGAGCACTGGCCAAGGCAAAATTTAAAATGTATCAGAAGATGGCGTGTGTTTGTCAATCATTGCAGTGATTGCTCAATGCCAGGCGAACAATTCCATCTTCCAAGCTCAACACAGACTGCTGGAGGCAGGAACAGAGCCATGGAAGACCAGAGTTGCATCTGATCCCTAGAGCCTTTGCTTCTGGTCGTTGGTAAAATGTGTCATTTATCGAGGAGTTTCAACATTTAGATACTTTTAGATGATTGGAGATGAGATAAGTATGATAACTCACCTGGAGATTCTGTGCCGTCATCGCCAGTGGAGGTCTGTTGGACTGCCATTTTAAGATACTCAGAGGAGAGGAAGCTCATGAAGCTGTGCCCTGAAGCCTCTGAAGCCGCAAAGTTTGGGGGGATACCTTGGGATGACGTTGTTCGCACTAGGGATGCTACATGATCATGATGTTACCACCCTTGTTACCACCCTTATGGTACTTGTGGTGTTGTGCTTTCACAGAGCGCAGAGTAGTTGTGGATTCCATTTGATGCCCAACCGGAAGCTTCCACGATCTTCACGAGCTGGAAACGACACATGTCTGGAAATGATTCTGCACCTGAGAAGATGCGGAAACCGGAATTTCCTCTGCCAAATTGGCACGGCCAAATCTACATACTGCTTACAAGAGCAAAGGTACCGAAACTGGGCGGATGTTCACTGGCTTCGAACGCGACTAGCAGCCGCATGGCAGGCTCACACCAGATACCACAGGTACTCTTGAAGGAAGCAGTCAACACATTCCTCCAAACAGTCTTTTGGATTTGATAGGTGTGGTTCGCGTGGCATCAAAAGCGGGGGAAAGTCTGAAACTCAGACTTGAACCCACAGCATTGCAAAGATTTGCAAAGTGCATGTGCGCTTGACCGATTTCCTCACCATTTTCTCAGGTGGTTGCCATGCGAAGCAGTGCTCAGATATTGGCATCGTGGCACTGGCTTCGCGTGCACGCGGCAGCACATCCAGAAAGGTCGGATGGGGTCTATGTGTCCTGTTTGCCGGAAGAGATTACAATAAATCACAGTTGCTTCTTTCATCAGGTTTGTAGCACGTTCTTCAGCGCGCGTGCCGCATGCACCATGGTTTGATACCCAGGTAATCCAGGTAGTGCCTGGCGTTTGACCTTGTCCTTTCAATGGTAGGCCCTGAAGGCCCAAGACGGATGAAGTCTCATCAAAAAGTGCAAACAGCCCAGGTGGCACGTAGCTGCTGCGGACCTGCTTTTCAGCCAAGCTCCCTTCGAGATCCATCCCCACCACATGAAGGCACGATGCTGCGCCATGTCCGATGTATTGCAGGGTGGCAAGTTACCCATTTACGCGTGCAGGTCGTAAGGGAAGAGATCCTCGCAACCTTTGCGGGCGAGCTGCTGAAGAAGATGATGCAAGCCTGGATCAAACAGGCACTGGAATGTGTCAGAGTCACACGTCTCATCATTTCTCACTGGATGACAGACTGTGAGAACAGCTTATTGTGGACTCTCAGGATTGACTCACCCACTCAGTTTTTTTACCGATTTTCACAGCGCTCATCAGCACACCAAAGTTTGAAGACGTCTATTCAAGTTGTTTTCCTGCAGTGCAGGCACGAGATATGCAGGAGGTCTTCCGACAAGCAAAGCTGAGAACGACCAGGAGGTGTGTGGATGCTTGGAAAGCTCTATCCTCAGCAGAACGTTTTTACTGCATGTTTGGGTCAGGTTCAAAGTTGTTCCATGGCGCACTGAGCACATCCTCAAATTCCACCTGCTGAAATGTGGATGTACACAGATAAGCGATTATTTTGTGGTCTTCGTTCAGGGAGCGGCTACCAGATGTCGACGCTTGAGAAAACTACAGCTGCAAGTCGCAAGCCTAAGATCCTAACAGAGCCCATCGTCAGAGGAGTGTCCAGCAGAACAGCAAGTTGATGTGACCTCGTTACATTGGGTTTAGTAACTTTAGTAATATGGTTTCATCTTCCGAAATTCAGGTCTCCCATCAGAGGAGCCAGCAGATGACATCACAAGCTTTGCAGCACTGGGCAAACAGGTGCAAGCACCAATTCGCATGAGTCGAGATGAGGGTAACACCTTGACTGCATTGATCTGCGGCAACGCATGCAGGTGGTCCAATTTGGTTCAGCACCAGCAGAACTTGCGCGAGTTCGATGTTGCATGCTGGCATCGAAGTTGCAGAAGGCCGTTAAGCCCTTCATGACTCTTCACGTTACGTTTATCATTTGAATTGAGAATTCTTTGAATTCTTTTGGTTTCATGCAGCCATCACGAAGATTTTGCAGAGCCTCTCAAAGCTGTCTGTTTTGCAGGGCTATGGATGCCTGGCTATTGGCCGTGCGATGGGAAGTCGGACGCTCAATCTCAGGTGTGTTCAGCAACTTTGTTGATAATTTCATCAATATGTTCATAATATGTTCATAGATTGTCCTGTCGATGTATGTGGAAATAGTCTGAAATCCTAGAGGAATGTCCTCAAATGTCTAATGTCCTCAACAGATGCAGAAAGTCCTGAAAATCTGAGGCCTTCGTCACAGGAAAAAGGACTGCCACCAGCCTTGGGCTCCAGGAGACCATCTTCCAGGCGCGTCGCTTGGCGACGGCGCTGCGATCGTCGCTGAAGGGTTGCAATGCTGCGAGGCCTGGGTCGTGCAGTGGCGATGCGATCGCAAGGCCGGGGATGACACATCTGACATCGGAAAAATGGGATTTTGTTGGAATCTTTGGATACCCTCTGGTAAACATACAAAAAGCTATTGAAAATGGCCATTTGTAGTGGATGTTCCCATGAAAAATGGTGATTTTCCATAGCTATGTTAGTTTACCAGAAGGTACATCAAGCAGTGACAAGTGACCAGACAGGTTTGCGTATTGATTAATATGTTTTTTAAAAAAAAAAATTAGATGCATCCAAACTGATTCTATATCATGCTCAAAAGTCACACAATGCTCAAGAGTCAGACCTACTTTTGAGTGCTGTTTTTGCAGGCTGCCGCTGTTCAGCGTCTCTCAGCACTCTTCCCTCGCAAGAGAGGCTGAAAAAAACAAACAAATGCAGATGTGCATTCTTTTGAAGTCTTGCAATATATGTCATTTCAATTCATTTATATCATTTATATCCTATGTTTTTCTGAATCTTTACAGATATTGTGCAGGTTTAAGGAAAGGAATTGCAGCATTGCGGCGGAATGTGCCAGCCCCGAGACCGTAGACCAACATAGACCAGCTAGAAATAGTGAATATGGCTGGGCATGGGATGGCATGGGTTACAATCGCTTCAAGATGACTCCATGACCAAGGTGAAGTTTCACAGCCGCGAGTCTGCGCTTCGCAAGGCTTCGATAGCGCGATTGAAAATCTCAGATCTCACAAGAAAAGTCCGACAAAAACAGATTCCACTGCAGAATCCAAACAGTTTGTCCGAAAATGTCGGCAATGTACAGGTGGACGAGAGCACACAGCAGGCTCGTCGAAGATTATTGGAGGCACTTGATGTTTGTTGACGCCATCAGTTCATCACAGGTCTCGAGTTGCAAAATGTCAGGCCTGCTGGGCAGCCATGTTACGGAACCTGGAAAAATGCCAGCTGATGATTTTGTGCCCCGCCATGTCTAATGTCAGCAGGCCTTTGTGATGATTTGTGTGTTTTTTTTTCTGTTTCATGATGAAACTTATGAAACTTGTTATCGAAGGTACCTGAGCTGGGCAGATGCCAACCGGATTCGCACACGCCTAACCAATGCTTTCCACGTCCCTTGGTGAAGTTGAAATCTGCAAATTCACGTCAAATTTATATGGATCAATTTGTGTGCATCCCAGTTCACATGGTTGTTTCATTACGAAAGCCAGCTAGCTGGCTAGTTGCTGTTTGCGAACGAAGTGAGAATAGGGGGTGTGGGGGGGGTGGTTGCCGAAAGGGAACGAAATCTCGCCGTGCCCCTGTGTTGAGCGCGAGAAAACGGAGCATTTTGCTGGATTATGTACCACTAGGCAATTTGCTGACGGTGGGGTATCGATTCCCCCTAGGTCCGCCTTTTTGGTGGCCGGAGAGACCATGAGGATGTATTGGAAAATACAATGAAACTGCAGGAAAACATGATAACGATCAGAGGAAATCGTACAAAATCCCCTGGAAAACGGACGAAAACGGAGCGAATGCTAGGAACAAACCATGGAAAATCCCTTGGAAAATGGAGGAAACCGGAGCGAATGCTAGGCGCAAACCATGACGATACAGTAAACATGCTAGAAAAATACAGTGAAAGTGCAGGAAAATGTGATAACAACGAGAGGAAATGGTGCGAAAAGGATCGGAAAATGAAGGAGACAGGTAAAACTCTTGGATTAATATTAATATTGAAAAGGTATGAAAATGCAGGAAACCAGAGGAAATGGTGCAAAAACCTATGGAGGAAAGAGGTGAAAATGATAGGAAACATGTAGTAAAAAAATGCTGGACAAAACATATTGAAACCCCACGAAGAGGATGTATTGGAAAATACAATGAAACTTGAGGAAAGCATGATAACGATCAGAGGAAAATGCTAGGAACAAACCATGCAAAATCTGTTGGAACATGGAGGAAACCGGAGTGACTGCTAGGAACAAACTATGACGATGCAGTAAACATGTTGGAAAAAGACAGTGAAAGTGCAGGAAAATGCGATAACAACCAGAGGAAATGGTGCAAAAACGATCGGAAAATGAAGGAGACGGGTAAAACTCTTGGAAAAATACATTGAAAATGCAGCAAACCAGAGGAAATGGTGCAAAAAGGAGACGGGTAAAAATCTTGGAAAAATAGATTAAAAATGCATGAATAGACTGAAAACCCACGAAGAGGATATAGAAACTGCAGGAAAACATGATAACAATCAGAGGAAATCGTGCAAAATCCACTGGAAAATGCTGGAAAGATACAGTGAAGGAAAATGTGATAACAACCTGGCAGGAAAATGTGATAACAACCAGAATAAAGGGTGCAAAATCTGTTGGAACATGGAGGAAACCGGAGCGACTGCTAGGCGCAAACCATGACGATACAGTAAACATGCTAGAAAAATACAGTGAAAGTGCAGGAAAATGTGATAACAACGAGAGGAAATGGTGCAAAAAGGATCGGAAAATGAAGGAGACAGGTAAAACTCTTGGATTAATATTAATATTGAAAAGGTATGAAAATGCAGGAAGCCAGAGGAAATGGTGCAAAAACCTATGGAGGAAAGAGGTGAAAATGATAGGAAACATGTAGTAAAAAAATGCTGGACAAACACACAGTGAAAACCTACAAAAGAGAAGAAAGTAGCCACAGGAAACGGTAGAAAAAGCAGTGGAAACTGGTAGAAAAAGCAGTGGAAAGCTAGGAAATGCTTGTAACAACTAGAGGAAACGATGTAGAAAACAGTACAACATGGAGGACACGCGTGAACATGCTAGGAGGCATGTAACATGTTAGAAAAATACAGTGAAAACCTAGGAAAATGTTATAACTAAAAAATGTTTTAAAAAATATAGTGAAAACCAAGACAATGTCAACGAGCGGAAACGTTGAGCAGGAAATCCGATTTGGTTTCTGTAGATAATGTTAGATGATGAGCAATGTAGTTTGGTGATAGGAAATAGTGGCTGACTCGCGTACAAGACATTGCCATGAAACCTTGGAGCAAGATGCGGATGGTATAGGAAAAAAGATGTATGAGTTGTAAGATTTTAGGAGTTGCATGGGAAAATTGGTTTCATGGTAGTCTGTGTGAAGTTAGAAAAGTGTGATTTCGTTCACAGAGTAAGAAAAATAAATGCAATCTGCAGATTAGAGTATTTATAATGCTTAAAGCTGTTTGACGTTTTTTGGTGCCTCCCTGATTCTGGTAGTTTTGTGATAAGAACTACAAAAACGATCTACTGGTAAACGGAAGGAAGAGTCTTTCCGGTTTAGAACTGAGTCGACTGTCAAGTGATGCATAGGCTCCAGGCCTCTGGTTATTGTCACAAAGCATTGGAATGAAGATTGCGCCCAGGAGCCACCTAGGTTAGGAGACAAATGCTGTAATATCATTGTAAGAGGCCGTACTGAGAAGGCTGAAACAGAACTAAAAGTGAATCTTGTACTAAAACATCGAGAAAGAATTTGAATCTTCTAATGGCAATGACGGGAATGATATGCATCTGTACGTCCGTGATAGTATGTGTGCCTTTTAAAAGGGATGTTTGGCGAGTGTGATAGCTGAGAAGATTTTCCGGGATGCCAAACAATTATCTCTATCGATGTCAGGGATGATGCTATTCCGCGACATTTCCTGTAAAATACCTATTTTCCAGACCCTTGGGGGGTGGGGGGGGGTACCCAGGTCTGTAAATGGCCTAAATATATATACTTTTGATTTGGACTGCATGTTCGCCACTGTTCTATATTTCCCGTGGGTTTTGCATTGTTTTCCTCGATTTTCATTCGTTCTTATACCCTTTCTTACGTATGTTATAATATTGTCTTGGGTTTGCACTGCCCATTTTGCGAGTAGAGCTATGTTTTGATTTCTCACCGTACGGCCAAAATGTTGCGGAACTTCGCGGAGAAGCATGGACCACGATTCTGGGGAGAAAACAATTTAGACTTTGAGAGGTCACATGACCACTGTTCACACAAAAAAACGGGTATTATTTATCTACAATAGGTGGGAGCAAACTTGCGCTGTTTTAAGATAAATGAGCAACCAAAGGCGGATTTACGGAACTTGAGATAGAACTTTTCACAATGCCGCAGTACATTGTAGGAAACATATTTGGATATAGAAGTTACAAAATCGTGGAGTTTACCCTAAAAAGGTCCATTTAATGATTGGAAAATTATGACCCGATAGCAATTGTTGATGTTGTGGCGCTTCATGTTTGAGCCATGCCATATGGATGAGGTGGAGTTTCACGCGCCCCCGCGCGAGTCAAAAAGCAAGCGCTGGCTTTCGTTCCACACCTTCTCAGGTATTGTTTCTATTGCCGTAGTTGATATACTCAAAATATGGGAAACAAAATCTCTGGCTGATGCGTGTTAAACCCAGGCATGGCTTGCATGGCGAAAGTCTCGAAAGATCGTGGCCATGAGCAACGACTCACAGATTCTGGCGTCATGGCATTGGATACGAAGAACACTGGACCCACCCAGGCCTGTTCTGCAAAAACAAGTCTCGGGATCCCTTGTACCGTGGAAAACCGAGTAAATACCGTTGTTAAGTCGTGAATTACTTTGAGGAAGTGTGAATTAGTTTTAAAATATGTCAGGTATTTAACATGTAGCAGTGCTTCGTAATGTGACAAATGGAATCGATGACGACATCATGTTCCTTTGAAGCTGTAAGCAAGATGAAATTGAATGAAAACTCAGAAAGTTCAGTTCAAAGTCGTTTTGCTTTGTAGGTGTGGTTTCCATCCTCGTTTTACCCACTTCGAAGACGCCTTCGCACGCACAGCTGCAGAGTTGCTGTTCGGTTCCATTCCATTTGAAGCTCATCCGCATCGCAAGGTCGGAGATGGCAGTTTTGCTTTTGATCATTGGATCATGGGAGATTTTTGTTGCAGGAAACCCCTATTGTTGGGTAAATCCTGATGGAAAAACTATGGTTTCCTGAAAATTGTCTCAGGAAGGAACGCAGTGAAGATCCTGACTTTATGATGCTGATCGGTGCATTTGTAGAACAGGCCGTAAGGGAAGAGATCCTCGCAACCTTTGCGGGCGCGCTGCTGAAGAAGATGATGCAAGCCTGGATCAAACAGGCACTGGAATGTGTCAGAGTCACACGTCTCATCATTTCTCACTGGATGACAGACTGTGAGAACAGCTTATTGTGGACTGTCAGGATTGACTCACCCACTCAGTTTTTTTACCGATTTTCACAGCGCTCATAAGCACACCAAAGTTTGAAGACGTCTATTCAAACTGTTTTCCTGCAGTGCAGGCACGAGATATGCAGGAGGTCTTCCGACAAGCAAAGCTGAGAACGACCAGGAGGTGTGTGGATGCTTGGAAAGCTCTATCCTCAGCAGAACGTTTTTTTCTGCATGTTTGGGTCGAGTTCAAAGTTGTTCCATGGTGCACTGAGCACATCCTCAAATTCCACCTGCTGAAATGTGGATGTACACAGATAAGCGACTATTTTGTTGTCTTCGCTCAGGGAGCGGCAACCAGATGTCGACGCTTGAGAAAACTACAGCTGCAAGTCCCTAGCCTAAGAGCCTAACAGAACCCATCGTCAGAGGAGAGCAGAACTGCAAGTTGATGTGACCCCGTTACATTGGGTTTTGCAACTTTAGTAATATGGTTTCATCTTCCGAAATTCAGGTCTCGCATCAGAGGAGCCAGCAGATGACATCACAAGCTTTGCAGCACTGGGCACACAGGTGCGAGCGCCAATTCGCATGAGTCGAGATGAGGGTAACACCTTGACTGCATTGATCTGCGGCAACGCATGCAGGTGGTCCAATTTGGTTCAGCACCAGCAGAACTTGCGCGAGTTTGATGTTGCGTGCTGGCATCGAAGTTGCAGAAGGCTCGACGACCAGGTCGCCCGTGTTAACGGTTATCTGCATGAGTCAAACTCGGGAGGGCTATGGATGCCTGGTTACTGGCGAGACAATGGGAAGCTGGGGCACCCAGAACCCAGAAGGGCAGCAGGTGATTCATTGGGAAAATATGGGAAAATCACGGAAAATCCAAAGGAGCTGACGAGGTCCGACCTTTGGAGTGAGTTTGTTACACAGAAGATGCCAGATAAATTGAAATGAATCCATGGGAAATTTCAGGTTAGGGTCGCCCAGCAGCTCAAATCCTCCAAGCTGCAGCTGCAACGTCAGATCTTCGAGGCGCAACGTTCTCCGCACGTGTTGTTTAGAATTCTTGGGGAAATCTTGTGGAAAAGATGGGCAAATCCATGGTATTCACCAGTTTTTCATCCATAAGTTGTTGGATTTTTGGGGAGAATCTCATGCAGTGAGACTGATGTTTCTCCATAGCCACTACAAACTTCACCTCAGCAAACTTCAGCCTCAGTTGTTTTTCTGCAAACTCGGCACGCAAGGCTTGGAAGACGACATGGAAGGCCGAACGCAAGGAGGGCTGATGTCGAATGGGTTTGGTCCCTTCGGTATGAGGAGGCATGCACCTAGATTCAACAATTCTGAAAGGCAGCTCTAGCAAATGCCCTAGGTTAACGCTAGGGGTTTTTCACATCCATGTTCAAAGATAAATTCCATGAGTTCCTGACTGCTTGTTGCTTTAACATATTTAACATATTTAAGACGTGTTGTTCGTGGGATACGTTTCTGACTTCACTGACTTCATACTTTGGAGCCAAGTCCAAACTAGTCGAAACATGCGTTGTTCCGCCGCATGCAGTCACTTCACACTAGTTGGTGTTGTACACAGGGCAACGTGGGGATTGGATGTGGGGGCAACCTGAGACGCAGACCACAACGATGAACAAAAATTGAAACCCAGCACTTGGCCAACCCCAAGCATCTCTTAGTTGTGACTGATCCATCTGGATTTGCTCAACTTACCCAATTGGAATGTCATTTTACTCGCTAGATCCACGCCAGCAATGCGCTAGCAATAGCCCCTGCTGACCCGTGACCCGGTCGCCTCCGGAGAACTTCACTAGTTTATTTCAGCTTTTGACCCAGACAACAACCACAAGCACGGCAAAGGCAACGACAAAGGCTGCCCTTCCAGCTGCACGACTAGCAGCGGCACCCGCTACAAATAGTGCGCTAGCATTTCCTGAAGGTTTGAGATGCGGTTTCAATCACGAAAAGCAAGTGCAGGTGTTTCAGACCGTTCCGATAAGTCATACTTTCGACTACCAAGCAGGAAGCAGCACGCATGGAATTACGATCTATCAATCAAACCAGAAGAAAACAACATTTTGACGGACCCTCGCACGCATTGCAACTTCGCACACATTGCAACTAGTAGCTGCATGGTCGGAAAAGCAGTGATAAAAGAGATCCTCGGTCGGGGGGTCGCATGTACACGCGAAAAAAAGATCGCATGTCCACGCGAACGACTTGGGGAAGAAGATCGCATGTGAGACCTTTTTAACATGTCATTCTGTTGTTTGATTCGACACGGAGATTCTTTCGATAAGCAGTTTCAATGTCAGCCATTTGCTATATTTCTCCGTTGTTTATGTTAGTCGATGTTAGTCGTTTATTTTGCAGGAAGCACTGCTTCTTCTACAGTCCGACCGCTTGCAGCGACAACTCAGCACAGCACCCAGCTGTTTCTGGTTGAATCACCTGAAGGCACTTGATGTTTTCATGAATTTCCATGTGTCATATTTGATCCAATTGATATGGAGGATTGCGGCGCAGCTTTCGAGTATTGCTATGGCATGTGCTGGTCTTACTTTCGACACAGGATTGACTTCAGATCAAACACAGTCTCTGTGTTGGTAGCGGATCAAGGCTGAGCACCGGCAAGGACAAATGGGCTGGATCAAGCGATGGCATGGGTCCCATGGGTCCCAGATCCACCCAGAGTGACATCAATGGTGAATCACTGAGTGTATCCGATCTATCCCACAGATCCCACAGGTGGATCCTTGCCCACCTCTCCCGAAGATCTCGGGAAGCTCGGGCGCCCAGATTGCCCAGAGCCCAGACAGCTGGAGTTGAGGCTGGTGAGCAGCTGAGGTTGAAGCACTTCAGCAGAAAGCAGAGAACTTCGCCAACCACAAAAACAGGCGCCATCGATGCCAGGAGTGTTAGCAGACGGCGGATGATGACGAGATGATGGCAGTGTGACTTCTGATATGCGACACCATGCGACACATGTGAGGCAATTGATCCTGGCGTTGCTGTCCACTTGGCACATCTTTGCAGGCCAGTGTCCAAGTGCCAACAAAACCGGCAAAGATGTCGTGCTCGGTTTCCTCGCGCCCCCAGGTGCTCGTCGGGCCGCCTGCCGTGCTGGCCAAAGTGTCCGAAAGCGACATCAACAGGCTCTCTCGTTCTGCGTCGCTTTATGATCTTTATGGATGGAGATGGATCAAAATTGCAAAAATCATTCACCAAAATTGCCAAACATCTACTGCACTAATATGTTGTACATGTTTACACTAACATTTGAATGGCTGAATTCTCTATGCATCAAGCTCCCCCGCTTCGACCATAGCTCTTTTTTTGGCGCTGATCCAGGTGCTACTGTTGAAATGGCGCAACAGCTTTGAGGTCGGCCTTACTTGAAATCTTTACACCCTGGGAAACCCTCAAATATCATGAGATGGAAGGCGCGCGAAGCAGCTCGTGTAGCAAAATGCCAGCAGGCAGGCTGCCTGCCACGGGATGATGCCAGCGTTACCAAAAGGAGTCCTGTCAAGGTAAAGGTTCTGAAACACCCAACACAAAACAACAGTGTCCCCTTCAGTCCTGATGGAAAAGGGAAATCGATTTTTTTTCTTAGTTGATTGTTTTCTTCGTTTGAGTTTATCAAAAAATGAAACGTCTTGGAAAATTGACCGGCATTCCTCACCCACACGTCACATAATCTGTCACAAGTACCAGATGTTTGGTTTTTTGCATCGTGATTCACCAATGAACCCGAACGCTCCCGGTGAGTGAGTTTCACCAGGCAGTGAACCACTCATTGGTCCTCCGTTCCTTTGCCGGTTGGGCCATGTGGTGCCCGGCTCCTCACTTGAGTTTCTTCGGAACAAGGATGAACTATGGCATATACCATATATACCTCCATTTTTGGACGGAGATGTGGAACATGGGAGAAATCATGAATCATTTCTTTTTTCGAATTCGGAGTACTTCATTTTCAGACCAAGTTTGATGACAATCATGGGATTGTGAATTGCGGATGGTCACTGCGGGTTTTCACTTCCAGTGCATCCATGGAAGGTACCGGAGGAATCTGTCCATTCGACAATTTGCTTCGAAGGTGTTTTCTCGCCTCAGGACCGCTGACTGCTTTACAGATTCCAACAGTTAAGAGAATTTGTTGGTGATCATCAAATTTTGTCAAATTTTACCATGCATGTTATTTTCAGCTGACAGTTGCAGGAGGAATGCTTTGACACTATCAATCCATGCCTGGGCAAAGGCCATTTGAGAGAGCACACAGTGAAATTTTGCAGTGTCCATGCTTCTGAAAACGATGGTGCGGGGATGGTTTGAGAGTGTACATGTCAGTGATTCAGTGGTTAGGTAGTTGTGTTTTCAGGGTATACTTTTGTTTCAATGAGTTGGGTCAGTGTTGCCTTTTTGTTGCGGGCGGAAATCATTCGCTCGCTGGTCGTTATCAACCTGATCGTTTCAATCTGTGCGCATGCCAAGATTACACAGGGCCAACATCAATGCTTGCCAGCTCCTATGATATGTGTAATGTTATAAATACGTATGTATATATATATACATACATATATATACATACATACATACATACATATATATATATATGTATTTGTGCAGTATAGCTATAATCCCATCCACCTAATATTAAACACGCCCTAAATGGTCCCAATTGTGTGGAAATTCCCCACTAGACCATGGTTTCCAGGGGGTGTTCCAAAATTGGGGGGAAGGGATCATTCGTTGTGTGTGTGTGATATCAATCACATGATGGGACATGTGTATGTTGAATATTATATATATATATATCTTATGTACATATATGTTTTAATACTATGTTATAAAAATTATTATATATATATATATACATATATATATATATATTGATGCACTCTACCAGGAGCGCACAGGAGGAAAAGCCACACAACCTGCATGTTCTTTGCACTTGCTTCCCCCAGGTAGCGCGTGAGCTGGCGGCCAGAGAGACTCGCTACTTGCTACAGGTCAATGATTTTCAGCGGAAGCACAAGCGGCAGGCCCAAATCATAAGACTGGCATGTTTGGATATGTTTTAATAAGCGTCCCCAAAACGTAACGATGCAAAGATTTTTTTAAAAAAAAAAATGTATACACATGTATGTATATATATATATTACTATTACTATTCATGGTAGTAAAGCAATAATAAACCACCAATGTGCTGATAGTTTATACCGCCCATTTACAACTTGTCAAACGCGCTGGGGCCAGGCACATCTGCTTCTGATCCAAGCCTGGCATAGAGAAGCCAAAGCTTCAGCTGATGCAACACGTACTGCTCGACTGCGGAAGGCGGGGTTGTTCTGATTTGGGATATATGGATTTAATGGAGAGAAATGAGAAATAATTGGATATCAATGCGAAATGAGATATTACTGGGAAATAATTGGATAATCTTGAGAAATCAATGGGATGTTAATTGGAAATAGTGTGAGGTCAACGATGTTAACGGGATCACAATTGGAAATGATGGGAAATAATGGACACTAGTGGATACTACTGGGACATGAATTGAATATGTATGGGATATTCATGGATTAATGGGATATGAATGGGATATCATATAATGCAATATATATATATATACATAATATAGGGAAATTGTATTTAAAAATGATGGTAATGTCAATGGGATTAAACATGTCCAATATAATGGTATATTAACCAACTATGGGTTTTTAAAGCAACTACATCCAAGTCTCGAAATATCATGGTATGTATATATATATACATATTACTATAGCAAACTATATGCAATTCGGGTGCGTCCAAAAATGTTGGATTGACCCCTAACAATTTGATATTTTTAAGGGGGCCAATGCTTAATCAATGGATGTAATGGGGTACATGATCTTCAGACAAATCCAATTGTGCAATCTTTCTGCAAGGTCTTCGCATGCTGGCGACTTGCATCACAAGAGCAACGCCTTCTTCAAAAGTGCGCCGCGAAGTCGACACATGTCGACATGATCAGATGGCACAGTAGAGCATGTCATGACTCGTGGTATTGTGAAAATCGGTGTGTTGTTTTTGGTATGCCGCCAAAGCTTTGGTACTCCTAGTTGACCACCAAAGCGAAAAACTGCAGGTATTTGCAAGAATGTGCAACAATCAGCTTTCAGGCACCGATCGGCCAAACCCTGCTTTCTCCTTACGCATGCACCAAAGTTTGCATGTGCATCATCTCGCAGGGCTCGCAGAGCCCTAAAGAAGTTTCGGTTGGGTCTTGCACTTATGTGGTTGAGCAACGCACGTTTCTGCAGTCCTTTCAAATCCAGGCCAGGCCAGTTATTCCACTAGAAAAACTGGGATATTTCAAGCAGCACTTCCACATTTGATGACCAGAAATCGAGGCCCGCTGATTTGGAACGCATCTACCGAGAGATGGCAGACTATCGCTGGAATGTGTCTCGCCACTGGAAACCGAAATAGCCATTGTGTCCAAAGTTAGTGAAGAATCCCAACAGAACCAATGATTCTTTCAAGAAGTAACCCTTTATTTCTGGTTGTTCGGAGGTCTGATTCTGCCAAAAATGGCGTCTTTTTAAGGTTGATGCGTGGGATTTGTCCGACTGAGAAATGTGCCAATGAGCCAAGAAGATTCAACAAATGCTTAGGATGTCCGGTATGGGGCTGTAGGGGGTGGAGGAAGTGAAAATTGCTTCCTGCTTGGGTTGCCTCTTCAGTATGTGCTGACTGATCCTTATTTTTGATATTTTTCATGTGGGTTTCTGCTTTGTGACACAGAAACAGCGCAATTTTTGGTGTCAGTACTTCCTGGAAGAGCGCTTGTACATGTAAGAGCTCCCCTCTGAAAGGCTGGAGCGGTCTCTTAATTTCAACATGGCATGCCTCAACAGCGTGCAACGTTGAGCCCGAAAAAGCCGGGCGAAGATGTGAGACGTATGTTTTGTGATTTTGTGAATGGAAAAATGCTCAAAGATTGAGAGAATCCTTTAGATATTGATATAACATGATATAGTCCATAACCAGAAAATGATATATCAATGGATAAATGGATATAACATGGATAACATGGATAAATGGATATGGATATAACATGATATAACATGAGTCCAGGGCCGGTGACTCGTCCAGTGCTTTCTTTCGTGAATTACCTGCTGTTTTTGGACAGCGAATTCGATCGCTTGACTCGAGATCTGCTTAGGAGGTGCGCGGCTGCGCCGATGGTTGGGGATCTGGGGGCTAGCCATGGCCATTTATAGATGGTTTACCTATTATAAATGGCCATTTTCAATAGCTATGTTAAATTACCAGAGGGTATGTATATTATACATGTTTTGCACTCACATCAGATACATCACAATTCATAAGATCTATATATTTCATACCATTTCATACAATATAGTGTGTATATCGTCTATATATATAAGAAATCCACATGAAATGAATGTCACTTATATTGTGAAGCCCCACATCTTCAAACACATCCGAAATCAGTTTCAGGATCTGATGGCAGGGCGGCGGCCGAGAGCACTCGCACTGCTGTCCATTCTGTTGGGTCTGTGGTTGGGACTCAGCTGACATCGGTGATTCCAAAGGATTTTCAACGGCATCAAGATCATTGGTTGGGAGGTTCGTTGGAGTTTCCAAGGGGTTCAGGTATAGTTATACCATTTATATGATATATCATATATATACATGATGTGTGTATAATATGTGTATATACTCTACAAAAGGATTTTCCATGGTTTTCCCATGACCCAGTGAAAAACCCTCCAAAACCAGCCCATGATCAAGCCTTTGCTTTAGGTCTGTGGCCTTCGTCAATTCTGCATACAAGCAGACGTGTGGCTCTAAGACTTTTGGGATTTATTTCTTGGGGAAACCATTGATTGGGTGCATTCAATGATGTGATATTATATGATATCTGATGATATATGAAAGATGATAATATATATATATATTTAATAATAATGATATATGATATGATATTGTATGCCATCCATGTTTGATGTGTTGGCCCATGAACAGAGGCATCCCTCAGCATCTCGCTGAGGCAATTGGGTGCTGTCATGGGACAAGGGTTGGGAACTTAGAGCATGGACTCGGCTATTTGCACTCGGCGAGGACATAATTGATATTGAGTCCTGCTTGGTGGAATTGCACTTGTTTCAAAGGTAAAACATCTTCTCTGTATCTTGCTTCACTACTTCACTACTTCAATCTTGATCTGAGTTGCTAGGACATTGTTGCAAGAATTTGCTGCGAGATTTTGCCCCAAGTCCAACCAAAGTTGTCCACAACACACTGTCACAACTACAACACCATGAAACACCCCGCCACACCGTGCCACACCTTGTTTCTTCGTTGCCTTAAGAAGTCAGCGAGTCGCACATGTTGTATCCCTTCAAGGTTTGGGAGCTGAAGCAATGAATCCCCACCGATCCACGGAAATCCCCACAGCTTCACCGATGACTCCCTAGCTGCAGCCATGGCAGTGGTGCCCCAAGGGGGTCCTGGAGGACCTCCAGCACCTACTGGCTGCGAGGTCCGTGCGGCCAACCCTCCCAAGGGTTTTGGCCTCTTCGCCTGTGCTCCCTGTCCGGCATACTCCAACCTCTTCACTGAGGACCGGCAGGGCACTGGGATGGCACTGGGATGGCATTGATTGGGATGATTATATGGTATATATGTTGGTATAATAGTGGTATATATGGTATTACTGTGGCTGGGATGATTGGGATGATTGGGATGGTCATCGCTGTCGCGTGAGGAGCCTCTGTTTGCCATGCAACATTCTGGCAATCGTCGAGTGGCCCGCTCCCCAAATGGTGCCACAAATTGAGCCATTCGCAGAGTTTGCTTGGAAAAGTGGGATTTTCATGCCCACGTGCACTTCATTCTTAGTGAAGCCATTGTTTTAAATATGGATGTGTGTGTGTGTGTTTCCTCAAAATTCAGATTTACAGCCAATTTATGGCCGTTAAATAATGTGGAAGAAGATAAACCAATATAAACCATAAAATTTGGTGAGATTTTCCTTCGTTTCAGACCCTGCTTTTGACCGTGTCAGGTTGCAGCCTGTGCGCGCTGCTGTGGCTTTATCCACTCTGTGCCTTTGCAACTGGAGGCTTACCAGCTCATGAAGATCCATGGGAAATCGGAAATCACTGGGGGAAATCGCTGGGGGAAACAGATTGGACCAAATTTAAAGGATCAAACTCTGTGGGTTCCAGGTCATCTTCGGTGAAAGCCGATTTGCTCCATTGCTGGCGGCACTTGGAGATCTGCCCAGACGATGGCAGGCCGGGGTTTTTTCGGTGGTTAAAAAGCTGGGAAAATCTCAGGATGCGAAAGTTGAGCTGAAAAGTGTGTGATGGTAATTTAATAGTAATACCACTATTACCCCTTTTCGTCCCTTTCTTTTCGCCAGGAAAGCGCCGGTGAAGGGCAAGCAACGGTGGTCCGATGTGCGCAAGGTCGGAAACGTCCGATGTCCCCAGCTGATGACATAGCCATGTCGAGCCTCCCGATTTTTGCCAGGCTGTGGTGAGCTGTACTGCTCTGAGGATGGCACTTTGGTCGTTGCTTTCGAATTTGGTCATTGATGTCTTATGTGGCGTTTTATGTGGTGATATCTGGTGTTGTCTCATTTATGATATTATTTTTTATTGTGCTTTCTGGTTTTATACGTGTTGTGTTTGTTGTGTGTAGTGGTTCATTGTTTCATGCATGAATGGCATTGCCACATCTTTGACCCACCCAGTGCGGATTTGGAGAGGCGTGCAGAGATGCGCACTTTCAGCAGTCTCACAACTTGCTTTGCGCCACTTGGCAACTGGGGGAATAACAAAACCGGACCTAAGGACCTAATTGTAGGTTGACGGGTCTGGCAGCGTGAGATATGTTGAAATGCTTCTGAAATGAACACCAAGAACAGTCCAAAGGCGCACTCAAAGGTAGCAGTGATGACCCTCCAAACCCTCCGACTTAGGTGGGCCCATTGACGGCTGAGGCTGGACAGTTGGGGTTAACAAAAACCGCTGATTTGCCATCGAACCGGAACCCAGCGGCCACAGGACCCGTTGCTGCGCTTCAAGTACCATGCCTTGGAGCATGCGGACACTTTACTTTTAGCAGCACAGGTGCCATTGGGATCGGAGCGGGATATATTGGGATCGGATGATGCCAACAGAAACATCAATATCAAAATATCACAATTGCTGCAGCTGAGAGAATGGAGTTGCATTAGATTTGCACATTAGTTTCGTTGTTCATGTTGCATCATTTTGCAATTTGCACAGTGGCAGATACCTGAAATCGGAGAAACCCACAGGTCTTTGCGTATCTCATCAACCGAGCCAAAGCTGCCGGAGGAGGAGCAGAGGCCAAGACCGCAACCATAAATGTCTCATATGAAGCATATTCAACTTGAGATTGAACTTGATTGAACTTGAACATCAACTGAGTCAAAGTTCACCGCAGCCGCGCTGTAGGGACAAGATGGACAAGCTGTTTTCATTTTTCACTCATCTTCGGCATATTTTTCACTATCCGATTGTGGCTGTGTCGCCAGTGTCGCCAGTGTCGCCAGTGCCATGCTGTGCCATGCTGTGCCAGGTGACCCAGAACTTGATGCAGGAGCTCTTGTGCTTCTGCCCTGCTCCAAGAGGATTTTTTCCGAGTTTACCATTGATATATCCCATTGATATCCCATTGATCAGGATGAGATCCTGCCATGTCCTTTCTCCGTGTCTCGCATTCCGCCCGTGCCAAAAACAAGCCGTGCCCAGTGCCCAGGTCACGCACCTTTCAGAGACGCGTCTGGGCCTCGTCCATGGTCGATGCTGGAAGATCTGTCGCAGCTGTCGCCGTGGAAACTCAGGTGTCGGGCTCCACCGGGACGCGCCAAAGATGCGGAATTCTACGCCCCTCGGGCACGGCACAAAAGAGGGATTTGGAGAAAATGTGGAGGTTGGATGAGGTTGGTGAAATGGTGATAAATGATGGTTTTACTGGTGTTTTTGAGGTGACTTTGGAGACTTAAAATAGATCTGATGAGTACTTGGTTCTTATGTTGGAACATCTTGAAATGCATCACTGAGGCACACACCGACGGTCTGGTGAATGAAGCTGCAGCGTTGCTGAAAGCTGCCTTGGAGCCGCGTGCTCCCGCAGAGGTGGAAAAATTCATGGACTGGTCTTTCTCCACTAACAGATTTAAGCTGATTCAAAATACTTCAACATATAGAAGGATGATGAAAAGATCTGGAAAGATGGGATACGGCTGATATCATGCTGTTTCATTTGGATAGATCTGGATAGATCTGGATAGCACAGTAGTTACAGTAAGGTTTTGAAGCTTCTTGGATGCCTTCCTTGTGATGGAAACACCACAGGTGGCTGCACTCTTCCAAGCTGGACCTGCCTTTTTTTCGGAGGTCTTGGGTCTCTTTGAAGCTTGGACCGGTTGGAAGGTGATTGGCATCTAACATCATCTAACATCAGATGAGCCAAGGAATACAACAACATCGACCTGGAGGTGAGGTCGGGGTCATGTTGCAGTTTCCTTTCAGTTTTTCTTTGATCCATTTGATCCGATCCATGGAGTTTTCACGCCAAGGTTTCTTCGCCCTTGGGGCAGCTGTTACTCCAGCGGGCCAAAACACTTCTGGTCATGGGTCCGGAGGTGGGAAAGAGGTGTCACTGTTGGTGATCCCTTGATTTGTTGGGGAATTTGGATTGGGATTTCTGATAAAATCATGGTCTTATGATGATATCCATTTTTTATGTGAAGTTGCTGCCAAAGTTTTGAGTTGAGAAATGGCTCAGGCCCACCCAGAATTGCTGCAAATGGAAGCCTTGCTTCGAGAGAAGGAATGGGCCGGGAGCTAGGAATAAGCCACAGATTCCACAGATTCGCTAAGTCACTAGTGGTTCAAATCACTTTCCACCACTCATCACCGAGGTCATGCGCTGTGTTTGGGGTGAGGAAACCACTGGCATTTTCGAGGACGTCAGCATCCCAGTTTTGGTTGGCAGTGAGTTGCTGATGATTTTCCCGTCTAACTAAGGAGCTGGAGACCAATGGCACCAATGGACAGACAGATAATCTGATGCAGGCAGGTTTAGCACTTCGCACGGCTTCATGTGCAGCTGTTCCTATAGCACGGCTGTTAAGGGACTTAAAACATCTTCAAAACATCATCCGCAACAACTTTGGCCGGTTTGGTCAGTGAGTTTCTCCACATGTTTCCCTGGTTTCCCCGCTGGATCTGGGCGGATTTTCAGGCCATGGAGCAGGGCAATGATGAGCAGGTGGCGAACGCGGCCATGGCGCAAGCCCGGGCGGAAGTGGCGCAGATGTCGTTGGAATCGTTGCTGAAGGCAGGGGGAAAATCATGGAAAATCTGCTGGAATGTGGGCAACCCAATGCCATCAACATCCACAAGCCTACTATTGGGGATGGTTGATACAATCCATGGTGATTTTGATGGTTTATGGATGTTTATGGCATTGGGTTTACCATGGTTTACCACATTGAAATCTGATGCATGCAGGGTGCCTGGCCATCTATGCATGGCACGGCCTTGTTTGCATCCGTGGCGCGCATGAATCACTCCTGCTGCTCGTCCGCAAGCGATTGCTTGATGACCGACCATCCCATTCACCAACCATAGAAGTGGGTCATGTTACATCCCAGTCATAGATCCCAGTCGGCGAAAAAAAAACAGATTTCGTAAACCTCGAAAAAAGGAATGGTTTATGTTTAACTATTGGGTTTACCAGCTTTAGCACATGAATCTTCAGTACATTTCAGGCAGGTTTGCATCTTCGATTTTGTGCCCGGTCGATGTGTTGCTCCAAGGCGCGCCAAATGTCAAGGTCACTTTTCCCAAGAACTCCTCGCAGCTCCTGGCGACATCAGCCTCTTGGCAGAAACGGGCAGAAACTCCTGTAGCGAAACGATGATCTCAGTTGGCGTTTCTGATCATAGCATCATGTTTTTTTGGCAGAAAAACAACTCAGAAAACATCCATAACCATCCATAACAATCCTAATAGTCATTAGATTAATCATTAGAATCCACGAGACATTGATAGATTTCATGATATGTCATATGTCAATGATATGTCTGACACCTTGGGAATTGCATCCTGCACTCACAGGTTTTGAATGTTTCTCCTGGTGATGAGCTTTGCCTTTGCTACATCAACCAGGAAAGGTGACTCAAAGCTGTAAGATCTGTAAGGCTTCCACATGTTGCATCATGTTGCATGTTTCTTGAAGATTCACTGCTGTGCTGGATATCTTACTGTATGTTGGATATGCTACAGATACTGAACGTACTCCACTTTTGAAGGAGGCAGATGTACAAACTCGGAGACGAAGGTTGGGGTCGACTGTTCATGACTGTTCTCCAGCATGGGTCGTTGTCCAATTCGCTGTCTCCAGATCTTCCAGTTCCTTCCAGTCCCTTCCAGGCTCCTGGAATACGGCTTCACTTGCTGTTGCACCAGATGCCTAGCAGAGGACAGCTGCAGTAAACACTGCAGTTGCAGTCTTTCATGGAAAATGCTTCGAAACCCGGAGATCGGCTGCTCAGGATTCAGCTTCTCTGCGCAAAACACAAAAGCGATTAAAGTGATGTTGGCGATGCTCGAAGTCTCTTGACGTGAACGTAATGCATTGAACAGAAAACATGAAGGCATCATGAACAGAAGACAAGGTTTGAGACCAGAGGAGTTTTCCGCACCTTGTCATTCTGACAGCTGAGGTTTTGTTTGTGAAACAAACACATCAGATCTGAGCAGCCGAAGAAGTTTTCGACGGAGCATTAGTTGCTTCGACTCGGCGAACAAAAATTGCCTGGTGCATCGATGTACCGCTGGCCCGACAAAAAGCTTTCATGGATCAAGTGCAGATGCTGCAAAAGTCATGTTTGGTCTGAGCCATCAAAAAAAATGCAGAAGAATGCAGAAGAGGTCAGATCTAGATATCTATTGGGGGATTAGTGATAATATTATGATATATCAAAATAACAACCAATAGGTAAGTGATAATGGATAACATCCCAAGAAATATGTTTTTTCTGTTACTTGTGACATGTTGCCAAACTTTGAGGCAGTCGCAGACAGGCCGAAATCTCTTCGGTGCAGGCGGCGGCCAGGTGCCTTCCCACGCAAGTTCTGGTAGTGTGGAAAACGCGCTACACAATTGGCAAGTTAGAACTTGAATCGGAAAAAGAGTCGAAAAGATATGAAGATAGCAAAACTCTCCTACCTATCATACCTCCCAGTTTTGTGAGAGGATTCCTGCAAGTATGAGAGAAAGGAGCATAAATGCAGAGTAATGCAGCATAAAGATGTATGCACCGCCTGCTGCCATTTGCTGATTCATCACAGAGGGGTCTGGGTCTGCGCAGGAAGTGGCGGGTGACAGCATCTACGACTTCACGGTGCAAGACATCGACGGACAAGATGTGTCCTTGAACGAGTACAATGGCAAGGTTGTGCTGATTGTGAACGTTGCCAGCAAATGAGGCCAGGGTTCAAATGGGTTCAATACATGTCATGTTCTGACCGGTAAGAAGTTGTAGCTAGAGAGCTCATCAAGTGAGGCCATTCAGTTTGATGGATGAGGTCTGACCAAGTCAAACTACGCTGAACTGTCCCTGTCCCAGTCGTCTTTCCACTAGTTTCCAGTCGCTTCAAGTCATGGAATCAGGATTTCCGATGGATTTCATCCATAGATTTCATCCAAGGTGTGAGCTGTATGGGAAATACAAATCCCGCGGCTTTGAGGCATGCCGTTGAAGTTGCCCACAGCGTTTCTTGCGCCGCCTCAGCACTCACCAGGTGCTGGCCTTCCCTTGCAACCAGTTTGGTGGACAAGAGCCGGGCAGCAACGCTGAAGTGAAGGCGATGAAACGAGAAGAAACTAAGTAGGACCACAGAAGATAGCATTAGCTATCAAAAAGAATCAAAAAATGCCAAGAATTGGGGAAGAAGAAGAACGCTGAAGGAAACTGCAAAAGAAAACAGCGCTCTGTTTTGGAAAGTCCGTGCTGGATGTCAGGCTTTTGCACAAGACAAGTGCCCAGACACCTTCCCTCTCTTCTCCAAGATCGATGTCAACGGCGAAAATGAGGTCGTAAAATATCATGTAATTATCATGCAATTATCGTGTAATACTGGTATGATGTAATATCCCAGATGTTTGGTGGGAAAGTAGTGGGAAAGCTGGGAAAACTGAGAGACTTGGAGGCATTGCATGACAGTGTCGACAGTGTCAGGCTCCTTTGTACAGCTTCCTCAAGGATCGACAAGGAGAAATGTGCTTTCCTCAGAGATGTTGATCCGATCAATGTCAGGCTCTTGACACACAACACACGGCAACCTGTCAGGTTGGGTAGAAACATCAAGTGGAACTTCGCCAAATTCCTGGTGGTTCACGTCTCAAGTGGAACATGATGGTCTCAATACAGCAAATTTGATGCAGTAAACACAGTAAAGGCTGCGTACGTTGCTGTGTGTTTCTTCCAATGTCTTAGGATCGACAAGGGCAACCCGTGGCTCGTTTTGGGCCTCAAAGTTCTCCTTTGTCCTTTGAGGAGGAGATTGTGAAGTTGCTTTAAGATCTTTACAGATCAAAGATTTAAAACTTAAGGATGGTACAGAAATCCTACGTTTCTCATTTGGAGAAAAATGAGTTAAAACTCCAAATTTTCTGTTGCGGAAGCAACACGGGATGGGAAGATGAAGTAACCGAAAAGTTTTTTTTCAGCTCCAGGTGTTTGCTCAGTTTCCGCAGCACATAGGTGTGAACTCAACACTTTCCATAGGAAGCTGGATGAATGATGCAGCAACCACCAGGGAAGGTTTGCAGATGAATCGGGATCAGTTTGGCCAAAGCAGAACGATGTCTATGTTATTTATTTGTTGGAAATGGATTGAATGCAGATCCAGACAAATTCCCGATTTCTTTGCAGTGCCTGGCTGCAGATGTCTTCAGTTGTCCATGAGGGTGGCACTGTTCACCATGTGTTGCACCTGAGATTCATATGGAGCAGAAAAGAGTGTCTCATTTGGTCATTGGTGATGAAGGGTGCCATGTTCCTGTCACATCTCATATGGTTCACAGTGAGAAAAGGTGCATGGACCATGGAGGTCCATGGTCTATGTGTTGCTGTTGCCATGTTCCAGCTCCGAAACTGCAGCAGAAATGCCACAAAGACATGCACCCACTTGAGGATGTTTTAGATTGTCTCACTATGTTTCTGCTATCAAAAGTGTTTGATGATATTTTTTATTTGGGACTTCCAAATTTGGATAAATTTGGAATCATATCACAGGTTCACCTCAACAACCTCACCAATCTCAACAGTCACTTTTCTTGACACACCCGGCGCCATGTCTTGGAGGTGTGCCCAGGATGTCTTTCCCCCTGGCACCCAGACTTCGACGTCGCCTCACCGACTTCGAAGTGACCAAAGAGGCATCGAAAAGATGGGGGTTCGATGATGGAACTGGTCATGATCCACGAATTCTGTGCTTATAGTCAGAAAATGAATCATTATAGTCATGAAATGAAATGAATCATAGATATCATAGTAATTTATAATGGTTCATAAAGTTTTATGAGGTCTTTATGATGTTTTATGGTGTTTTTATGTGGATTTTCTGATAAAATCCTGTGAGGTCATCGGAACTGGATCCTTGTCCAACGTGCGGAGATGTCGCGAAAAGACCAGTGGCAAGTGCTTTGCCCTGAAGGCGCGCCATGGCGGGCCTTCAGGGGTTGAATTGTGTTGTTTTATGTGGTTTTTATGTGGTGTTTACATGGTGTTTATATGTTTTTAATATGGTTTTTATATGTTTTGATGTGCATAAATGGGCCTCATGGATGCATTTTATGCAAAGAAATGTCATACATGTTCATATCCAATGGATTGGGTGTGAGTCAAAATGATCAAACATGATCAATATTGATGGTTTGAATAGAATATCTGAAATTGTGATAGATATCATATTTTGATAGAATATCTGAAAATACATTGATAAAATATCTGAAAATATATGTTTCTGATACATTGGTATGTCTCGAGTCTCAATATTTTGAGCTCAACCATTGGGAGTCCATGATGAGTCCATGATCCCGTCCAGGCCTTCGATCGACATATCCTTCGCTCCAATCACAAAGAGGCTGACGTGACCATCGAGGTGCAACCAAATATGGGAAGCTGATGTGGAAAAGCGGATAAAAAGGAGGGCTACCATCATTGTGTCCCTATAAAATCCATCTAAAATCCATCTAAAATCCATATGGAGATGGTTTCCCCCCAACAAACATTGCAAACATTGGTGGAAACCTGTGGATTTTCCCTGGTGGAAAACTGCAGGAGCATTGCCTCCGAAGAGCCAACCATCCTGGCATTGCTGCTGACTGAGTTCCTGGAGGGATTTCTTGATGGTTTATATACCATCTATTAATTAAATAGGGGGGAAACCATCTATTCCATATGGATATGATTGATTATGATTGATTCAATTAAACCTCATTAAACCATTATTAAAAACCCGTTGATACCTTCATTTTCCTTACCTTTGCGCTGAGGTGAAGCTGCATTCGTCCTTCCGGGATGAGGAATTTCATTACTTCACCTTGGACCTATGCACAGGGGTCTGCCCGGCAGTTTGATCAGCGCTTGATGAGCGCTTGATCAGCGCTGGCTCCAGTCAGCTGTGGCCAGGGAGAGTTGTGGACTTTAGTCCGCAACGTGGGATGTGAAGAGAATCTTGCCAGGTGGGACGGGCCCTATATCTTCCGATCATTTTCATATTCATGTTCATTCATTTTCATATTAATGTTCATATTAATGTTCATTCATTTTCCACATTTTCATATTAATGTTCATGGATTTTCCAGACCTTCCGATGTTTCTGGTGAAATGTTGAATTCTGAGGCATTACTTGGCCCAGATCATAGAGGTGGCCAGGAGCTGAATGGCATCAACCGCCATTTGGTGTCCACTGGGAACTGGGAAACTGTCCCAGATTTTTTGGTTAACGCGAATCGAAAATAGGGCAGACACAGTGACACAGTAACTGACAGTAACTGACACGGGCAACTCGAAACAGTCGAAACACTGAGATTCAATATCTTCGCGATGCTCAAATTGTTCATCGTGATTTGAAGTTCGAATCTCAGAAAGGGAGGATTGTCTCAGGATTTTCCAAGAATAGAAGGTCTCAATCCCATTGACAGTCCGAGTCATTTTGAGGGCTGAGAATGTGCTCATCGGGCCTCGAGGTGCCGAGATTCACATGTTACACATGTCGAATTTCTGTCGATAAATTCTCGTTGAAACAGAACTAGTTCAGTTTCAATACATTCGTGACATCAATCCCATTCCAACATTCCAATCCCATTCCAATGGCAAGGAATCGAACATTCCAACATTCCAATAAATTCTCTACATTCGGAAGTCGAGTCGTGACACGCGCAAGGCAATGTGAAGCTCATCGACTTTGGCAGCGCCAAAGATTTGGCCAACCCCCAGGTGAAAGGCGCTGGCATCCACAACTTCAAAACCGTGATGCAGGCGGAGTGCACCATGTCTTCACCATGTCTTCACCATGTGTTCACTATATATATATATACATATTACATAATAGATAATATATATATATATACACTATATATGAGTATATATATATATAATTATATATATATATATTTGTCCATCCTCAATGTGACCTGGTCTAAATCAAGAGATGTTGAAGAGCTGGACACCTGCAGGACACGGTTGGCACTCCGTATTTCATGGCTCCAGAGGCACGTGGACTTGCGCCTTTAATTCTGCCACAGAAGCTATCCATACCCAGAGACATCCATAGTTTTTGCAGATGTTTGCAGATGGGATGTCAGATGGATGTCAGTCACATGTAATTAGTTCAATTGATTAAATTGATTCCAAGATATTCCAAGTTCCACGTGCAGTGTGCTCCAAGTGCTTTGTCACTTGCAGGTTGTGAAGAACAAAGGGAGTGACTTTCGCTCTGACACCTGGTCCCTGGGTTGTGTGGTCCCTTGGCAGCACTGCAACAGGTTGCTGTGCATATCATCGGCAAGTTGGCAATTCAGAGGGTTTAGGGTTTAACATGGTTTAACCCGTTGAACCCGTTTAACCCTAAGGTTTTCCAAGTCCTTACGGGACTCTTGCCTTTCTATGGCGGGCATCGACCTCGTCTTGTGGAGATGTGATGTGAAGTGGTCATATCTGTCTTCGCGAACCTTGTTTTTTTGGATGCGTTTGTGCTCGATTGGGGCCAAAGGACCGTCTGCCGCGTCTACAAGAAGATTTGCGCTTTGGGCAGCAAGCAAGCGGTTTTTTCCAAGGAATTAAGCTATTGAAAGGAGACTGAACTCATCCACATTCCACATTCGACACTTTGGTCCATTTGTTCTCATGGCAGCAGATTTGATGGTTTTCAACATGTTATAACATGTTATAACAAATCTCTCTCAGATCCTCCCATGATCCCAGGCCATTCTGACGGACCTCAGTTGGATCTGCCGCAGCACTGGCTGTCGCCCGATGCCACGGATCTCATCCGTCGCATGGTGGTGAAGGTCAGGGAGCCTCAGCCCTGGCACGGCGAAGTTCCGTGGCACGGCGACACGGCCATTGGTTGAGGATCCGGATGCGCGGCTGGGCTGCCGTGATTTTCGAGAACTGGAGGAGAAGTAAGTCGGATGATGTGGATGATATGATGATGTGGATATGATATATATATATATATGATTATGATGATGATGATGATGATGGAACATGAGGATAGGATTCTTCAGATTATGACTTCATGACCATTATGGCCGTATGACCGCCGTTGGATGTACCTTTTGAAAGCCGCCATCGAGGAGCATCCTTTCTTTGGCATCCCCTTCGCAGGTTGGGACCTTTGGGCCTTTTTGTACCTTTCACCCACAACTTGATGATGAAAAACATGTTATGACAAAGTATGGTTTGCAACTGCAAGTATGAAAAAACGAATTCCACATTCCACTATCTACTTTCATTGGGGCTATATCATTTCATATGTTTGGACCATCCTTACATGCACAAAATTCCATGGTCAGCATGCAAATCGGCAGGTGCATATGCGCGACCTGCTCCGGTGAGGACATTGGAGGACCATTGCGATGGCAGTGTGAAATCTGTGAAATCCGTGGACTTTATTCAGTTTTCCAGTTGTTATATCCTCTGGTAAATTGGATGGTTAATGATGGTTAATGGTGGTTAATGGTGGTTAATGGTGGTTAATGGTGGTTAATGGATATTACTATCCTCTGGCAAATTAACTTGTTGACCCTGAAAATAGCCTAGTTTTGATGGTTTCACTAATCTGAACCAACCCCGATGACTGCCAGGGTCTATGTTAATTTACCAGAGGGTAAGTCCAAGCTGGTTTCTCAGAGATTTTCTCATGCTGTTCAAGACTCGATGGTGGAAATATGTGGAAATATACCCTCTGGTTATGACTAACATAGCCATGGTATAGATGGCCCATAGAAATAGATGGTTTACCTATTAAAAATGGCTGGATCTTTCCATGGCTATGTTAAATAACTGTGCTGACCGAGCTTTCATTGTCTGCGTGAGGTGGCATCTTCATCATGTTCATCATCTCCGCAGGATCAGGGCGGGCTCAGATCCTTCAGATGCAAGGTAGAAAATAGTTTGCTGTGCGTCAGCATTTCCATTCTCCAGTTGTCGGAGACTTCAGTTGTTTGTAGTGCCCTTAGTTGATTCTTCACTGTGCTATCCAGTTCATGGTAGCGGAGCTCCTGAAAGGAGCAGGGAGCCTTTGATCTTTTAGAGCCATGCCAGACGATGCTGCGCATCTTGCTGTCCCGATTTGGTCTGGAGACCCTGCTGAGTTTGAACAGTTTTGCACTGCGTGTCGCTGGTACGAAAAGACGCTGAAGACATCAGAAAGATCTCAAGCGGCATCCCGTGTGTGGTCACGACTACAAGGTGCTGCGAAATCTGTAGTGAGACACTTAGATCCGGACGATTATGAATCAGCAGATGGACTACAGAAGCTGCTTCAGGTGCTGCGAGATAGCCCATTGCAACGACTTCCCATCCCTGACTCATTTTCTAGGCTGGATCAATGGAACAGTTTGCGACGCCGTGAAGGCGAGAGCATAGCTGAGCTTCTGGTACGTGAGGAAGATGTTTTCACACAGTTGCAGCAGGCTCTTACGAGAGCGAGGTTGGACCGTGGTGTGGCAGCCCCGACATCTCAAGGCAGTCCTCATGCGGCTTCAACGCCATCTCAATTTGGTGCTGGCAGTCCACATCACAGGGCACCGGTTGGCAGTGCTGGAAGCCAACCACAGGCGACAACAGCTACAGCAGCTCCTGGTCCGACGCCCATTCCACAGACAGTGGGTGCAGTTTCTGGGACAAGTGATTTTTTCGAAGATGAAATGCGTGGATATCGTCTTCTTAAATCTGCTAATCTGACCAAACAAGAGAAACAGAATGTGCTGACACAGACTGGGAACAACACAGCGTTTCAGTTGGTGAAGCGTGCATTGAGAGCGATGTTTGCGGATGAGAATGAGGTGACCCAGCGATTTCAGCGGAAGCCATCAAGAGGTGTTTGGTGGCAGGATGATGCAACAGAAGATCTTTGGCCGGATGAGCAGTACGAAGATGATGCGGCATGGTATGGATATGAGCCCACTGCGTACTGGCAAGACTGGTGGGGAGATGAATGGTATGATGAATCAGAGTACAACGAATGGGATCCATCTCAAGACGCTGAATCCTATGAGGTGGAGCCTTTGGCAGCAGATGAAGCTGGTGGTGATGGACAAGAAGAAAGTCAATTGCGCGAGGCCTATGCTCTGGCCGGTGAGGCCAACAAAACATTGGCCCAGGCGCGTGAAGCAGTGCGCCAGGTCAGACAGTCGCGCGGCTACTATTCAGCCGAGGCTTCGACTGGAAAGGGTTTGACACCATCTTCATCACCATCACGTTCTCCTAGCAAGGGATCACCGAAGGGCCTCAAGGGCAAGTCTTCGGGTTTTGGACCCTGTTTCATGTGCAAGCGTACGGGACATGGATATCAACAATGCCCTGACAGATTCTCCAAGGGAAAGGCTGGCAAGGGAAAATTTGGTTTTCAGTCTTGGAAAGGAAAAGGGAAAGGTAAAGGACCCTCCAAATCCAAGTCAATGTCCAATTATGTTGGCCCTGGTTTGTACACCCTGTCGATTCTCTGGAGCTCAGATTCTTTGAAAGAACAGTGCCACACCAGAGTGGCGATCGATACTGGAGCGGCTGAGAATGCGATTGGTGCTGAAGCGTTGGACAAGATGCTTCGACATGGCCAGTTTTACTACGATGTACAGCTGGGCAACATGCCGACTTTTCGTTTTGGCAATGGACAAAGACAGCAAGCCGTCAGCAAAGTGAACATCTATGACACATCTCTTGGAGATTTGCATTTCTATGTTCTCAATGGGGGCGATGCAGTGAACACACCACCACTTTTGGGAGCCAAGACGTTGAAACAATGCCAAGCCCAAATCCATTACGGAAGTGATCAACTGGTATTTTTGCTGAATGATTGGAAATCTGGTATGACCTCAACCCTTTCCCTACCTGTTCACGTTCTTCCTTCCCTTCATTTGACTGTGGACTTGCGTGGTGAGGCCATGCCAGCAGCTGCATCGAGCTTTGCCAACGTCAGGACTCCCAGTGGTGACAGTTGCAACGTGCTGCATTTTGATTCAGGTGGTGCACAATTTTCAGATGTCAGTTGTGATGATTTTATTTCCAATGGTTGCGGTGATGTCTTTGCCAATGACTCAGAGTTTTTCATTCCTCTTTACATGATGCAGCAGTCGATGCAACAGCCAGTTCAACATGCAGTGAAACATGAAGTTCATCCACAAATGCCAATGCGATCTGATTTGAATGAGAAACTGCAGTCCCTGGCTCAGCGCTTGCGAGACCTCTCAGGTGCCATCATTTGTGATGGCCACACCGGTGGCTACAGCTGCGGAGTCTCACGCCAGAGACGATCCCAGGATCAGCAGCTATCCATGTTTTGGAAGTCACAGCGATCGACTTCGTCAGAACCAGCATGCGGTCTGGCAGGTGTGCAGCCGATGTGGCCTCCGCACCAGCTACACGTCCAAGAAGGGCAAGACAGGCGAGTACCGCCAGATGGGGCCAGACCCGACGTTGCTGAAGGCGATCCTGGACGACTTCGAAGCCAAGCAGATCCCTCCGGAGCAGATGACAGAGGCCATCATCATGGGCCGTCTGATGGAGGTGAAAGGCCGCCTTCTCCAGACCGGAGAAGCCAAAACTATGAGCCTCAACATGAAGTTGGAGGACTACCGCAAAAGGATTGGCGAGATGAGCCCAAAGAAGAAGACCACTGCCAGTCTGCCAGACAAGCCATGCCCGACACCTCTGCCAGAAGAGACCAAGGCCATGATGCGATCCCAGCTCTACCGCGAGATGATGGAATCAGTGAAGGACTCTCCAGAGGACCAGAAAATCCTGGAGAAAGCGGCAGCCAGCTTAGGAATTGGTCTCGAGATGGATTGGGAGAAGGTCTCACAGCCGGAGGAGGTGAACTCATCGGAGGAGGGCAGCCCCAAAAGCAAGCAGAAGGTGGAAGATCGTTCCAGAGCCTCTGGAACTCGCTGAGCGCTTTGAAAGACAAGATGCAGAAGAAGGTCTCCCCTTTGACTCCGGAGACACACGGCAAAGGCGACTCTATGGCGCCAACCTTTCAAGACACTACGAGCACTACGAAATCTACGGAGCATCCCTTTTGCGATGCACACGGCAATAGCATTTCCAAGCCTGATGATGTGGTCAGGCCATCTCCAAAGAAGGGCCAACAGCCCAATCACTTGCTTCCCAGCGTGGCCAAGAAGATTGCAAGGAATGCTGCAACCATGGGAGCCCTTTTGCTTGCTCCATGCCAAGGCCTACTGGGACAGCTGCAGAACACCCCGGACTTCATGGAGATTGCATGCGCTCCAACTTCCAGGTTGTCAGCCTCAATGGAAGATGCTGGATACTTCATCAAGCGCATCAACTTCAAGGAAGGCTATGACCTTGAAGCCAAGAGCGGAACCATGGCACTGAAGTCCGAGATGGAGGCCCGACCACCAAGGTTTACATGGGTGTCAATGCCATGCACGAGATTGACATCTTTGCAATACCTGACTCCTCGATCTGAGGAGGAATGGGCCAAGTTTGAAAAGCGCCAGGGCAATGACCTCAAAAGATCTGATGAAGTTGCTGAAGGAGTTGTGGCTGCGCTGACAGCCTCCGATGACAATGATTTTGCATGGGAATGGCCCACACGGGCAACCAAAGGCTGGAAAGGCCGAGCCATTTCCCGCCTTCTGAAGTTCATGCAGAAGAAGGGCCGACCAGTTTTCTGGTGCCGCATCGATGGATGCGCCTATGGCCTTGAGCACCGATCCATACCAGTGCTCAAAGGATGGACGATCCTCACTTCATCCAGAAAGCTTTGGATGTCTCTCCAGAAAAGATGCCCAGGACATCCTGAACATGCTGAGTGCCGAGGTGTTGTTGCCCAGGCTTCATCATACTACCCATGGCCAATGGTGAAAGCCGTGGCTAAGGCCATTCAGAGCCAATGGTCTGAGATGGAGTCCAAGAATGGTATCAGCCTCAGCCAGGATGTCGAATACTATCTCCTGGACATCAAGGATGACAACACTGAGTTTGAGGGCATCCAATTGACTGGCACTGTTCGTGAAGAAGTTTCTGAGATCTTTGCATTGACCAGGAACCGATATCCAGTCAATCCTCCCACAGGCAAGGAGTTGGATGAGATCCGCAAGATGATGTTACGTGTTCACAAAGCTTCTGGTCATGCATCATTCACGAGCCTTCAACGACTTCTACGTGCTCGGAAAGCTCCTCCATGGGCCATTGAAATGGCCGGCAAGATGGAATGTCCCTCTTGCAAGGAGGCCAAGCGGATCCCACCAGTTTCGGTGGCTTCTTTGAAAGAACTCCCAGCGCTCTATGAGGTTGTGGGCATGGATGTTTTTGAGTATGAGTACAGCGAGCGCAAGTTCAAATTTCTGCTGATGCGTGATCGTGCAAGTGGTTTGGTGCAAGTTGAGTTTCTTCAAGAATATGGAGCTGAAGGCCTTCCACGATCGTGGGAACCCAAGACGGCAGATATTATCAACTGCGTATGTCGATGGCTCATGGTGAACCCAACTCCAAAGTGGTTGATCACAGACAGTGCAACCTACTTCACCTCGATGGCCTTCATTGACTTTTGTGGGTCCTCAGGAATTGGCCTTCTTACTACTCCTGCTGAAGCTCATGAGATGCTTGGATCTGAAGAAGCTTGCATTGGCGTCCTCAAAGAGACGGTGAAGCGCTTGCTCAGTGAGGTCCCTGATTTGCCCATCGGCGACGCGTTCAGACTGGGAGCCAATTCTCACAACCAAACTGTGGGACCCAGTGGCTTCAGTCCGTTTCAGTGGACAAGGGGATCATCAAGTCCTCATGAGAACTTGCCCAAGGGAATTGCCCCTATAGAAGCTTTTGGTGGCATGCTCAAATTGAAGGAGCAAGCACGAATCAACTATGAGATTGCCAATGCGAAGCACAAGATCTCACGGCTCAACAACAGTGCACCCAAACCATCAGTGATTTACCAGCCTGGACAGTTGGTGATGCTATGGCGACAGCGAAACCGCCCTGGAAAAGTGACTGGATCATGGTTGGGTCCAACAAGATTGCTTTTGGTTGAAGGTGGAACTGCATGGTTGGCTACAGGATCAACTTTGATTCGGGCACGTCTCAACCAGATCAGGCCTTGCACCTCTAGGGAAGACCTTCAAGCTTCCTTGGAAGGTACTGCAGTGATGACCACTCCTACGACCATGGAGAAGTTGCTTCAGTCTTTCACTGGCCGCAACTACCTCAACGTGACTGGAGAAGTGCCCTCTGAACGCCAACGTCAAGATGACATACAAGCTGGAGAAGTTTTGGTGGACGTGGGAGAACAGCCTCGCCAAGATGTGTGGCGAACCATTGTTGAAGATGGTCGACAGTGGCTGATCCGTGTTCATCATCTTCCACGGCTAGCACTCTTCTCACCTTCACGACTTCAAGACCTGCCAGTTCCACAAGACAAGTTGACAGGTCGCCGGATCACCATTGTGAGGTCTATGCTTGGTGATACTCCTGAAGCGAGGATTGAAGACAACTTCAAAGATGGCCAAGATCCTCATCGTCATCTCACTGAACGATGGCGTGGAGAAACTCGCTTGGAAGTGGCAATTGAGCCAACACTTCCACCAAGCTCAAGTTCCAAGAAAACCACCGTGAAGAAAACTATTTCCAAGCAGAAGAATGACAAGGTCAAATTGAAGGATGATGCTCAAGATGCGAGCGAAGTTCCAGTGCCTATGACACCAACAGCTCCTGGGTCAATACTTCCTCAAGTTCCACAGTTAGAACCTGAGACACCACAACTACAACAAGAGGAACCATCCATGGATGATGATCCGGAGCCACCTCCAGTTTCGGAGGGAATTCAAGGGAGCTCTTCTGAGGTGACAGGCCAACAACTACCGGCCGGCCTCGCGCCATGCACAGCTCCTGGATGCATGCTTTCAGGTGGCCATGAAGGTGCCCACCGTGATACTTTTGGAGTCAGATACTCATGGAATTCAACCTCAGGTCGAGTCGACGTCGATGAACGTGACGGCTCATCCTCCTCTACCTCAAGTGCATCAAGTTCAGAATCTGAAGAGCTAATGCCAGATGAGCCCAACCAGAACCGCCGACAGCGGAGAGCTATGAAGAGGCGCAAACTGAAAGCCTCTGACCTTGGAGAGCAGCAAGATGCCTACCAGTTCGAGATTGTCCTCGAAGATGCGGATGTTGACTTCCTGACGAAGCATCCGATGAAGGCAGCTATCTGGCTCTCCAAGAAGATGGAATCGAAAGGAAAAGAAGCAAGATGGAGCAAACTCACTCTAGAAGAGAAGAAAAGCTTTGATGGTGCTCAAGCAAAAGAATTGAGCAATGTCTTGACCTCAAAGGCATTGCGCAGCCTCACTGCCGCAGAGGAAGCCAATTTGGATCATCGCAAAGTCATGCAGATGCGATGGGTCCTCACTTGGAAGTCAGACCAGACGGCGAAAGCGCGATTGGTAGTGCTTGGATATCAGGCACCAAATTTGACACAGGTCCAAGCTTCAGCTCCAACCATGGCCAAGCTGAGCCGAAATATGGTCCTGGCAATTTGTGCCAACGAGCGCTTCACAGTCCGTGCTGGCGATGTGACGGCAGCTTTCTTGCAGGCGACTCAATCTCTTGAAGACGAAGATTTGTTTGTATGGGCCCCAGCAGAGTTGGCTACGTTGTTTGGAGCAGACCCGAGCAACCCAGTCAAGGCCCTCAAGATTCAGCGTGCATTTTATGGCCTTGTTCATGCGCCGCGAAAGTGGTATGACCATGTTTGTGCAACACTTCTTTCACATGGATGGAGACGGTTGACAAGCGATGGTTGCGTTTTTGTGCTTTTCAATGGGGATCGACTTGTGGGCATAGCTGGAACCCACGTCGATGATTTTCTATTGGGAGGCGATGACAATGATGAGGTGTTCAAACAAGCTAAGGCCAAGTTGATGCAGGCTTACAGGTGGGGCAAATGGGAAGAATCCACTTTTGAGTTTGCGGGCACCACCATCACTCAAAGGTCTGATTTCAGCATTGAGATTTCTCAGCAGAATTACATTGAGAAATGGCTTGACGAGATCTACGTTTCCAAGGACCGTCAAGTTGCGAAGAAATCCCTGCTGACTCCGTCGGAGATCTCTTCTCTCCGAGGCCTCATTGGCACCATGTCATGGAAGGCCAGTCAGACCGGCCCACAATATGTTGCAGATGTGAGTTTACTGCTTTCCGAGATTCCCTATGCCACAGTGGATACGTTGTTGAGAGCAAACAAGCTTGCGAGAGAAATGAAACGAGATTCTCAGCAGGTGCTACGCTTTCCCTCGTGGGGAATTTCCTGGAAAGATCTTGCAGTTGTGACATGGGCAGATGCTTCAAATCATAACAGACCAGACCGTTCCTCTACAATGGGCATGATCTCTGGATTGGCCCCCAAAACAATTTTGGAAGGACAAGAAGTCCCTGTTGCTTTGGTGAATTGGCGCTCTGGGAAGACACCGCGCCAGTGTCTTGGATCCAACGGTGCGGAGATTCAAGCGATCACTGAAGGCGAAGACATGACTTTCAAAATCAGAGGTTTCCTGATTGATGTCTATGGCATTGAGTTCAACCGCAGAAATTTGTATGAGCAAGTCAAACGTTTTACATCTGGTGCAGTTGTCATGGACAGCAGAGGTGTGTTTGACGCAGCCACAAGGAACGTTTCTGCACTTCATGGCTTGCGCAGCAGCCGCGCTGGCTATGAGTTGGCTCTATCAATCATTCAGGCAAGATCCATTGATACGAAATTCAGATGGGTCAACGGAATGGTTCAGCTAGCAGATACTCTTACAAAATCCAACTCTCGAAAGGTGCTTTTGCATATGATGAGTCTTGGACAAGTTTGGAGTGTGATTTTTGATGAGAAATTTACTGCTGGCAAGAAGATTCGCAAACAAGAGATGCTACGCAAGATGAGACAAATGGAGCTTGATTTCTTTTCTGCCATTGACCGATTGGCGAAAGAGCAGCGCTGGCCCAGGTACGATGAAGATCCCAGGAGTATGGGTGATGTGCTGACCGAGCTTTCATTGTCTGCGTGAGGTGGCATCTTCATCATGTTCAACATCTCCGCAGGATCAGGGCGGGCTCAGATCCTTCAGATGCAAGGTAGAAAATAGTTTGCTGTGCGTCAGCATTTCCATTCTCCAGTTGTCGGAGACTTCAGTTGTTTGTAGTGCCCTTAGTTGATTCTTCACTGTGCTATCCAGTTCAATAACCATACGTTTTGCTGTTCAGGAGATGTGTATCCGGCACATTGGCCGAAGGTGGAAAGAAAAGTCGTGATCTCATTAGCACAAACTCCTTCAGAAAACTCTGTGGACAGAAAGAATTCGACAATGAAAAAAGGACCCGAAAACTCTTCTTGCAGTTTCTTGTTGCTCTACTACATGTAAGTCAAGTACAGAATCGTATATGTATGTAAGGTAAAGCAATGCAATGTCATCTAGTGTAGTGTAATGCAATGTTTGTATGACATAGATAAATAGTCAGACAGATAGACAGACAGACAGACAGAAAGATAGAAAGACAGATACAATGCAACAGTAAGTGCAGCAGTATTCCTATGTTTATGACTTGATTTATGCTATTCCTGAAACATTCAACAGTATTATGATTGTGGCTGATTTATGGATATTTACCATGGATATGTATGATATTTACGGTTTGTATTAGTATCGCATTCAGAGACCTCAAAACAGAAACGAGGTTCGAAGACTCCGCATTGCCCTTGGCCTCAGCTGCCACAGCTGCAAAGTCACTGCGACACGAGGCGTGGAACACGTGGCAAAAACGTGGCACAACCGGGTTAGGGGGTCCGGTAAGTGCCAGGTGGATCCTACCCATGTCAATAATAAATAGAATTAGGATATATTAGGATGATATAATGCCCCCTAACTATATGTTGAAAATGTGATTTTAGGTGATAAATGATATTTGACAATGAGTATCTCTATTACTTGACATGTGACATATTCTTATTATCACTGTTTATTTTTGCCATTTCCATTCTCAGGGCAGTGAAACTCTAGAATTTGATGTGAGGCTCTGCGAAAGCTGCAGCGTATTGCAGACGTTTACGAGCTTGTGGTGGAGACTGGCATGTTGAACCTCAAAACAGCAGGGATGCCATGGATTTCATGGTGGATTTCATGGTGATTCAATGGGAATTTAGATTGAAATCACCATGAAATCACCATGAAATCACCAAGCTTTGTGGGTTACATTTGAATCCATTCTGACAGGGCGGTAAAGCCGATGAGGGCGAGACGTCTTTCTCAGAGGTGTCGTGTTGCTGTGTGATTTGGATTCTGCAGAAAGTTTATGAATCTATCAAAGGTTATGATCTTTATGATTATAGCCATATTAGCAAGAGTTATGTTGATGATCATTTATGGTTATAAATCCAAATGGTTACAAATCTGATCATCATCTTTTTCCAAGGTCAACATATGAAGGAATGAACTTGATCCGATGTGATCCGATGTTCCCAACTCCTGTCAGGATGAAGACTGAAGCTGGACAGATCTGGGAGAAAAAAGATGGACTGCGAGATCTCAGCTGTTTTTGGGGGTTGCCATGATGGTTCCCAAACCTCAGCCTCTTCCTGCCGTGGTTTTGTTATGGCAATGGTTTTCTCATTGTGATCCGAATTGGACGTCATGGTCAGCTTAGATGCACATCGACGCGGGAGTCCGAATGTTGAATCAGTAGCGCGGTATAGAGGAGGGATGCTCGCAACAATCCACCGATACCGGGGTTATCAGTTCCTAGTAGTTACTATGTTAGGGATGGAAGAACCACAAATGGAAAACTGGTCATTGCAGTATCCAACCTTTCAGATCTTTCAGTGACGACGCGGTTGTGTTTACTGAGTCATGGGACGAAGTTGGAGCCTGCGATTCCGCAGCTTCAGTTGCATTCCTCGGACCCAATCAATGTGTTGATGTGGTAAAAATTCATCAAGTGTCCTACCCTCTGGTTATGTCAAAATAGCTGTTGAAAATGGCCATAGAAATAGTGGATTTGCCAATTGAACATGGTGATTTTCCATATAGTTATGTTAGTTTACCAGAGGGTAAGTCTATACAGCCATTCATTGTTCGTAGCCATACATCAGATGATGGAAACGATACAGAAGGCAGTATACAGCCACCATGTCTTTGGCTTGTGTCTCAATTATTGTGTTGTCCATGCTTGAAATGCAACACAGTCTGCATGGAATGTTCTGATTTGTTAAGTTATGCAGGTTTCATTCATGGGACGAAACTGTCGCTGTTTTGTTTCTTGACATTGGTGGCACGCTTCATGTCCGCAAACCTCTTGTTCAAGAAGAGAATTCAACTTGCTTTAGATGTCAGCAAGAAGCAACCAAGAAAAACATAGCATGAACTTAGATGGAAAACATGGGAAAAACAAAGTCTAAATAAATGTCACCAAAGCAACTGGGACAGAAAAATTGGGAGGTCTGATTTTCCTCAGAACTCGCATGAAAGATGTCATTTGTGAAGTCACTCCATTCTGGGAACCACCAGTTACACCATATATTTTTTCCTGAAGATCTTTGAAGATCTTTAGTTTAGAGCCGTCTCGTTTGAAAATCCCATGGAGTGAAAATGTCAAGGCGCCCTTAGTTGAAAAAACATGGCTGTCGGACAATTCTCCATGGATCATCTTGTACAGAATGTTGGCGCATCGATTTAATCCGAGTTAGTTTACCTTTAGACTTGACATTAACCTTCACCAAATTTGCCACATATCTTTTTTTTCCAATCATAGACATAATCTGTTGAAATGTATGAAATGCCTCTGATACTGGAAGGCCAATTCCAGAGCCCAAGGAATGCTCCTTCAAGGACTGACCTAGATCGTGATCTGATGCAATGCTGATTTCGTGGCAGTTTCGCCAGGATTTGCATGATGGAACTGGCGGTTTCAGCCCTTCAAACAGGCCAAACGGCCAAACTTGACCCGGTTTATAGAATGTTTTAAGGTTTACAGGTTGTACAATAGCTTGTTTTTCAGGAAGATGTGTTTTATGCCTTGCTCCTGGATGTAGAACATGAAGCATTGATGCAGGTTGGGCCGAGATGCTGTTGGTTCTGTCCTATAGCTCAATTTTATGGAATGTGTATCCTTATTTTGCATCATTTTTGCATCATTTTTGCCATGGGATTTCTATCGGATTGCCATCGCACCATGAGGTGTACAGGGGCCTTTTGAACGGCGCTGCAGCAGCGGTCAAGGCGCATTTTGGGCGCATTTTGGGCGCATTTTGGGCGCGACGGGCTTCGCAACGCTGGCCGCGTTGCGGCGGCAACGGAGGCTGTGACGGATGACGTGAAGATCGAGGAGGAAGTTCGGCTCCTGAAACGTCGGGACCTGAATCACCGAAAAAAATGGAGCCGAAATCCACAGGTTCTTGGAAGTTCTTGGAGGTTTATAGCTGGGAAAATCATCCAGTGGGAGATTTACATAAATTTTATGCCCTGTTTGAGCACTGGTAGTGAGGCCAAATGATTCAAATTTAAAAATCAAAGTGCAACACCTTTGACTCGAGAGACAGCATGGCTCAGCATGGTGCAATCCTGTGGAGGCCTTCGCCATCCAAACCTCGTATGCCTCTTGGGTTGGTCAATGTACCAGTTAGAGCCTCAGCTTTGATGATGCATGTTGTTTTTTCACTATCAAATAATATCAAATAGTCTTAAGAATCTTAAGATATTTCTGAGAAAAAAAAACTTTTTTGAAGATGTACATGTTTTTATGGTTTTTTTATGTCCATTAAATCATGATCCGCATATGAGACCTTTCGATGTTGTCGCTTCGTAGGCGGAAGAAATTCTTGGTCTACGAGCTGCTGTCTGGAGGTGACCTCCATTACCATTTGGAGCGTAGCCGAAGCGGAGAGGCATACGGCGCTGGAAGGTTTGCACCTCTTATTGGGATCATCTTGGATCATCAATCGATGTCATTTGTTGATATTTGTTGTTTGTTGGCTACACATTTGGGTGGTGAAACACGTTTCACCCCGTTGTTCACCCCGTTGCTAAAATTCCATGAGTTGCTGAAAATGTCGATGTTTTCGCAGGTGAGCTTCCCTGCCTCTCGCCGGAGAATAGCAGCCTACGATGCATCAAAGGGTCTCTTCCATATGGCGAATCTGGTGCCAGCGATGTATCACCGGGATATCAAGCCATTGAACATCGTGTTGGATAAGCCGCATCCTCAAAATCCAGTCCAAGGCAACTGGTTTCACTGTGAGTTTCTGGTGAAAAATCCGAGACATCTCTGTTTTTTGCTGTGAAAAAATCGCAGGAAGGGAACCGCCAAAATGGTCGATTTTGGAGTCCAGGATCCCACTTAAGCCACATCTTTGCCACGCATTTACCACAACTTTGTCATAGCTGTCATAGCTGTTATACCATAGCTGTCGCATTCGCAGGATGAGGCGCACCTAAAGGTGGACCGAATCAGCGGAACACCGGGGTGGCTCGCCCAGCTGAGCTGTGTGAGAACCATCCACAACTAATACTTATGGATAAACACTTATTGATGGATGATTATCATTGTTATCTGATTAAAATGATGATATATAATGATAATCTGATAAACACTGTTTTGATATTTTTGCTGAACAGCTATGCACTTTGGTTGTTCGCTTATGTTCGGTTGTTTTTCCCTGAGGTATACCTGTCCTATCTACTTGCAGACTGGCAAAGTTAACGAACAATCAGAGGTGACTTGGCAGTGCTGTGTTGAGTTTGATGTTTCTTTGGAAGTTTGTCTCAAAAAAATGGCGGGAAAGCATCTCTTGACCGCAGGTGTTCTCGTTTGGAACCGCCCCAACCTCAGATGGTTCCTACATGTTCATCGTGTGGAAACGCCGAACGAAGCGTTTTTTGTGACTTGGAAAGGTACTATTGGAGCTACTGGTGAACGAAGCGCCAGCGCTCACTGATGGAAGAGGACAGTTAAAAATCACCATTTGGTGGACAGTTTCATATGTTTCATGCCATAACTTCAGCCTTTTTCAGCCATATTCAGCCATATTCAGCCATGATATCATCTGATATCATCTGATATCCATGTTTTGCATGATTGGATCCATTGGATCCATTGGATCAGGGGCCATGATCTATCCACTGCTGGAAAAGATTCAGCCAGCAGCCTCTGGCGCTTTGCGCCGTGTCTTTGAACATGCCGAGCTTTCAGCGGGGCCGGGGGATCCCAGTACCAGCATCCACAGCAGCCACAGCATCGATCCCTTGGCGGAAAGCGTTGAGGTGGAAAATGCCAGAGCTGGAAGATGTGGCAAAACTGGCCCTGCGCTGTGCCTGAATCCTCAGTGATTCAACTCTCATGAAACTGAAATTTCATCCCAGGAAATTCATTCCTCCGTTCGTCCGTCAGTTTTTGGTTGTGTTTTCCCAGGTGGACTTTACTCCTGCTCGCCGCCCGCTCTTCAAGGAAATTGCTGAAGCCTTGCGGCCGAGCCAGCGACAGGCGGCTGCTCGAGTGGCCAAACCACTCTCCAAACCGGTCCAAACCTTCGAGCTACACGCGATGTGGCGCGCGTCAGGATTCTTTGCGACCTCCCAGGTGCCACATCTGAGTTGTTCCGTTATATTAAGCTATCGCTGTGCGAAACCGCATCGATAGAAATAAGCACGATTTCACTGTGTCAAGGTATGGTGCTGAACCTCAAGGCCACTGATTTTGTGGGTGATGTGTTTTTTTGAAAATTGTAGTAGTGGAGATTCAAAAAATGATCAGAGAGGATCATGAAATGCTTGACGTTGTTCGTTGCTGCCCGCTGAATTTACTATCTGCGTGCATCTCTGAAGAAGTCCACGAATTGTTGTTGTCACTATCTTTTGTGCTTTGGCTTGTACACAGGGCCTGCGAAGAATTTGTCACATACTCGATGTCCGTTGCGTTGTTTCACTCCAGCAATACCTGTGGATTTTTTCTTGCTGATTTTGTTGCACCAATTGATCCTATACATCTGAGAACTGAGGACTGCTTTAGACCAATTGATCCTGTGTTGTGCAGCTTCCTCAGCCGCTGCTGAGATGTTCCATTTCTTCAGAGCTGACTCGAAAAATTTCAAGGTTTGGACGCCGGTCCTTTCTGCTCCAACACACAACATCACCATCAAGGCACAGTTAAAACTTCGACGGCACAGAAAACTTAACGACGTAAATTTCGCACAGGTTTTTCGCACATGGGATGATCGTAGAGATTTTGCCAGGCAGAACCAAAGGATTGGGAGGTCGCAGTTGGCTGGATCCTCATAGATTCTGGACCTCAAAAAACCTGAAAAAAACACCAAATTTTCCTCTGTTATATCTGGAACCCCCATGGCTGTCCGATATTCTCATGTCATGATGGTAAATCTGCCATTTAATTGTTGCTGATTGGATTGAATGTATTGAATAGATTCCACATACTCCAGTCCAATCCCAATTATATCTCATTATGTCCCGATACAAAAACTAGAAACTGGTGGGTTTCGGCCATGAAAATCTCCAAAACCAGTTGGAGAATCATGAACAAATCCCCAATCTTGATGATTCAACACATTTCAACACCACAGTTCTATAGTTGGATGATCATCATAAGACCATAATCAATCATATACATTGATACATATTAAAATTACTATTCACCCCCAACATTTTGATGATTTTGATGCACCAAAATCCTCAAAAATCATCATCAGCTTTGGTCGAAAAATATACGATGCACCAAGGGCGAAATCACCAGCCAGACTTCTTTGAAAAGGTCATGGACCAGGCTCTCCGATGGCCGCCAGTTGCCACTAGAGATTACCAAAGATGGATGGCAAGCTCCAAAGTGGGTGAGAAGAAAGTCTGGAAAAATCGGTGATGAAATAAACATCAGTTCATATCAGTTCTATTCATTTCTCAGTTCCTGGAGTGTCTCTTGTGTGAAAGACACAGACTTGTTCTTCTGCGGTCAATTTTGGCAGCAAATTCGCATGTCAAGACGGCATGGGTTCAAATGAAGTTGTTTTTTCCCGGAGCAAAGCCATCAGAAAATTGACATGTGCGAAAAGGCTCGATGTATCTCGATGTATACCATGCTTTAGTGGATACTGTCAGGAATCACTTTCAAAGATTTCTCGAACTCACTTCAAAATCGGTGTTTCGCTCGCATCTCAGCTCCTGAAACTAAGCCAAATGTGACAGATCACAATTTCATCATGACTCACATGTTGATGACCAACATGTTGATGACTCACATGACTGAGGCAGAATCAGCTGATGGTTTCAAAGCATTCTTCGCAGCGGCCTCTGCATTTGCGACATCAAAAATGGTGCCAAATTGCACCACAGCCGCACACAGGAATCCGTTTCTGGTGAACGGAGCTCCTTTGGAGCAAGGCGCCGCAGTCGGCAGCAAGTCGTCGTCATTGGTGTCACGTGACGGTGTCACACCGTGTCGTGCAGGTGCAACGGTGGTCATTCGCGAGAATGACATGTTGACCCTATCAGATCCACCCATTGCGGTACTGCGCGTGCAGTTGCGATTCTTGGAGGCAGATGCGGAAAGTGGGTGACTTTCTGATGGATTTTCATGGCGTTGCTGATGGATTTTCATGGAAACTCTCATGTTTTGCAGATGTGCGTTATGCTTTATTTGTGATGTGATAGGCTCGTCCTGCATTTCTGTCGCAGCCTCAAAAGGTGAAGATATGTGATGCCAATGCAGGCATGTAGCTATGTTATCCAGGATAGTTATCCAGGATAGCTATCCATTAATATCCATGATTGTCCTGGTCCTATCTTGTTAGACACATTTTACATCATATATCACCATATTTTCATATTACATATGAATGAAATTGTGCAAGATTTCATGTAGACTTGGACCTTGCACTAAGGCCCTCTGCTAGACCCACAGGAGTACATCACAGCGGATAATCCGTCCACAGCTACGCACGTGACGTGTGACAACTTTAATGTGGCACCGCCGGAGATCTGTTTGATTTTGTTGAGTTGGTGACACATGTAGAAAATCAATTTGGCGAGGAGCTATGGCAGTTCTGGAATGTGTGAAATCAATTTGTTTGCACCCCAGCTGTGACGGGGAGAGATGGAGACATGGAGAAGAGGTGAATAACATGTTGGTCTCTTACCGACAGCATCCAACAGCTCCCTTTGTTGTCAGCCTTGCTGTATCACAGGCACAGATGTGAAGGGCTTGCCGAAAGAGGCATCGCGATGAATCACGGATTTTGCTTTACTTGACATCACTTTACATCACTTAACGAAATGTCAAGAAATGTCAATGTCGGATTCTGAACGATTCTGAATCAGAGAATTCTGGAAAATTCCGCTGTTTGTGGATGTTTTCTGGTTTGGTTCTGTGAGGCCAAACGAATCGCTGTGAACACGGGAGAAATCGTGGAGGTTGGTCGAAGGCATCAGGAGCTGGTCTTCGATAAGCTCCTCAAGGCGAGGGTGTCGACAAAGAATTGGAAAATCGGGAGACGACTAATGGTTATTTATGGGATATTATCTATGATTATTTATATTACTATGATTATTATCATGATTCTCTATAGATATTGGGATAATATATAGATATTGGGATAATATCAATATAGTTGGGATATTATCAATGATATTATCAATGATTATTATGATCAACATAGTTTTCATTGATAATCAAGATGATGTTGGGATATTATCAATGATTACAGCATGGTAGGAAAAGCTTGGAACATGGCTGTGTCGAATTAGTCGATGTGTTCCAGGCCAACTGGTTCTACAACATCTCCCGAACGCACTTGAAGGCGGCCCATCATGGTTCATCCAGCGATGAACAGGTCTGTACAAAAGCTACAGTATGTCAGCTACCATGGAATGATATAAATGATCGTGTTTCCATTCGGCCATGGCCATGGAGGTGTGCTTTCATGCCACAGAACTTCTTCTGCAGGACCGGAACATACAAAATCCACGTCAAAAATCCACGTATGAAACAGCTCAGAGTTTGGAGCAATTTGCATAAAGGGCATAAAATTTGACTGTCAGACTGTCAGAGTTTGAAACAAGGGATTGTTTCGATTCGCCTCTGCAGCTCATTTGGATCGTTGAGTAGTTCTTGATGGCATTCTCATGGAAGAGGCCGGAGATTTTTGCAGAGTACTGCCTTGGAGAAATTTTAGAGATGTTTTGAGATGGGGAAATATGTTGATGCTTATTGACATTTATTGACATTAATTTATTGATATTTATTGATATTTATTGACATTTATTGATGTTTGTTGATTCTTGTTATCCAAGACTTTTGAGATGAGGTGGAGAATGAAACGGACAAGGTCCAGTCTGTCATGGAGGCTCCTTGTCGTGCGGATGGCAGGGGAATGGAGGGGAACAGTATACGACCAGACGGCAACGGCACAAACATTGCGGGTTTAGGAACCTTTTCATACAGTTGGCATCAGTTACCCTCTGGTAAACATACAAAAAACTATGGAAAATCACCATGTTTAATGGGTAAATCCACTATTTCTATGGCCATTTTCAATAGCAAACTGTTAGTTTACCAGAGGGTAGTTGTTTCTTGATGTTTCTTGTTATCCTTTGATATTCTTCGTCTTTTCCATTTGCGGTCGACCTGTGCTTAAAGTGTGTTCCCCCCGACTTAGCCCAGGCTTTCCAGAGATATGACCAAGATGGAGATGGGATGATCAACTTCAAAGAATTGGCTGCACTGATGAGGGATCTTGCAGGTTCGGCTGGAGACTGGGACGATCACCAGATCCGTGTTCTGCTGAAAGCCATGGATTCAGATAACGACGGCAAAGTGATCTTGACGGAGTTTGGAGCATGGCTTTTTGGAAGTCAGTTGTCAGATGAAGATGAGTCGAAGCTGAAAACAGCCGAGTTGAAGCTGGCAACCGGAACTGAAAAAGCCGAGGGCAGGAGCAACGCGGGCAACGGGGGCGAATCCAAGCTTTCCAAGATCAGGAGTGGCACAAGTGGCACAAGTGGTGAAGGTGGAACCAGTGAAAAAAGAGACAAGGAAAGAGATAAAACTGCTTGGCGTCCTGGAAGAAGGCTTCCAGAAGGTGCCGAGCAAGGTGACGATGAGGAAGAGGAGGAGGTTGAGGAAGACGAAGAAGATGAAGATGGAGATGCTGAAGAAGAAGAAGAGGAACCAGAAGATCCAGAGGAACCAGAGGAGGATTGGGAAGAGTTCGATGAAAAAATGTTCAACAAGTTGAGCCAATCGGGTAGAAGTGCCTTGTGGCAGCGGCTGATGCCTGCTCGTGAAGGTTCAGCGCAAGATGCAGCGCAGCGGATGAAATCCTTGAAGCCGCCCAATCCCAAGAGACCCAACGACCACAAACATGCCCTACTCTACTTGCAGAACCATGCAGGCACTGATGTCACTGATGTCCGATATATGTCCGAGATATGTCCCATCATGCTGGTAAAAAAGATGGTGAAGGGTTAGCAGCGGATAGCATAGTCAAGATTCTGGCAACATGACTTTGGCGCATGGCTCTTGTAGCCTCTTGTAGGTATGTGCTCTTCACATGTGAAATTAGCTTCAGGCAAGGCACCAGGATAGATCGTCAGTAGTGGTTGATGGTTGGGGGTACGATCCAATAGATTTGGGAAAATAACATGATCAATTATTGGAATATACCAGCTTTTTGGTTGGTTTTCCCAAATATTCCAATCATTATTCCATTATTCCATTATTCCAACAGACTGGTATTTTCCAATATATTGGAATGTCTATTGGAATGTCTATGAACCAGCCAGTCCAATGGAATAACAGATTCGCCAGGTGGAAATGCCGATCTTGCCGGCCAGCCTCCGGATGGTGCAGATCGGAAGAAGGCGCTCCAGTGGTTGAAAGATGCCTTGCTGAAGATCAGTGAAGCGCATGACAAGTCCTACCAATTGCCGGTGAAGTGGCTCATTGGTAACTGGCGTTTATGGCCAGATGAAGATGAAGGCGATAGTAAAAAAGATCCAGGTTTTGTGGATTTGAAGAATTTGGCCATTCGGAAGCTGGATGGGATTGGCAAAAAGTATGAAGACTTGTACAAAGAGAGGAAATTGGGTATGGAGCTGGGCTTCATTGGAGAAAATTTGACATTTGAAATTCGGCCCCGGCAAGATCATTATTTGGTCCCACCGGGATATTTTGGTTTGAAAGAATTGCACGACAGAGCACTGGGAAACAAACCCACAGATACAGAATTGCACGAGCACGAAAGAAAGAAGCAGAGTTCGTTCATCATTTTCCTCCTGACAGCAGTCCATGGAGTGGATCATATCTTTCAAGAAGTTGCCAAGGAGATTTGTGAATCTGTGGCTGGAACATCACGAGCACCTCCTCCCAAAGGTTTCATGCGCATGTGGGCCAAGTTAGATACAGATCATGCAAGTGCCAAAAGTCCACGTGCAGCTGAAAACATCGATACCAACCGAGTGGCTTGGATTTTTGAAGAGCCATCGCAACTTCGTGATGCCTTTGAAAAAGCACAGAAGATTTTTGGAGCTCCACTTCGTGTGAAGAATGGATATGATCCAGCCTTTCCGGCCATGGCCGAGACCAAAGGATATCGGAACATCTTGGCAAATTACAAGTTTTCTCCTGAAATCACCTGGGGAGCTCTGGCAGGACGTGAGGGACCCAATGAAAAAGCCACAAAGACAGAAGCTGCCTGGGACAAATTCCGGACCCTTGGCAGCCGCGGGAGCCGCTTGTGGAACATGAACCGATCAGTGGGATGAGTCAATATTAGGGATCAGTGGGATGTGTACCCATGGTCCAGTACCCTACACAATATTAACATATATTAACAATATTTGGGTAAGAATGACATATAATATCATATAATGACCAATTATGTAGGGCCATTAGTATCACGATTTTAACTGCGCATGTCTTCCGTTTCACTTTGAGTATTTCTTCAAAGGCCTACTGCGCCTACTGCAAGCAGACCACTCTTCGAGATAATGTCAAAATGCGAGACGAACAATTTCCCGGTGCCAAAAGCATGAAAGCTGAAGATGTTTGAATCGGTGTACTAAGTGACTAACTTGTGTACTAGAGTTGAATACAGGAAGCAACAGGGGCTTCTTGTTGTGGGAAGTATGCTGGGATGTCCCTGCCTGCAATAGCCTGCCCTTCAGGAAACTACTCCTAGACACTTTCTTGAACATGGGATATGCTGATGAAGCAGCCTTCGACGATGAACTCACCTACTACATGCATTGCTGTGAGGCAGCAAGAGCCTATTATTGTTCCAAAGATATGCAGAAGAAGCCGGTGGAAATTGTTGTGGAGATCCAATACATGTTGCAATCCTATTTTGATATGCGGAAATACACACATACCTGGTACAAGATTGTGAGAGCGGAAGATCCTGAAGCTCTGGTGGTTGATTACAATTCCTGAAGCATTGCTGCCGGCTCAATGTCAGGTCCACAAAAATCTCTGCGAGAGACCCTGAAGAGACCTCCAATTTTTTTCACGGCCCTTCAGAACTGGTGCTGGCTTCCGAAGGAACCAGTTACCACATGTGAAGCATGACAAAGAGACATTATGCAAACATAGACGTTGTTAACGTTGTTTCTGGTGGCCGAAAAAGTGCAGCACAGGCTGCAGAACGACACGACATGACATGATTTGTTTTTGTTAGCCTACCGTGCAGTGTTTTCACCGTTCTTGGGATTGATATCACTATCGATACGTTCCAAGTATTCTTTGATGTTCAGTTTGAATTTCAGGTTCAAAATCTCAGCACCAATCCGGTGATGGTGAATGGCAGGCATGGGCACCCGCATACGATTCAGTGCTGTGATTCTTCAAACTGCGGACATACGTGACATACGTGACATACATGTGAAAACACAGGTTGCATGCTGCAATTCTGCATCATGTGGTTGCATTTATCTTGGACAAGGCAATTGAAGCAGAGCCAAAGTGGAACGATTTTACCGGGCGGCTGCATTGCATTTTTGGCGCGCAGCGATGGGAAGGAGGAGATGTTTGGAGATAGTCACACACAAGTCATTTCAGCCAGTAAGAGTACCCTTGTTGATTGAGATATATGATATAACATATATATAATATAATATATTATTACATATATATGTATATATATAACATATATATATGTATATATATATGTATTATAGCCCTATATACTATCTGGTTTGTTGATCTAGAGAACCCCCTATCCAGAATGGCCGCGATGCCGCGATGCCTGGAGGAGACCACCTTCCTGGAATTCAACTTGCATATGGATGCCAAGCGAAATTGGGCATTTGAAACCGGACAACGAAACCCATAAATCGTGCAAAGATGCGCAAAGATGTGCAAAGATGCAGAAACTTGCGCGTTGCTTGCATGAGGGACTGATTTGGCCTAACTTGGCAAGGAACTGTGTTCTTTTAATCGTTTTTTGACTTGCACATGGCATAGCGAGAATCAAAGTCGGAAGCGTGTTGTTTGTGTTGTTTCTTCTTGGCTCAAAATCGGACCAAAAGTCAGAGTTGCCAAAAGTCAGAGTGCGGGGAGGCGATGCAGTGATGTCAGGGAAATTCTTGTGGTCTCTCAGATCTATCAATGTTCTATCAATTTTGATCTGTTTTTGGAGAATGTGTTTCACTCAAAAATCCAGGCCGGTCGCATGTTTTTTAAACATGGAGATATGGATTGCAGCGACCGGGGGGGTCACTGTAGCTGCAGCCCTGTGCCTTGCCAGCCTTGGGATCCTCTAAGAGGGCGTGGCATCATCGCTATGTTGGCATGTAGTGTTTGCAAGTTTCAGGTTTGCTGAAGTCAAATTGAGGAAAGATAGGAAAGCACATCTTTATGTGGCCAATCGGCAAAGTTTTGACCATGGAGAAAGGTGAGATGGCACGATGACAGCTCCTTCCCAAAAAAAAAAACTGCAAAATCTGTGCAATTCCATGGCCAGGTCATTGCCATTGCCGGTACGATTGAAGGCCTGGGGAGGTAAGATGTTTAAACTTGAAGCATATTTAATCAAGATGCTGAGGATGCTGAGGAATAGATTCAAACTTGAGGCGCATGTGTTGACCAACATGCCATTGATGTCAAATGTTCAAACATGAAGACCCACTTGTTGTGTCACTGAAGATGCTGTGCAGGTCGAAGGTTCAAAAAACTTGAATTACATCTTTCGGTCAAGATGCTGATATAAAATGTTCAAACTTGAAGTATACACTTCAATCAAGATTGTGTCAATATCAATCCTGAGACATAGCGTCTATGTTTCAGTCTATTATTGACGATGATGAAGTCTATCGTTCAAACTTCGTTGCATTGGTCGTAGATGTTTCAGGTGTCGCTGCAGCCCTTCAATGGTCGAGGCAAAAGTTGCGCCAGATTTTCTCCCAGTGTGCATTTCTCCATTTTTTCTCCATATTTCTCAAGTGATGTCTTGGAAAGGCTCAAGGTGTGCGGTGGACTCTACAAACTTCTGAAAAAAGATCCATAAATATATAGCTCGATAGGTATGCAGATGGTATGCATATGATTCGACTTATGTACCTATAGACCGTGTAGATATATGATATATGCTCAATACATAGATGAATCTAAAGACTGTCAGACTCTTTAGATTCAAGTGAAAGCTCTGAGATGCTGAGCCGCAATGGCTCAATCGGGTGCGCCAAATACACAGGCGGGAAGCAGATGGGTTGTGCCAAAATGAGTGGCTTAAATCGGCTTAAATCCACCAACTTCTCGCAGCGGAACCCTCTGCATTCGCAGAGGCACAGGTTGCCCTGTGCTAAGTTAGGTTTTGATTTTGTTTGATGCCAAGCTCAAAGTGTGTAGTTTATCACTTTAGCAGTAGCATTGGTTCTGGTTTGCCCAAGCTATCCGAACATAGCCTCAGGAGAAGCGCCTTGGGCACCAACTTCAGTTTTCCTTTGGGATTGAGCTCCAGGGTTTTCGTCACCAGCAGCTGAATGGTGTCTATGTCCGGGATGACGAGACGAAGGTCTCTGAGATGATCACTTTTTGGCAAGAGGCCGCTGATGACCCATGCTTTATCTACAGCAGGGGCTTCGACCAATCCGGCTATTGGTTTCTTTGCAAGCATTGCGATTGTGATGGCGAACTTCTCACTGAAATACAAGCTGGAGCTGAGAGGTCGCTGGCATATTTGGATTGTGAAGATAAGTGGCACGAATACTACGATGACACTGACACGTGGCACCCAGCCGAGCTAGTCATCATCAGCATGAAGGAGGCTTTGGCGGAGCCATTCCGCGCTTTCGATCCAGAAGGTGGCCTGCAAGTCATTGTGAACGATTTGATCAACCGAAAATGTCAAGATGCTGAGTATGAAATAGGGCCAATGGGCATGCCAGATGCGTTGGAGCTTCATGAACAGTTAAATCCCATGTAGACGCTGAAGCAGACCCAAGAAGACACGCGCTGAAAAGATTGAAATGGGATGAAATTGGACGAAATGGGGATTGTTTGAAAGCTTTTTCATGTCATTTCATGTCAACTTGAAGCTGAGTGAATCATGACATGACATGTCCTCTGGATTCGATCGGGGATGCAGTTGCAGAGGGCACTTGTGAGGAGAGAGCGAGACATAGCGAGACAGAGAAACTCTGGAGACTTGAGGTTTCATGATGGTTTCATGTTTCAACAAGTGAAATGAAAGTTACAAAAGTTGCAAAAGTTACAAAAGTTACAGCTTACTCCAGGTTTTGGCTGTTTCTATTTGTTTCTCTTCATCTTCAACACTTGGCCTTCAAGGTCATGGCGACTGGATGGGAGAATGCCTGGGATCTGCGGAAAATATGAAGGGCACAGACTGATGGGCCTGGGCCATTGTGTCGCAAAACGACCTCATAAAAATGTGATATGGTATATACTACTAATATATATATAGTGTATATATATATTATACATATACTACATATACTATTATATATACACTATATACTATATACTATATACTATATACTATATACTATATACTATATACTATATACTATATACTATACATAACAAGCCATTTCGCGAAGTTCACTTTGGGTTTCAGTCGGTCAAAATCTCATCCGTCAAATCTGCAAGTCACGTACGCAGATTTGACGAGGTGAAGACGCCGACTTCGCCGGCGTTTCGGCAAAAACGCACAAAGAATGCACAAAGGGCAAAATGCACATGGAATTTGCATGGAATTTGCATGGAACATTCATGATGCAGCGAACTTGCTCATGGATAGAATCGTATAGAAAGTGACATATAGAAAGTGCATGTCTGGCAATGAATCGAACTGGACATTCATTGACCTTGCATTGAAATTTGACTCTGCTTGTTTCACTTCTCATTTGATCTTGGCTCAAAGTCACGAAAGTCAGTGATTGCACAGAGGCCTGGCATATAGTCATATAGAGAGTCATATAGAGATCATTATAAAATATGATAGTCAGAGTGTGAGTTGTAGAGTCTTGTGCTGTTTTTTGGTCCTCTTTTGGTCCCACACTTTTTCGTTGTTTTTCAACAAACAGGCGCCGATGGCTTCAGGAGATTACTACGCGGTTCTGGGGGTCGAGGGCTCAACGGAGCCGCAGATGTCGTTGGTTTTTCGCCTGGTGTTTTGGCCTGCTGAGGTGGCCAGGGATGCCAGCGATGCTGAGATCAAGAAGGCATATCGAAAGGACCAACCTGGGATCTTCGATGTCAATGGTGGTTAATGGTGGTTAATGATGGTTAATGGTGGTTAATGGTTGAACCAACCTGGTGGTTAATGGTGTATCTCCGTTGGCTGAGTCTAGTCTGCCCCGTGAGGAAGCCTTGAAATGGCATCCAGATAAAAATCCTGACAACAAGGCAGGCGTCACTGAATCGTCAGCGAGTCGTCAGCGGCGCTGCTTGGTGTACAGGAAGAGGCCGAGAAGAACTTCAAGGCTGTTGCAGAGGTCACAGCCTCAACGAAACTAAGCGAGGAAGATTGACGAAGTGTGCAAAGTGTCAAGAGCTGGCAGTCCAACAATTTCTCACAAAAGCTGACACATGTTGCATTATAATATACATATACATACATACATATTATATAGAACAACCAATATCATCATCAACAGTCATCAACAGTGACTTTGAGATGTTGCCATCCACAAGGCATATGAAGTACTGTCCAGCCCGGACAAGCGAGCCATGTACGATCGCGGCGGTAAGGACGTGACTCTGTCGCAATGGACCACTGTTGGTCTATGATTTTATCGTTCTGGATGGGATCATACCTGAAGTGTTCTATTCAACATATTGAGGATTAGGACTATCTTAGTGGGGCAAAGTCCAAAGGCAACACGTTGACTTCGTTGATGAGTGTCACTAGAAGAAATAGATACACCATAGCTGCTTAGCTTAAAAGAGATGAAGGATTCTGCAGACTCCATCGGTTTTGCACTAGTTTGCAGTGTTTCAGAGGCTCTCAATGGCGGTGGTGGCTACTCACATGCGGACTTCGGCCCTGACCTGAAAGGGGAGAAGACGTGGAGAACACGTGCAAAAGACGTGGCGACAGATGCGTACTCCGTGTGCAGCACCTGAGGCGATATCAATTCAGCCTTCAATATCTTCGAACAGGTGGCGAACTGCGCAACCCGTGTTGACTCGGCGCATGAACCATGTAGAAGAACCATGTATTGTTCACCATGTTCACTGGCTTCGTTCATCCATCTAGTGCATCTAGTGTACCCAAAACCATTTGGTTGGCAGTTCTTCGGTGGCCGCGACCCCTTCGCCGAAATGGACCGGATGTTCGCGGAGATGCACGGACAGCAGGGACAGCAGTCCAGGCACAACGCGACGCAGTTGGAACATTTGGGGTAGGTCAAAACCATTCAAAATCTATGAATTTGCAATATGACTAGGGGAATAAAGATCCATAAACATCACTAAACCAACTAAATTGGGCTACCACATGTGATCTACTGCATATGTCGATTGTTGATGACATGTTTTATGAGCTGTTCGAAATCGCGGATCTGTATAGATCAGGCCTGGAAGAGGCTTTGGATCAGGATTTGGCCAGGAACTTAGTGAAAACTCTGGTTGCCATGTCTTCATTGTCTTCCGCATATGTTGAACTCATATATTGTCAGCTCCAAGGCGGCTTTGGTGGCTTTGATGATGATTTCTTCAAAGGTGGATTTGGTGCAGGGCCTCAGAAATCGGAGAAATTGGATTCTTCCATTCCCTGCACCTTCGGTATCCTATCCTTCGGTCAGAGTTTCCCCACTCGGTTTCTTCGCACATCGCACATCATTTCCTCAATTTCTTGGCCATGTCAAGTTGCAGAAGTTGCAGTTTTGTAAGGTGGAGGAACTTCATTTAGTTCCTTCAGTTCCAGCACAGGAGGAGGTGGAGGCGGCGCTCTCCGTGTTTCAAATTCTGTGCTGTTCCGCTCGCCTTGCTCAGGGATGATGACCAGTACCACCACCACAACAAGGCCAGGGCGATCTTTCAAACTAAAACACAAAATTATGGGTACAGCCCTGCATATAGCCTATAGTTTATATAGAAATGTACAAATGTGTGCTGATCATGCCGATCTGTATGGTTTTCAATTCCTAAGTCTTGTCTTTCTGCATCGTCATGGCAGTGCTTCCACTTGCTCAGGATGGTGAATGGAAAGCAGGTCACGGTCACCGAGAAAACTGTCACTTCCTGAAACAAAAGCTTCAACAACGACAGCAGCTTCAATCGTGTCACAACGTCACAACCGTGTCACGACAGCAGTTTCGGTCAAGGTGAGGAAGCCTGATGGCACCGTGGAGACAACTCGTACAGAGTCTGACGGTAGCCAGCAAGGCCTCACCACTCGTTGTACTCGTTGTAGCACTTGTGCCTTGTGCCATGTATGTTCCACAATCTTCCACGTGTTCCATTTGTCAACAGCAAACCAAGAAACTGGCTGGAACATGATATCTCTTCAATCTACTTCAATCTGTTCCGTTCTTTTTCGAAGTGTTCATGACACTACCAGTCTTTTAAAATGACCCATGTCCGATATTTCCGGAATCTGCCGCGCAGCTGGCATGATTGGCGGCGGCTTTGATGGCTTTGGATTTGGGTCAGGGTCATCGCTCGGCACTGAGAGCTGAGGCCTGAATTTGTATCAAAAGTTGTATCCAAGTTTCCCACTATTTCCCACTCATTCAAGATCGAGGCAGAGATTCGGACTTGGATGGTTTGGGCCACAGTCGGCCACAGGTCGTGAGACTATCATCTCAGATTGTGACACACAAAAAGATCATTGCAATCGACATGCCAAGAATGCCAAGGTGAAGATTTGGACAGTGTGTGGAACGCCCACAGTCGCCCCGAATTCGACCTGCCCACCTCACAAAGTGTGCGTGGGAGATAGTGTTTACGGAACAGAACGCACTAGGATCTCAAGACTGCTGAGGTACCAAAACATGGCCACAAAAAATAAACCTGAAAAAAGTTCAACGAAAATGCTGGTTGTTCAGAGGCTATTGGTACCAGAATACTGCCGCAGTCATGATCAAAGACTGAAATGAACAAACCATGGCGTCAGCAAAAAAAACTGTTGGTAGAGTTTGGGCTGAGTCTTTTCAAGTGCTCCGAGCTTCCAGAAACGTTTTGATGCCATTATTTGGTACAGATGACGTTTTTGTAAAGTCAGAAAACGGTCGAGTAAGCTTCTCCTTGCTTGGGCCGAAAAGTTTCCGTGGTTCAATGGTTTTCTTGGTCAGCTTTTCCCCTGCTTCCCCTCGAGTCCCCCAGTCTCAAAATCTCCTCTTTTGCTGCACATTGGGTTTGTCGAAGCTCATGTTTTCTTCCAAGGCAAGTGCTTGACCGGGCAAGTGACCCAGAAACTCTTGAGATTGGTGCTCAGCAGTTGGGAGCAACCAATCTTGGATGCGCCTCTTGACTCATAGTGTTCATGTCGCTGTGATATATCTCTGGGTAAGCCATTTACAGCGCAATCGCTATTTGCATTATTTGCATTTCAGTTTGGAGGCCGGCTGTTGGATTGCGATTTGATTGTGCATCATCCCATTGCATCCCATCATCCCATGGTGACTTTCCAAGTTGGACTCGGAGAGTCCCCGAAGAGGCCATGGCTCTTTCCCGCTCCAGCGGTGCTGTTCGAAGGCGACCGATGTTTTGATCACTGCGACTCGACTCAATTCCCCATTCTGAGCGGTGTCAGTGGGACAGGTTCTTCTGGTCCCGTGGCAACCCAGTGGTCGACAAGGCCACCAAGCTGATTGAAGCAAATCCGTTCAGAACTCAAAGCATCTCAACTTTCTGAATCATTTCCTGAAAGATTTCCTGAAAGATATGAAATATGAAGAAAATCTTTGAAGGATTGGGAAAGTTGATGAAAGTTTTTTCCCTGCGTTTCGGCAGCAACAGTTTTCACACTTTTCCGAGGTGTGTTGTTTTCTCCAAATCAACATGAACCTCGGCAGAATCAGCTTCCCTTTGTGAAGAATCCATTGGAATCATCCAAAGATTCGTGGAGTTTTTGATGTTTTTGGACAGGCCCATTTTGTGATATGGCCAAGAGCGTTTTGCTCAACGACCTGAAGGCGAAGGTTCACGTCATGGAGCACCTCAACTTATCTGGGATGGGCCAGGATAAGCACTGCATTTGGCCTGGCATACCCGGCCTGGTAAATATACAAAAAGCTATTGAAAATGACCATAGAAATAGTTGATATAGTTGATTTACCCATTAATAGCATGGTGATTTTCCATAGTTATCTTACCAGAGGGTACTCTGGCAGTCTGGACAACTCGTTTTTCCGAGGATTGATCGTGAATTGAGTGGCGATGAAATGTCTGCATTGCAGGACCTTAGATCACCATGATTCACGCCTCATGGTCAATCTTTGCAAGTGAATCATATTTAATATTGAATATAGTGAATATGATTACAATGACTACAAATTTGCAATTGTATATTACAGTAATTGAGTACAAATTTTGCCCCTGAGGAGTGTGTTGGGAACCAGCAAAGTGGCTCTCTTCGCAGCATATTTCGTCCTGCTAGGACCACTTTCTGAAGACCACAGGGGCACGATCAGTGCCGCGAGTTTTCATTGAGGGAAATTGCATAGGCCCCGTTGGCCCCGTTGCAACCAGTTGCACCCAGTTCTACAACACAGAAACAGTGCCACGGGATCTTGTGAGGTGGCGGTACAGATGTTGCAGCTTTGGCGGAAAGGCGACTGTTTCAACGGGTTAGCTTCGACAAGAATTTCTGATATGGTTGGTATGAAAAACTGTGTATGTCTTTGTGAAAATGTCTGATTTGAATTGAAAGTCGAATCTTCTAAGTTTCACCAGTCCTCGCTTTCTGCCATGCCGATGGTGAAGTAACTTGTTGCAGGGGTGAGCTGAAAGACATGCTGGTGAAGGCACTGGACACGGCTGAATTCAACCATCAACAATCAATTTATTCAATAAACAATTGGATTCCTGGAGAATAAGCTAACAGATCTATCAGGCACTAGTGTTGTTAGGCACTTCTTTTGTTGGCTGGATATGTTCCTATAGTTGCCGCCTTCAAGTAGCTAAAACGTCCTTCATCAATGCGGCAGACTTGTCATGAAGACCAGGCAAAAGCACTTGAAGAATTATGCAGGGAGGACCAAATTGAAAGGAAACCATCTCAAACAAATGGTGAAGCAATGTGAAGCATCCGTCAACAGATTGAGTAGTCGGAATCAAGTCCGGCTTTTTGTTGTTTGCTATCTTCGGATCGCAGGAGCCCTGCAGTTTGCCAGGAAAACTCAGCATGTCGTCTCACCACGTGTTTTCCACAACCGGCTTAGCGCAAACCAAAGACCACAAGCAAAATGGATCAAAAATTACAGCAGAACACTTGGAAAGAGAGAAACCAGATGCTTGAGTATCAACAGACTTGCCACTATTGTTTGTCTTGCATCAGGGTCTGATGCTTGTCATGCAAACGCCAGCTACGGGTCTCTTCGACGTTTGCCCCAGGACTTGCTTTGGCATATTCGGACTCCGCAGCTGTGAGCCTTTCATATTCGATGCGTCCCTTCTCTCGTTGTTTACAAAGACCAGAATACAAAGTGTGGAACGTGGATGAACTTGGCCTTGGCACGACCAGCACGATCCATATCCATGACACACGGGAATCTGATATCGTGACACCATCGGCGCTGCATGCACCGAATGGGGTGAGGAAAGCGAGGCGATGCAGTTGATACCGATGTCCAAAATTCTCAGAGGAAGATGTGAAGAAAATGTATCGAAATGTAGAAACTCGGAAAACGGGGAAAAAAAGGAGGGAAAGGAGATGTAGGGCAAAATGTCTGAGAGATTCTAAGATATTGTTGGAAGCCGAGGACAGTGGGATTGGGTTGACCGAATTGAAAGGTATTGTTTATTTGTTTATGTCTATGCGTGTATGCCATAGCGAAATGAAACTTCACTTTTTTTCAAGGCGAAGTTGAAGCGTTGAAGCGTTTCACATCATTTCAAGTGAGCACTTGGCAGGAGCCAAAGCTCAGGCTGCTCGCAACAGCAAGGCTCATCACGCAGTCAGGTGCGCCAAACGGTTTGGGGTCGACATGTTGTCGATTTAGTATGGTTTAGTATGGTTTAGTATCCCTTGATTTATCAGTCACCTTGATAGGATTCTGAGCAGACGCCTTTCCACCACAACCACTGAAGAGCATGTGTCTAATGTGTTGCAGTAGTCTCAAGAATGGAAGCGTGAGACACATCAGATCCTGAACTTTGTGCGTTTCCTGCGCGCTGACTGCTTCCCTGCAGGCATTGGCATGATGAGATGGATCAAGATGGTCATGTCCGCAGCCTCACAGGCTGTTCGATCTGCAGATAGTGTGGTGCTATGGCCAAGCAGTGACAACGCATCACTTATTCCACTTGGAGGCCGGATTTGAAGCGGCCCAACGGGGTGACTCTCGGAAAGTCCATGCAGTCGCCGGCTTAGTTCCAGTTGTTGACATCGACCACTTCACACATGTTGGTACTTCTCTTGCGTCCTGCAAAATCCTACTGCTTCTGCGAGGCCTTGAATGACTGCCTTAGCTGAAGCAGCCAAAGTTGGTAGTGAGGCCGCTACAAACCTCGAGATCTTCTTTCAGTGTTTTACCGGCTTTCCAATGACACATGATGACACTAATTTTGTCCATTTGTTTTTGTTCCTTTTTGACAAACCTCACCAAACAAGATTGCGCTGTGAAATGTGTCAAGTCCAGGTTCTTTGCCGCAGAATCATGCAGTATCAGGCTTGGTGCGGATGTATCTATAGACGTAACAAAAATACAAAACGTATCTACAAACATATCTAAACTGTCTCTTGTCGGACGCAAAGCGCAGTTTCTTGCGAAGCCTTGAGCAGAAGGGCCAACGTGAATTCTGCCAATGCACGGATTGCACGGTCGCTGTCTCGGTACGGAAGCGTGGAGGTACAGAAGCAGAGACTGTGAGCAACTTGGGAGGTGCAGAGTGCCAGGAACAGATGTCATTGATCTTGGAAGAACCAGATGCAGATCAATCAGATGAAGTGAAGATGGAACAGATGTTTCGTTTATCTTCAACTGAGGGGCGAAACTCCATTGATGTTGGCCTCCAAAGCTGGTCATGAGCAGGCAGTGGAACAAGCAGTTGGGCAGAACTGAGTAGAACTGGGTTACTTCCAGGTTTCTATTTTCCTTCACACAGATCCAAAGATGCCGCAGGTGTTTTACAAATGTTTCACAAATGTTTCACCGGTTCCAGTTTTGCAGAACACCCTCTCTGTAGGTGGTGCGGATGCTCCTTGTGGCCGGGGCGCAGGACATCAACGGTCACACGGCGCTGATGCACGTCCCGCGGCAGCAGATTGCAGCTGTCATTGTCAGCTGGCAGATTTGTTATGGCCAAGGCTGCTGCAACAGGGGGAAAGCCGGACACTCATGAGATGAAACACCGCGTTTTCTGTCACTGTGATGTAAAGACACCATTTGGTGGGCGAAGGACTCTTGTGATCTCTTGCAGTTTCTCCACAGGACTTAGGTAAAACAAGGTACACGGCCGTGCATATTGACTCACAATTCCAACTTGTACAGCTTGTACATGTCTCCAAATGTGTCTTTTGTGTTTTTTTGTTGGCTCAGGTTTCAGCCCTTGACTTTGGCAGCAATCCTTCAGTGGTCAAGGTGAAATTTCTCGGAAATTCAATCAGATCCGTATTTTTCTGGTTGGCCGCGTCTGTGGAGGTTGATTCCCCTGCAACTTTAGCAGCTCTTCATGGCAGGAAAGAAGTGCCATGGTAGCACAGTTCGTCTCAATTTGGGCACTGTGTGTGTGGTGTGTGTGGTGTGTGTGGTGTTGGTGTTAGATGTGCGATGGTGGTTTGTAACAGGGATATGTTTTTTTTCTGAAATTGAATGTTCTTGATGTTTCTTTCACCTGAACTGGATTGACCATCTGGAAACTCATCAGATGTGTTGGGAGGACCTGATCCATCCTGATCGGTCTACGATCTTTTTGTGCGGGGTGCATTCATGCAATCTTTGGAGGACATCAAATCATTAATCGCAAGATCATCGCAAGATCATCGCAAGATCATCGCAAGATCATGCAAGATCATGTAAGATCATGTAAGATCATGCAAGATCATGTAAGATCATCACAAGATCATTGCAAGATCATCACAAGATCATTGCAAGATCATCACAAGATCATGTAAGATCATGCAAGATCATGTAAGATCTATATGATGTTCATCTTTGCGCTTTGCGTTCTGTGTTGCTTCTCTTTTCGGTCAACCTTAGCACCTTCCACGGTGAAACATCCAACGATTTCTGATTCCCAGGGTCTGGGATGGTTGATGCTGTTGTCTGCAGGATGACACTGCTCCGACTGGCAATCACAGAACCTGAGGGAAAGAGAAAGTCCTTTCCAACAGCCAATGTGCTGATGGAGCGCCAATGCCAAATCTTCCATATTCAGAGGTAAGATAACATGCACAGAAGCCAGGTTGCATGGTGCACAGAAGGATGTCTCGATTTTGTTCATTTTTCGCAGCTTGACAATCAATCAAAAGTCGTTCTCAACAGCGACAAGAAACGAGAGTGTGCTGGACTTTGTGCAAGAAAGCGAGACGCAGGATTACCCACTCTGACTCTTGCAAACGAATCCAACCAAAGTTTCTGTGAAAAAAGCACCATGTGTATATTCCTTGAAAGCATTTGATTGTATTCCAGACATGTAGGCAACCATGACATCTGTTCGAGGTATCTTCACGTACCATACGCATGCTGTTCTTAGGGCATTTTGAGGCAGTCGTGCCATGCGATGGCGATGGGCCGCCCTGGCATTTGGGTGGTGGACTGTAGCTTTCGTGGGCCCAGGCCATCAACTTTGTCCATGTCATTTCAGTGTCGCATTGGGTATTTGAAAACTTGTAGAAACCTCAACCAAAATCAACCAATATATATGTTATTAATACCATTTTAATGGGATGAACATCCATTTACCAGCTATTTTGATGTTCACCAGGGGTACAAGGTTTTGACACACTGCCATATGTTGGAAAGATAAGATGACCAGAAGTCGAATGTGTGTGCAGGAAACCCTGGCGGAAGAGCCCAATCTAGATTGACAATGAAAGGAAGAAAGAGAAAGACCACGGCGGACAAAGCCTGAGACTCAGCTGAGACGATAATTCAGGGATTCCTGGACAGATCGGAAGACACATTCTGTTGGTTCTATGTTCTCATGGCAGATATTGGGCAGCAGACTTAGAAAATTAAAAAAAAAAGCACTGTCAGCTGATGTCACCGTGAAATCCGTGTGAAATCGAGGTTCAGGAAGTGGAAGATTATCTTCGACGCATCGGAGGTTCTGCCAATGTCATCGCTCTGAAGACGGTCCTCCGAGGAGTCGATGCCAATTTCTTGTGCCGAACTTAAAACCATGATGGATGGATGATGGATGGGTTGTAAGTCTTTGTAATGTCATATTATGTCATATTAGATGCCATAGAAATTCATAGGAAGATGCAGCAAGTTCTTTGAATCAGCATTTGGATATACTGCACACTATCCGATGTGTTGGTTCTTTGCTTCTGCAAGGCAAATGTACTTTGAAGTGTCTTCTGACGGCTGTGTGAAGTCCAAGAAGGCAGACCATGGCTCTAGCCGTTCGCACCATGACTCACCATAGAAGTAGAAAGATGTTTCCTGGAAACTGCTCTGATCCGTCTTGATGATTTCTTCATGCATCTTCATGCATCTTCATGCATCTTGATGCCCTGGCAGGGCTTCAATAAGCAAGAGGCCAATATCAAGCAGTTTCTTGCTCAAACTTCTTTGAGATGGCTCTCAAATCGCTTTCATTTTCTGTGATTATTTGGTCTTTCAAACTTTTTGCTGCAGATGTTTGATGTCATTTTGCTCAGCTGCGGCCCTCCAGGTTCCTTACGAGCAAAGGCGTTGCGCCGATCGCTGTCGTGATGGACACGTTCCGTGTGTCCAGAAGATGGCTGGAATCGCATAAAGACTTTTTTGCGCCTCGCCGCAATTCTCGATTGCCTCGCTGTCCAACAGAATTTGATGACCTGATCTTTGCGAATCTCTACTGTTCCTTTCTTTATGACCCCCAATTTCCAAGTTCATTTTATGCTTTTGGAAGCTAAGGTCAGAGATGAGAAAGTCAAGTTGCGAGTCCGTCCAACTGTTCAACCAGAGGCAAACTTGCAGCAGTTACATTAGCCCAATTGCACGTAGGTTTGCACATGAATAACGAATAAAGATTTCATTATCACTGGAAAATCTGGAAACTTTGGACCATCTGAAAATCCTGCAAGTTGTCTCCATCACATCTGGTGCATCTGGAGGTTGAGATCGTGGATGAGCACGTGGGGCATCTCTTCACTATGGGTCCCACAGTAGGGTTGTCCGCTGAGAAGGAGATTTCGCGGCTGCGGATCTTCCTGATGAGCCAGGTGACGACATGATTCCATCATGATCCTTGGGGAATAGTGGTGATTTATCCAATGGATATGAAAATACGTTATATTATAATGTCAACCCCGGATCAATAAACCATGGCTTATTAATTAGGGTGGTATTCCCCCAATAGTCATGAATTGATACTTAAATGGTACCTTCCCAATCAAAAAGCCTAGGGGGTTATTAATCCAGGGTTGACATTGTAATACTCATTAGTATGTCATTTATCCGTGAATTGTCATGTCATGTAGGAATTTAAAATTCTCATGCAGAAGCAAGATATTGATATATTACTAATATTACATTTCCAGCGGTTAATGGGGATTGTTATATTTCATCATTACAGCATATTATGGCTGGTGCGTTGATATCTCGTGTGCTATATCACCATGATTCATGGCCAATGATTACGTATCATGATCAAGGAGCTAGGAATGTCCCTTAGTCAAGCATGATTTGGCAATTTTTCCAACAGATGCGTCCAGTTTTTGATTCCAAAGCTGCGCAGGTTGCACGGCTGCCACAAACTGATCGGCGGAATGCGCCTTGGACATGAAGCTTTGGAGTTCAAAGACCCTCTCTGTTTCCAAGTTTGGGTAAGACGGTTGACAAATATGTTCATTCAAACAAGCTATCAAGGAAATTGTATGTGGATTTTTTTCCAGGAATACCCAACGGACCAATGATTTCTTCCTGTTTTTGGTTTTAGAACTTTAGAACTCAGGGAATGCAGGAGAGTGAGATAGGGAGAGGATGGGAGAGGACATTAGATGATTTGATATATTGGTTGAACGAGGCGTTGCGACGCTTGAAAGGCCTGTGGCACCCAGATGTTTGAAGCTGAGATGTGTCTCATTGTCAACGCAACTTCGACAGTCAACCTCACCTGATTCTCGACTGAGATTTGCACCTCGAAGTGCAGCCTAGAGTCCTAGAGTATACAGTCAAAAGTCTTATCACAGCTTCCAGGGATTCCCCAACTGGCAAGATCTGGCAAGGTTGCTGATCCAAGTCATCATGCAGTGACCAAAGAGGCGTTTTGGTGATTTGTAAAAGACAAAACAGATTATAACAGATTGATTTGTTCAATCACCATAATACCGTGACAATACCGTGACACATTGATTTGTCATTGTTTCTGGAGAGATGTTACACTGTCCCACTGATGCAGGTCTTCAACTTCTTGTGCTCAATTGAAGTTGGTCCAAGTGGTTTGACCATGCCGTGACGGAAAAAAAAGACGTTGAGCAATTCAGGAAACATTCCACTGGCACCATGTATTAAATGGGTTTACATGTATTGCATCACCAGAGTTGAACAGTGTAACACATCCTTGACACATCTTGATTTTTTTGTGCCAAGCGTGACAGAGCTTTGCAGCTGTTAAGCACAAGTGGCAATGTGGTTGGCAAGATGAGGGTTACATGACAGGAGGAAACACAAGAAGAAGTTGCATGGATTGTACGGGTCAAACATGAAACTCTCTACGAAAATATGAAACAAACAGCAAACATGATGGGACTCAGGATACGAACACCATCCATATCAGTCAGTTCCAGAGTGTATTGTCATATGTTGTTCCTATTTGTTCCTCATTGTTCCTCATCTTTCACGGAATGAAGCTGCCAAAAGTAGCTGGCACTGTGAATGAAGTTCTGTCCGAGTTGAAATCTTTGGCTGAGGAGGCGGCTGAGGCACACAACCCCAACGGGTTGTTCTTTGCACTCTATCGTTTGGTCACCCTACAGGTCAAGCGAGGAATTGAAGAGAAGAAGTTCGACAATCCAGAACGGATGGAAACTGTGGATGTGGTTTTTGCCAATTTGCTGTTTGATCAAGTGAGAGCATCCAGAGAAGGCAGTGACCACAGTGACCACAGTGACCAAGTCTCAGTCGAAAGTTGGCGTTTTTTTCTTCAAGCACAAGGAAGACATGATCTTACAGCAGCACAACATATGCTGCTTGGTGTTGCGCCTCACATACTTCATGACTTAGCCCTTGCCGTCTTCAAAGTCGTCCCGAAGGAGGAGATTGAGTCCTTTCGTCAGGATTATGTCCAGATCAATGATTTGTTATTCAAAGTCTTGGAAGAAATCCAAGATATTTTGGGTTCAAGGAGCTGTGGCATGCGTTTTGTCGATTGGATTTTCTGCAAAACAGATGAGTGGATAGCCATGACCGAACTGGTTCTCGTACGGGACCAAGCATTTGAAGGTGCACGACGGTTGCATGCGGCAACAGCACCAGCGTCAAATCTTTCCGTAGAACAAATCCGGAAGGAATTGGATGCTGAGTCTTTGGCTTTCAGTGAAGCTATTGCAGCCAGAGTAACAACATGTGTTTTGTGTCAAATTGGTGTTTCTGAAGAACAAAAGTTCGGAAGCATCATCAGAGATTGTTTGCAGCTTGCTTTGAAATAGAATTAGAATCATTCCGAAGTCTCAGAATCAGTGGTGTGAAAGATGAGCCCAGACAAGCTGACACAAAGCAAGTCTGGTTCAGCAATGGATGAACACTTTTTCAGCTTCCGGATTTCCAGAAATCCAGACAATTCAACCCACAGTTCTTAGGACGCTTGCTTTAAGAGCTTCAGCTCCCAAGAGGTGATGGTGATAAGCTTCGAGAAAGCTTCGAGAACCCTTAGAAGCTTCGAGAAGCCTTGTGTTTTGAATTTTGTGTCCAGTTTTGGTCTTATTCTCTCATGCCCTGGCATCACTGCCATCAAGCAGAGAGAAGGATGTCACTGCTAAAAGCAGATTGGACATGCAAAACGTAAATTCGGCCTTTGACAGGTTTGTAAGTGGCATCTTAAGTTTTCAAGCAGTATCAGCTTTTGTTCCAAGCTGAAACGGAAATGTGTGTTTTAATCTGCAGATGGCAAAGTATGAAACTGTTGCTTGGCTTTGTCGTTATGAGCTTTCACAGGTTACACCTTCATCAATAGATTTAGCTGGAGAATCCGTTTGAAATTTTGACCTGTCAAAGATTGCGGGCTCTGATGCTCATTCGGAAAACTCGTAGGTTTGTATAGTTTGTTTGCCGGACGTGCACGAGCAAAAGGATGGGTTTACAAAAGGTGAAGTGAATGAATTTGGTTCAGTAGCAAAGTGTCAGGCAGAAGGTCAGCCTTTTGTTCCAAGCTGACATGGAAGAGATCTTGAGGTTGATCTGGAGACCACAGGTACCAGTAAGAGGCAAGTATCCTATGACGTGTTTGCAATGATATGTTTCCGGAACACTTTGACTTTTTTTCAGGGATCCTTCTAATTCCAAACTTGTTTCTATTGAAAAGTTTGGGATTGGCATGCGCATTTACCCTGGGGAATTTTGCAACATAAGTTTAACTTTTCCTTTCCTGGTGCAATTATCAACATGATACTGGAAATGTTGTGATTTAGTTTTCCTTGTGAGATATATCCAGCTCAATCATTTAGAATACACAGCACCTAGTTTACGCTGATATTTCAAACTAGACGACGGATGGCCCGAGAGCGTAGAGGAGCAGGGTCTTCTCTCAGACAGTTCCTGTTAAGACGGGCCGTACATTCACCTGTGACACTGTAGGTACCATGATCAAAAGAAATTGCACATACAATTGCAACTTGAGTTACAACAATGACAAAACTTATTATCGAAGAGCTTGAGCCGGGATCAAGACGAATAGCTCCTGATGCCTTCAACAAATGCAACTGCTCACGCAATAGCTCAGGCAAAATCACAGTGAACAACAACTCCAATCGTCTCAGATGAAAAACACATGGAGCCTGAGTCCGCGACAGATGCAGCACACTCGAACAGCTCTGGTTATGCTGCTACTGTATTTACACACACACTCGCTTTTACACACAGACGCTTGTGCACGCAGACGCTTTTACACGCAGACAGAATCTTTTACACACTGACGGCTTTACACACAGACGCTTTTACACACAGAGGCTTTTACACAGACGCTTTTACACACAGAAGCTTTTACACACAGAAGCTTTTACACACAGAAGCTTTTACACACAGACGCTTTTACACACAGACGCTTTTACACACAGACACTTTTACACACAAACACTCTTACACACAGGTGCTTTTACACACAGCTAGTTTTACACACAGACGCTTTTACACACAGAAGCTTTTACACAGACGCTTTTACACACAGACACTTTTACACAGACACTTTTACACACAGGCGCTTTTACACACAGAAGCTTTTACACACAGAAGCTTTTGCACACAGAGGCTTTTACACACAGAAGAAGCTTTTACACACAGACGCTTTTACACGCAGACGCTTTTACACACAGGCACTTTTAGACACAAAAGCTTTTACACACAGGTGCTTTTACACACAGATAGTTTTACACACAGACGCTTTTACACACAGAAGCTTTTACACACAGACGCTTTGACACACAGACAGTTTGACACAGAGCACACAAAAGCTTTTAAGCAGACGCTTTTACACAAACGCTTTTACACAGATGCTTTTTACACACAGAAGCTTTGTAAACAAAGAAAAAATTGCAATTTTACCTCAGTTTTTGGCGATCGACCATCATTTCGTGCGAAAGGGTTGCAACGGGAACCCGGCAATCGCAATTTTACCCCAGTTTTTGGCGATCGAACCTCATTTCGTGCGAAAGGGTTGCGCGGGACCGGTGGAAATCGCAATTTTACCTCAGTTTTTGGCGATCGAACCTCATTTCGTGCGAAAGGGTTGCGTTTCGTGCCGTCTCGTTGGCACTGCCCCTGCTCCCGCCTTCAAAAGAGAAATAGAAAAGAAGGAGAGGGCAAGAGGAGAAGATGTGAGATGAGAAGATGTGAAGATGAGAAGATGTGAGAAGATGTGAGAAGATGTGAGAAGATGTGAGAAGATGAAGATGTGAGAAGATGAAGATGTGAAGATGAGAAGATGTGAGAAGATGTGAAGATGAGAAGATGAGAAGATGTGAGAAGATGTGAGAAGATGAGAAGATGAGAAGATGTGAGGATCAGGAGATGTGAAGATGAGAAGATGAGAAGATGAGGAGAAGATGTGAGGATGAGAAGATGTGAAGATGAGAAGGTGTTTTACAGACCCCCACTATTAGAAGAACCCTGCGCTCAGACGCTCTCGGGAAAAAGACAGGCTTTGGAAGAGAGATAAATATCTTACTTCAAAGTATTGCCAAAATATTCTGCATAAAAAATATGTTTCAACAGGCTTATTCATACTTTTCAAAAAATGAAAAAATATAGATTAAGGGATGCACCTTATTTTCACCTCAACTACCTTATGTATGTGTAAAGGATTGTTCAGGGACAATCCTTCAATAAGCGATGTTATCTTTATTGTGAAAGAACATTATACACAAAAAAGCGCCAAAAAAAAAAGAAAAAACATCGTGAAAATCTGCCCTCCACAGCGTCCCACTCTCTTTTTGTGGTAGCTTGCACAACAAAATCCCCTAGAGGGTGTTGTCATTTGCGCATTGCTCAAACGATGCAGGCGGAAGCTTCGCGGAGAACAAAGCGCGTTGATAAAATCCGTGGGCATTGCAATGTTATGCAATGTGTTCAGTCATGCACCATCTATGCAGAGAGTAGGGCAGTGCGCGACGATTTTCCTCAAGGATTGTGAGTTGTTTGTGAAACTTGATCTCAGCATAGGGCGTAGGCAATGTGCCGGAAAACTCAGAAATCAAGAATTTCGTAACCAAGGGGAACACCCCAGACCCCGAAAGAAAATCTCAGGAAAGAACAGGTTTTCCGGATTTCTAGCCCAGATCCCGAAAACCACAGGGTTTTGTCGGAATGATTGGTGTGGTTGGCTGTTTTTTGTTGCTTTTGTTTGCTAGTGTTGTGCAAAAGTCATAGGTTGCTGCGCTTTTGTTGTGAAGTGTGGAAGCTGTCTTGAAAGTGCAACTCCTCCAAAACCACAGCTTGATTTACAGGTGAATATTGCACATTCCTTCGCATGATGCAAAGGTGCACATTGATGCATCTTCTTGCGCATTCCTTCAGCTATAGTTGGTTTTGCAAGGAAAGCCCGGTAATATTAGAAATGAAAACTGATGTTTTTTTGTGTAGATGGGCTGATGCCGTTTGAACCACCAGCCACACAAAGACATTGGTTCTGGCAAAATCGGTCAAGCCGTACAAGGACCCCCGATGAACTCAAAGAATCGCATTTGAACCAGGGCTGTTGCTCTTCACCCTTTGTGTTGACTTAAACCATGTTCAATGGCTGGAAATATGTTCA